GTATTTTCTGGTAAGACACTTGGTCTCATTTATTAAAGGTATCCAGCCCTTTTCATTTGACATTATACTATGTGGTATCATTGCCCTCATCACTTATGTTTTCAAATATTCTGAAAGTTATTTGATTACTAAAATGTCAAAATCAACTTTGTTTTATTATCACATTCAACTATCTCTATTTTTATGTGCAGTTCTGATACTTTGTGCCTTAGGATAAATGTCAAGAAATGTATTAAAGCCCAAGCTCAAAAGGACTCTCAATTTGTGTTCTAGATCAGCTGCTTGAGACTGCACTTCCTGCATCTGTGTGGGTAGTTTGGTGAGAGCCTGCTTTATAAAAGCTACGACTTGGGGACTGCAGTTACTTCCTTTAAATGTAACTTTGATGTAATCTGCCAAAACGGAAATCTAGTGTGCAAGCCTTTTTTGTACTGAAATGTGCATCCAGTTTTTCAAAACCTATTTTTTATCCATTCTGATTTTCACTGTGGCCAAAGAAAAGCTCTAAAGGAACAAGAATAGCCTGGGAGTTAGGCTGAAAGTACACTTGACTGCACCGTGAACTGGCTGGGTTTGTGCTTCTGCCATTGATCTTCCCCGCTGAGCACCTGCCAATCTGACCATGACCGTGGCCCACCACAGGGCTGCTGGAGCACCTGGACTTGGACAGGCATTTGGGTGTGAGCTTCTTGCTTTGGTAACTGCCATGGTAGGCTAGATTTGGGAAAATGCATGGTGTGAGGCTGGCAGTTGAGTGGGTGAATCCCAATGAAGAAGATGCTTTCACCAATTTCACTGATACAAAAAATACAAACTTATAAGCAAAAAAATTTAATTTAGCTTAGGATTTTGCTATTTGATAAGACTTGGGAGGAAAAAATGTATTATATCCAAGTATTTTGATTTTTCAATTCACTGATAGTTGGGTCTAAATGGCCACCGTTATACTTTGGCTTCTTTGCTGTACATTCAGTATCAATTTAAAGGAACTGACAGACGTGGAATTTAACTATGGCAGTAAATTAAGTCATTCTATGACAGGTACCATGTTAAAAGACTCCCTTTTTGAACTAGGCCATACATGACCGAGAAGTATTTTGCTGGCTGCTTGAAGTGAGTATGCGGAATAGCACTATCCAAGTTATTACAGATGAGCTGGTAGGGTTATGTGGCTGGAATTAGGAGAGAATCATTGGGACACTGGAAGGAGTCTTAGGAGATTGTTGAGTGCTTTGCATATAAACTCCAGACCTATCAAATTATGTATCCCAGTATACCTAACAGGTATTATGAGGCAATAGACATGCTGATACCATATAATTAACAATCCTTGGCATCAAATACAGACACGAGTCCCCTACCCAGAGACTTTTCCACTTGCTATCCCAACACATGCACTTGATTTTGGAGGGCCCTGGCCATGCCCTTTATGAATCTGTTGATTCTGAGGCCTGGAGTCTTTTGGGAAGATTTATAATTTTGTAAAGATAGTTATTCTTTTGAAAAATTGTGCGGACTATGCTTTAGAATTCACTTTGAAGGTAAAAATGCAAGGAGACTATATCTGCAAAATAAATTTTAGGTGGCTCTGGTACAAACCAATACTCTAAAGAGGAACTATCAAACTTAAACTGCTAAAGGGCTTCTCAAATTTTAAATGTATTTGAACAAGATCCTTTGCTTTTGTTGTTGCTTTTAAAGATCTATTTTTATTTATTTATGCATACAAGAGCTGCAGAGGTGTTGTGTGTGTGGAGGGGGAGGGGATGTGAGAGTATTCACCAGAGACAGCGTGGGGAGCAGAACAGTCGGAACTACCGAGATACACTGCTGAAGGGAGCAGCTGGTGAGACAGAAGAGGTCTGCTCCACCATGTGGGTCAGCTTCCTGGCTGGGGATCAAACTCATGCTACAGTGGCTGGCAATAGCTTGATAGGGCGAAGACTTTAACCCATGTGCCACCAGGGAGGCCATGAACAAGAGCCTTTGCATGCAAAATTCTGATTTATTGGATGTGGTGGGAGAGCTGAGATTTTGATTTCTAATGAGCGCCATATGATGCTATTGGTATTGGTCTGGGGATCACACTGAGAAATGAGGGCCGTCAGAGCACAGGTAAAATCCAAGGGGCTGAATGAAAAACTGCAATCAGGCAGAGTTCACCCACTGGGAAAAGAAACTAACACCTCAGTTCCTCTACAAATCAGTTCTTTTGTCCTTAAGGCTAAACTGAGAGCCTATGGCAGAGATTTTAATGAGTTTCCCAGACTCATTTAATGTTGTCCAGCCTTCATTTTTTTCAAATTAAAATACAGATTTAATACAGTCACAACCATCATTCCAAAAGGATTACTTTGGAGCTAGACTAAATTATCCCAAGGCTATTCTATAATAGGTACCAATGACAAAGAGGATGCGGGGAGAGGTTGCAAGAGTAGTAGGGGCAGGGCCTCCCTGGTGGCGCAGCGGTTGAGCGCTGGGTTGCGAAGCTGCCCGCAGCCTCTGCGGCGCCGGTTCAATCCCCGGCTGCTCCCCGGCCACCGGAGGAGGGTCCCACATGGCGCGCAGACCTCTCCTGCCGCCCGCTGCTCCCCTCAGCAGTGTACTTCGGTCCTTCTGCCTGCTCTGCTCCCTGTTCTGGCTCTGGTGAATCCTCTCACCCTCCTGCGCTTCTGACTGTACCCAGTGCTTGCATAAATAAATAAATAAATAAATAAATAAATCTTAAGTTTAAAAAAAAAAAAAGAGTAGTAGGGGCAGTGGAACTGAATGAAACTTAAAACACTAACAAAAAATGAAATATGAAAACCCTTACAAGAGAGGTAAATATCAAACCCAAGGCAAATTTAGGAGAACTGGAATAAAAGGGAAAAAAATGATATCAGACACTGTGTATACCCTCTGCATTAATAAAAATTTAAATGATCAATGAGAAAAATATTTCTAATAATTCTGACAAAGTAGTAAGAAAACTAAAACACAAAATTTAGTCTAGTAGTCTTACCCAAACCCTAAGTCAGCAGTGCTCAGAACCCCAGGATCTAGATTGCATCCCCTGTTCCCAAATGAACAGCTCTGTTCTAAGGATTACTTTTTTTTTTTTTAAAGATTTAATTTATTTATACAAGCACTGGGTATAGTCAGAAGCACAGGAGGGTGAGAGAACTCACCAGAGCGGGAACAGAACAGGCAGATTGACGAAATACACTGCTGAGGGGAGCAGCGGGCGACAGGCAGGAGAGTCTGCGCGCCATGTGGGACCCTCGCCAGCGGCCGGGGCTGCAGAGGCTGCAGGCAGCTTCACAGCCAACCACTGCACCACCAGGGGAGCCCACTGTTCTAAGGATTTCTTATCAACACACATTCCAGCCTCTAACATCAAAACAAGAGCAACAAGAGAACCAGAGTTCTTTAATATATCCTTCTTTAGCAACCAGTCCATAGCTCTATTCCGTTGCTCATTATGACAACAAAACTTAATATAGTCTCTGGTTCCTCGCCTTCTTTTCCTACTCAAAGTACCCCAGTCTGGCATCTATTCCTCCTCTCCACTGAAACAGCTCCCATAAAAAACAATGGCACTCCCATTTACCTTCAGCTTATTCCACTTCTCATCACCATCCGACAGGGCTTATTTACCTTCACTCCACATTTCTCCTCCTGCTTCCCTCCTCCTCTACCCTTTTCGTAATAGCCTTTGTTGGAATCTCCTCTATCCAAATTCTAAATCTGCTCTACCATTAAGGCAGCCCACTAGTCACATGTCACAACTGAGCACCTGAAATGTGGCTACTCTGAGATATGCTGTAAAAGTAAAATAAACATTGGTTTGAAGCCTGAGTATGTGAAAAGGACCTACCACAGTTCTGAAGTTTTAGTACGAACTTTGAAGACTTAGTACATGTTAAAGTATTTGGGATCTACAGTGTTAATACAATGTATTTTCTCTATTTTATCTCACTTTTTAATGTGGCTACAGAAAACTTAAAGCTATGTATGTGGCTTGCGCTGGGTCTCAATTGGACAAAGCTGCTCTTTGGTCTCCCTCCTCCCCCTGCCTTGCCATCACAGTAAAACATCATCCACATAATGGCTCAGAAATGTAGACAGTGGTATTAATATTTTCAGACAATGAGAGTGTTCAAGAGGCGGGGTTCCCCGGTGACCAATAATTACTGGTGAGGCAAACAGACAAGTGGAGAGGAGACTGATTGAGCGCTCAGGTTTTCAGATGAGGTAACTAAACTTTACCCATTAAGGTTTCTAATTTTTCCTGTGGAATGAGTGCCTAGTTTAAGGTTAAAAAACCTTCAACTCCTTCTCTTGTTTTTCTTTTTCAAGGCCATACTTTGTTATGGTGAAGACATCGCAGACTAAAATTCTAGTCAATCCCTAATGTTTTGAGAATACAAGCACTGTTCCTTTAAGAAGGGTTAATCAGGGCCTCCCCGGTGGCTGGCGCAGTAGTTGAGCGCTGGGCTGCGAAGCTGCCTGCAGCCTCTGCAGCGCCGGTTCGATCCCCGGCTATTCCCCGGCACCGGAAGAGGGTCCCACATGGCGCGCAGACCTCTCCTGCCGCCCGCTGCTCCCCTCAGCAGTGGACTTCGGTCCTTCTGCCTGCTCTGCTCCCTGCTCTGGCTCTGGGGAATTCTCTCACCCTCCCGCGCTTCTGACTGTCCCCAGTGCTTGTATAAATAAATAAACAAATAAATCTTTAAAAAAAAAAAAGAAGGGTTAATCAAACAAATAGACTACCCTTGGCCAAAACTTGGGAAGTTATGCTTATTCAACAGAAATGGTGAAATCTGGCACCAGGAAGAAACTTAGTAACAAACTCTGTTCCACTTGTTATATATAAGAAAGCTGGCTGACAAAGATGGAAAATTCAATGCATTCAGATATCAAAGCTAAGAAAAACAAAAAGACTTTAGGAGAGGTACATATGTAAATCAAGATTCAATAAGGAGATTTAAAAATCATTGAGTATCAAAACTACTAACCATTCTATAAGCACTCCTTTCAAGACGTTGACCATCTTTCCTCAGTCAGAAGGTGCAGAGGGCCTCAAAAAAGCTAATAAAAGGTGACATAAAATTCAAAAGCATCAATTTCAATATACCTTGGTGACATGCGTATGAAATGATGCAAAAATATCCAATATCAAGATTAATCATTTAAGCATAAGAGATATAGGGCTAACATTTAGAAAACATACATTTTTATCTTTGAACAAAATCAGTATTAGCCTACTTGGAATATTAATAGTGTATAGATCTTATTTGCAAACAAATCGACCCACTGGAAATTCTTACGAAGGCCAGCGGCCTACCTGCACACCCCAGCGCCCACCCCAGCTCTAAAACGTGTCCACGAGCCAAAGGGCTTCTTTTCCTACCCAGGAGTATGATAAAAGATAAGCTCCTGGGAGGCTGGCATTCACAGAATGGTAGCTTAGAAAGGGGCCTTAAAATGATACACAGGAGAGAATCCGATCACCTCGTTTTACAGAGAACGAGCCAAGAGATGAAGACACAGCCCGGGCAAAAGGAAAAAAAAAAAGTACAAGCCGGCTCCCCGCACCCGCGCTCCCGCACTAAATAAACCACGTTCCCCAGCATCTGAGCTTGAGGAAAAGAACCGACTCAGCTTCGCCCATTCAAACCCCTAAACGCCACCTGGACGCGGGGCGGGGCGCCCCCCCCGCCCCCCGAGAAGAAATCCCTTAAATCACCGAGGGAGGCCGCCGGGCCCCGTCAGGACCGGCCCGGCCAGGGTGCGGGAGGCGCCCCGCACCCCAGCCCCCGAAGGACAGGTTCCTGGGTCTCTGGCCCCTCCCCTCTTCCTCCGCGACCCCTCGGGTGTCCTCGCACCCCGCTTTCCCCTTTTGTCCGGAGAGCAGACGCTACACACCTCCGCCCGCACACCCAGCGACGCCTCGGCGTCCAGACGGAGTGCGCCTGCGCAGCTACGTCACACGTCGGCGCGCCTCGCGGTAGGAGCGCGACGCCGGGGCGGGGAGGGGGCGGGGCCGAGAGCGCGGGGCGGGGTCACGTGCCGCCCGCCGCCGCGGGGAGGGCGCGGGCCGCAGCCGCCGAGGCCTGGGCTCCCCGCCGTCGGGGTCCGCCGTGCGGCTGCGGCGGCCGAGCACGCGATCCAGCAGGTAGGCCGGGCCGGGCGGCGGGGGGCCGGGGGCGGGGCGGGGCGGGGCGGCGAAGCCGGCCGGGTGCCTCGCGAGGACGCGCGGCCCGGGGCTGACCCGTTGACCCGTCTCGAGGGCCTCCTCGGGTCCTCGGCGGCCGGACTCCTCTTCCCGGGTCGCGCCCGGTGTCTGGCTCCGCTCCCGGGCGCCCAGGACACCTGCCGGCACCACGGCCCGGGCGCCGGTGTCCCCAGGATGCTGGCGCGGAGGAGGACGCGGTCCCCCCATTCAGACCCGAACCTCCCCGACCCCTGCCGCCTGCCCTGACCCGGGGGTCGAGCTCATGGAGCGACGATCGGTCTCCAGACCCGGTAACGGTCCTTCTCAAGGGGAAGACCTGCAGCGCGCTGCGAGGACTCTGTCCCCCAGATTCTGATTTGTGAACCAAGCGCTCGCTCTTTCTCTGATTGCTTTTATCAGAGGAGGCAGGAGCTTCTTGCTTCCCATTTCTTAGGATAAATTGTACTTCCTCCATTACGCTCTTGCTGCCTTTTGCTCTGCCAGTTAGTGTGATTTGCAAACTTAGCTCTCCCATTGCTTCCCCTGCTTCTATCTGTCCCTCATCGGCTTCCTCTCGATGGTTTCCATATTGTTGCCAGCTCTGTCTTCCTCTTTTATCTGCCCCTGAGTATCGTTCTTCCCAGGTATGTTTACTCTGCCTGCATGCTTTCTCCCCCGACCATCTCATCAGTTCCATCACATTGAACCTCCACTTTTGGGCCCCGGGTGCGGGCCTGGTGCCACTGCATTAATGACCTGTGGCTGACCCAACCTCCACTTCTCCAGCTGAACTGGTTCTCAGTTCCCCCTCACGTCAAAACCTTGTCTGCCTGTGTTTCTTGGAATCCAGATTTCAAACTTCCATCCTTTTATTGTTGTTATTCTGTAAACATTTTCGTGCATCTGATGTGGCTCACACAATGGTAAACAAGCAACTCATTACAGTGGGAGCAGAGAAGCACTAAAATCTGTCAAGGAGAAGGTATCAGATGGCGATGTGATAAAGAATGGCTAGAAAGGCAGCCTTAGTTAGAGGGTGTTACAAATGGCTGTCAGGTACCCCCCCCCCTTATATAACTTAGTTGTGCCTGAGATGGGCTCTTCTGACAAAATGACTGTAATGTTTATCTGGAAGAGTAGACTACCATAAAAAGCCACGGAGAGGAGACATGCCATGAAAATATATTATAAAGCAGTAGCATTTAAAAACGTTGTGGTGCTAGTGCAAGAGGCTGATTAGTGGGAGCAGAATAGACAGCCCAGAAACAAAAAGAAAAGAAGAAAAGAAAAAGCGCATGTGTGTGTACATGTAAACAAACTTAGAAGGTAAAAGGATAGCTCTCGAATCAGTGGAGAAGGGAAGGCTTATTCAGTAAATGTTTGGGGGGGGGGAATAATGGCTTTCCGTTCAGGAAAATTTCTGAACATTAAATATTTTATGCCAACAATAATTAAATAGGAATTTCAGTTATTTTTTTTTTATAGAGGCATGTTTTATTTATTTTTTTGTTTGTTTTGTTTTGTTTATACATGCACTGGGTACAGTCAGAAGCGAGGGAGGGTGAGAGAATTCACCAGAGCCAGAGCGGGGAGCAGAGCAGGCAGAAGGACCGAAGTACACTGCTGAGGGGAGCAGCGGGCGGCAGGAGAGGTCTGCGCGCCATGTGGAACCCTCCTCCAGTGGCCGGGGAGCAGCCGTGGATCGAACCGGCGCCGCAGAGGCAACCCAGCGCTCAACCGCTATGCCACCGGGGAGGCCCGGAATTTCAGTTATTAAGATACTACACATGAAATATTTAAAACAAAAGGTATCTAGAAATAAAGCAGTATAACCATTTAGGGAGAAAACCATAGTTTTCTATAGTTGTAGTGCTCTATAGCACTATAGCACTATAGAGCACTATAGTGCTCTACTGAAAGATAAAAGAAGACCAAATAAACTGAGAAGTATACCAAATTCATGATGGGAAGACTTAATGTTATGAAGATGACAAATCCTTAATTCTCCAAATTCAGTGGAATTCCACTTAAAATTGCTACGTATGTTTGTCCTGCTATCAAAGTATAATGTTCCTATTTGGCAGGATTTGGTATATTTTGGGTATGGAAATGCTCAAAAGTTTTCCCACTCAAATTAACGGTAATAACATTGGCGGACCCCCCAAAATAACCTACCAAATAGGAATTCTACTTTCAGGAAGCAGGGGATACCTGTATGGTTTTGCATGGAATTTGATATTCTAAATCTATCATGTGGAAAGGCAAAGGACCAAGAATAGCTGTCATTTTTGAGGAAAATCAGTGTTCCTTCCACCCAAATACCAAAGCTTAATATAGAGCTATAATAATTCAGATCTTACAGCTTTGGAGATATAGTCTTAATACCAGTTTTCAACACATCTCTATTAATAATCAATAGAATGAGTTGATTAAAGAATCAGTAATGAAAAGAAGATCTGAAAACATTGTCAACCAAGTTGACCTAATTAACATATATAGAATACCCAACAACAACAGAATATACATCCTTTCCAGGTGCATATAGAACACTCAGCAAGATAGATCATATTCTGGGCATAAAACAAACCAAGACTTAAAAAAATTGAAACAGGACAAACGTAGGGAATCAGGGTCGAGCCGGTTGGTGGGTCCTAACCTATGGCGTTATCACTGTAGGACATAAATAAAGGCAGACACAAGGGGAGAAACAACAATGATGGGGTGTATTTAGGAATGAGAAAAGGGAGAACTTAGAAAGAGAGAAATTATTGGCCAGCAAATAGCCAGATTTTGTTTGCCCTACCCTAGATAGTGTCCACTGAGCAGAGACCAGAGGCCATGTTGAAACCACACACAGCAAACTGGTGACTTCCCCACAGTTAATCCTTGCCAGAGGATTAACTGCCAAAGCACCAGCTCTGCCCCTATTTCCTAGCAGCCCTGCAGGACTTTAGTGGGTGGAGTTCTGAAAGCTCCGCCTTCTATCTTTGAGTTGACTCTTGAGAGCCTCCCACTGGCTCAGAGATTGCTTCTCCCTTTTGTTAGCATTTTCATCACTGAAAACAGGTAGGTATTCAGATCTTACAGCACTGACTGAACAGGTTTTCAGTGCTGATGAAAATCAGATGTCTGGTGCTGGGGTGTGGCCTCAGAAGACAGTTTTCCCAGGATTGCAGCATATTAAAAGGAAATAGCAATCCATCATGAGGCATTGTCCATGCCTAGCCAGTGTGGCAGAGTCCTCCATTTCTAGAAAATAGTCACACCTAAAGTGAAAAGAAATCTCAAAAATAGTTGAGAGAGGTTACCATTAAAACACTTTTCTGGGGTCTCCCTTGCTAGCTCAAGAGTTTAAGACGCAACTATGAAGCTGTCCGCAGCCAGTGCAGCAAGCCTTCCATCCCTGGCCAGGGAGGTGAGCCACATGACGCAGCAGACCTCTCCTGTCTGGCCTGCTGCTCCCCTCAGCAGTGGATTTCAGTGGATCTGCCTGTTCTGCTCCCTACTCTTGTCTCCCACATCTCTTGCCTACACCCTGGCTCTTAAATGCATAAAACAAATCTTAAAAGAAACAAACAAAAAAACATTTTCTGTTTTCATCCCAGTTCTATCAAATAGTACAGCAAAAATGTATTTGTAAACTAAATCTAATTACATTTTTGTACATGGGACAGAATAACCAAGTAGAATTTCAATTGGCTTTATTGGTTCCTTAAGGGATCTTAGATGGAACTCTCAATATTTGACCTATCTAGACTTTGGGAACCATGCCACAGTATGTCTCACCAGCCTCTTCCTGCAACATTTGTACCCTTGGGTGGGTTTCCTCTTCTTAAGGTTCCCAAGACTTTTTCCCTCTGGGGTCTCCAGACTTTTCAATGGAGGTAAGCCTCCCTACTCTCCTAGGAGGTGTCTGGAACCCAAGGCAAGATGGCAGACTCTTCTTAATACTGCTCAAGGTCTTAACTGTGACATTCCAATCAAACTGTGAGCAATGTAACCTATTTCCAACTCTCTAAGAGAAACAAAATTCCTTTTTGAAATTATGCAAAGATAGACATGTTGCCATGAGTAATAAGCTTACTACCTTTTTTTTCATATTATAATGGCATCAAGGAAAGAGAAAATGCTAACACAGTTTAGTTCTGCTTACAAAATGTAGTTTTTTAAAAAAAGTAGTTTTAACAATGCTGCAAAGATCAGTTAAAATTTTTCTTGAATCAAAATAAAAATAATATTTCAAACAGAAAATTACTAAGTCCATTTAGTCTTCTGTAGAAAACTCTCAGTCTTGAATTCTTGTCAATTAGTATGGGTCTTAAAATATTATTGAGGTCTTGATCCTGTTCATTTCTCCAGAAACAATTTCTGCAAATGTCACAACTCTGAAATCACCAACATTAAAGAACTTACAACATTCCAAAATAGCAACAACCAGTACTGACAAGTAATTTTACATCAGAACATATCAGACACTCAAGTCTCACATCATAATTTTTAGAACATTAATATTAATGTGACCACTAAGGTGAAACACTACTTTCAAGTGACACTGCTTTCCATTAGGTTCCAATTTACCAGATAAGTACCAAATAGGTTGAATTTGTCTCCCATAAGGAGGAGAACTTTTCTGGGGTGTCTTAGGAGCTCTATTGAGGTTCCATAAAATTTTCTCTGATCAAACAGAAAAGACTACTAATTTTTAAACATTTTAGATTTCTGGGAAGTTTTATCATAACTATTAGAAAAAACACTTAATTACCTGGGACAATTTAAGATGCCATGTGTCCAGCAATTGCAATGTGCTGTGGTTGCCAACGCAAGGGAGGGTCGCCTGGGCTGGCCTACCATGGTGTCTGTCCCATGTTGGGCAGCACATTGAAATGACAAATCTGAGGGACTGGGATTGACCCAGTTGGTGGGTCCCCACCCACACACTTGCAACTGCAGGCCGTAACTCAAAAACAGACACGTGGGGAGAAAGAACAATAACAGGTTTTATTTACATAGGAAGTAAGAAAAGTGAGAGCTAAGAGAGCAAAGGAGAAAAATTACTGGCTGGCATGTGGCCATGTCTGTTCTACCTCAGATTGTGTCCACTGAGCAGAGACTGAGGTTCCAAGCCAAAGCAGCACGTAACAAACTGGCAATTTCTCCACAGATACTCCTCGCCAGGATTTAACTATCAAAAGTGCCAGCTTGCCCTTCTTTCCCATCAGCTCCACAGGAAGTTGGGGTGGAATCCAGAAAGCTCCACCTTCTACCATCAAGTTGGCCACCCATTGGCTCGTAGGTTGTTCCTTGCTCTTTGTATTACAATAATATATAAAACCTGTTCTATAGTGTCCACCCCTATCTTTTTTTTTTTTTAGCTGGAAGTCAATTTCGCTGATGTAAGTGTGGCTGTCTCTGCCTTTTTAAGGGGATCATTTTCTTTCTTCTTTTGTTAATATTTAAAGGGCAGGTTTATTAGGAAGGGATTAAAAAAGTTAAAGACACTTGCATAGACATAAGCGGGCAGGAAGAGCTGCCCCAGAAGGGATAGGTTTGCTAAGAGAAGCCTGCATGGTTGCAGGCGGGTGGCCTTGACAGGTTACGGACAGGTAGGAAGCTGCTGCCCTGCAGAGGGAGAGAGCTGGTGAAAGAGGCACCTGCATAGACACTGTTGGGCAGATGCAGTGCGGCCAGGATCATTTTCTTTGTAGGATTGTTTTCAACCTGTTACTTTGAACCCGTGTTCATTTTTGGAACTCAGATGGTTTTCCTGGAGACAGCAAAAAGTTGGGTTTTGGTTTCTGATTCAGCCAGCCATTTTGTGCATTTTGATTCTTATGTCCAGGATATTTAGGAAGTTATTGATAGATAGTTATTGCCATTTTGCCATTTGTTTCTGGGTGTTTTTTTGCATTTTATCTCTTTAACAGATAGTTCTGACATTTGTACTCCCTGCAAAGCTGTCAGGGATTGTTTTGTATTTTGAACCTACAGACTGTCATGAGTCCCTCAAGATATCGTCCTCCTTTCTCTTATCACAAAAGAAAAGAATAAAAATGAAGTCTCATCTGAAGACAATCTGACATGGTTCTAGAATGCTGAGTTCTAGAAGTTTTTGCATCATATTTAGATAATTCTTTTTATTTATTTTTTATTTTTATATTCCCCATACAATTGCAAGCCCGATTTTGACCCCAATCCCTCCTTCCCTCCCCTCCCCCAAAGAGTGTCTCTGGTTCATAGTTGTTTGTTGATTTTGATTTTTTTCTCTTATATTCTTTTTCCTGGTCCATATTTAGGTTTTCTAGATTCCTGTTTATTTAGATCATTCTTGATGAAATAGATGAGCAACAGTGCTCCTTTGAAAGGATGCCAACAATCAACAATTAAATTTCAAAGATTTTTAAACAATGTTGGGTACCATCCTGAAGGGTCTCTATAGAAAAGCTAAATACTTCCGTGAATTCCAAGCATATCTTCCATTCAGAGCCGATTCTTATTTCTGTGGGCCTTCAGTCATCAATAAATATAAGTTTCTATCTATCTGTACCTTTAAAAAAAGATATTAAAACTTTAAAAATACTGATATTTTGACTAATAATCATATTGATTATTAACAGTTAAAATATCCTTTTTCCTACTAATCATTGTTCACAGCTGGACTCAGTTTGAAGAATATTCAGAGTTCTAGCAAACTATTATTTATAATGAGTCTGTTCTAGGTCTTTAAGGAAGAATTTTTATTTTTGGTCCTAGTGGGCACTCCACTGTGATTGTGACATGTTCTTACAGTTAAAAGAAATGTTTCTGATTAGATGCTAAATTAGTTATAATTGTTCTAAATACACAGAATGTCCTTGGCTGCATACTGTGTCATCTGCTGCAGAAGAGTAGGAACTTCAACTCCTCCGCCAGAAAGGAACACGTACTGGAGAGATGTCAGTGAGTATTGTTCAGGCAAGGGGTTGAGTTATGGTTATGTTTCTAGGGTGATCCACAGACATTTGATAAATCTCAAGATTTGTTTCTGTCTTCTCTATACTCGGGTTCACCCCAAATTTGAAGGTCTAGGGCCATACTTACTCCTTTCTCTTAGGCATTCTTTTCCCTCTTTGTTTTATGTCAAATCCATGCTGATCCTTCTTAATTCTGCCATCACTGCTTCTCATTCAGCACCTATCAATATGTAGTAAGCGCCTGTTAAACAGAGTCGGCATATACATTTGATTCTGAGAACTCAGTGGTGAGTAAGGAAGATGCACGCTCTTATCGATCTTTATTTACCTAACTTATTACCAGTCTTTATGTGGAAAATTAGAAGATTGGCTGAGATCATCTTTAATTCATTTGACAAACATTTATTAACCATCTACTATGTACCAGGTACTATTCTTGGCCTTGAGGAGAGAGTTTTGAAAAAGTCTCAGTCCTCATGGAACATCCTTTTGATTTTTAACATAGATTTGCTTGGGGGATATATCCTTTTCATCTAGAAAATGCTATGATTTTGTATTTTAAATATGAAAAGATACATGGGGACAGAAAAGGGAGCTTTTCTTCTCTTAACCATTTCTGACTACACTACTCTCACATGAGTCTTTTGTGAAAAAGAGACATTCTAGTGAAGAATGTAATGGGCGGTAGGTGAGTAAGAAGCAGGAAGAAGTGGTGGGTGGTAGCAGTAGAGAAGGAGACAACTCGACTGACTCGTGCCACAATTTCTGACCTCATCCCTGCAGACCTCCAGGCGTATCCTCTGCCCTGCTCTGCAACCACTGTTAAAGTCCTGGGTTGGGAGGAATGCCCGCCTCCTCTACCTGATGTGAGAAGAGTTTCTTATCCCTCAGTAGGAAGGAGAAAGGGCTACCTCCCATCACCCACCAAATTATAGCTTGCATGGATGTGTGTGGGCCAGCCTCTATTCCTGACCATCATGGGTACATATCAGTTAAGAGCGTGCTCAGCGCATATCAGATACTTGACTACAGTGGCTTAAATTAGTAGGATTTTCTTTTTTTTTTACATAGCAGGAAGTCAAAATAGAGACTACTTAGGGCAGAAATCGCAGTTTATCAAGCCTCTGTCATCCTGCTTCTTTATCTTTATTGCCCTGATGGTCACAACATGGTTGCTGAATCTTTGGACAGCAAGAAGGCAGAGAGGCCAGAAGGCCTCTTTTTGTCTTTTTTATTTGCATAGGGATCCCTCCCAATAAACTTCTGCATAATTCTGAGTGACTGCACCTGTGTTGCACAACCCGTTCCCTCCACCCCCCAACTGCAGAGGAGTCTGGGAATTTGAATATTTTGGGATAGTAATCAGGTGGTGTTGATAATGATTCATTAAGTACTCTATAGATCTTTATTTACTTTGCTTATTACTTTTTTCCATTTTTCTTACATGACAGGAGTATATATCAGGTAGGCAACTCACTACCAGGGCCTCCCTGGTGGCGCAGGCGGTTGAGCGCAGCGCTGTGAAGCTGTCTGCAGCCTCTGCAGTGCCGGTTCAATCCCCGCTGGCCTCGGAGCAACCCACATGGCAAGCAGACCTCTCCTGTCTTGCCCGCTGCTCCCCTCAGCAGTGTATTTCATCAGTCTGCCTGTTCTGTTCCCCGGCTCTATTCTCTGGTGAATCCTCTCACCCTCCCGCTCATCTGGCCTATACCCCGGCTCTTGTATAAATTAAAAAAAAAAAAAAAAAAAAAAGTTTTCCAAATTCCGGACAGAAATTCATAAATAAAGGTTTAGACTGAAACTTACATAGGGCACTTAACTACTGTAATGTAATTACTTTGGGAGCGGTCATTTTGTGTCCCCACTTGACAAGCAGCATCCCCCATATAGGCCTGGCAGTGACAGAAGTCTCCCTGCTCCTTTGTCTAATTGGGGGTAAACTGGAGGAGTCAGAGGGAAGAGCCTCCAGGACATCATGTTCAGAGGAAGCCCTGCAGGCCTGCAGATACCCCTAGAGGAGCGAGGCTCACTGCTGACTTGTTGGAGGATGGCAGCATGGGGGTGAAGGAGGGGGAAGGGAGGATGATTACAAGGTGAGGATGACTATGAAACAGTATATTTTGAAGACAGTGCTTGTTGTTCATTTGTGTCTGAGGCCAGAAAGCCATGTGGTCATGGCAACTGATTCTATTAAACAGAAGAATATTGTAACTCCTCACCTGATGATGTGCTGTGGGTTGAGATGTACACTTGCCTATTTCCTGTCACATTCTTAACATTTATCAGATTCCCTTTTTCCCCTTTCTTTTGAAGGAAATATAATAAAGTTTACTGGATCACTTATTTTAGGGTAAGTATCAGCTGTGAAGTATTTTCGTTTCCTTATACTACTACTGGGAATCTCAGTGGAAGTGGCTTACAGGTAGCATGAGGCAGTGGAAGTGGAGACTTTGGAATTAGACATGTGGATCACTCACTGGTTGCTGTTCTACCACCTTAACATTGTCTCGATCCAGTTACTTTGCCTTCTGAGCACTTTCTCTTGGGCCTGAGTGTGCGATGGGGCTCCCCTAACGCTGTGCTGTTACATGAGGAACATTTGACACGTGCAGAGGAGGATTCACTGCATGCACTTTCACTCACCGAACACCAGCTCTTGCTTCGGTCCTAAAGTGGGTGAAGAAGATAAAAAATGATTGTAATTAAAATTATTTTTGAAAATCCCTTAAATCACCATAAAACTCTCATGAACGGAAATTAGGCTGAGACACAACATGGCCGTCTGAGCTCACGTCAGAGCCTGGTTTAGTGACGGTGCCGTCTCTCTTTGAACGGTGCATTTTGCTCCCTTGTTCCCGTTGTTAGGGAGATGTAAATATATGTCTAAGTGCTCTACTGAATTTGTTAATAATATTATTATTATTATTAATATAAATATAAAATCAACTCTTACATGCTAAAATGAGAAAGGCAATATCTTTGGAATTTTACCCAAAACATGCTTTTCTCCAGGTAATATAAGGCAAAGCAGATTTAGATGATTTTTTACCCCTTTGACTCATTCTGGGCAAAAGACAAAAGTATGCTCTTCTGGAATGCCATTTGTTTAGATCATACTTATGTTCAGGAATATAGTGAAAATACAGAGTTTCTAGTGGAGAATTTTACCTTTCATGGGAAGCATGATGAAATTGCTGAGCATATTTGCTCTTTTTGGCTGCTCAGATCCCTCTTCGAGCAGGAAGGGGACTCAGGGCTACTCTCCAGGTCCTCTGTGAGTGGCCAGAGTCTGGCTGCTTCTCTAAACTGCTTTTGCTTTGGGGTGGAAAGGTCAGAAAGCCGCCTAGTGTAATGTTACTAAGCCCTGAGTCCAGAGAGAGTGCAGACTTTGTGTGAGGACTTAGGGACTGTGGAGGTCAACCTGTTTGGGAATAAACTTCCCGTTTGGGGAACACAATAAACAACACTGAACTTCACATCGAAAAATTGACTTTAGGGCCTCCCTGTTGGCTCAGGTGGTTAAGATGCAATGTATGAAGCAATCCACAGCCACTGCAGCATGAGTTCGACCCCCAGCCAGGGAGCGACCCACATGGTGCAGCAGACCTCTCCTGATCGCCCACTGCTCCCCTCAGCAGTGTATTTCTGTCAGTCCACCTGATCTGTCCCCTACTCTGTCTCTGGTGAATGCTTTCACCCCCATCCATACCTCTGGCCTGTACCCCAGTTCTAAAAAAAAAAAAAAAAAAAAAAAAAAAAAAATTGACTTTAGATGTAGCTCTCAGGAGAAGAGAAACTTCCATAGGCTAGTGATGGGGGTATAAAATGGCTGATCTTTTTGGGAAAACAGTTCAACCTTATCCAGTGAAGTTGAACAATATATATACTGTCAGAAAGTATGTAATTCTGTTTCTAGTTATGTGTCCTAGAGAAACATATACACACATGTATGCAGTGTAGATGCGTAGGATAGGTAACTTGTTTTTAATAGACTCAAGCTAGGAGCTCCCTAAATACTCATCACTGGCAGAATGGAGGTTCTAGATCCAAATATAGGGAGGGGGTGTGTGTGTGTACATATGTATATGCAAATACAAGCTTTATAAGTTGTGCTATATCCAAATGTCCAGATGATAGATGAATCACATACCTTAGGAAAATAATAGTACATAAACTACGGAAACATGGAACAACAAGGATGGATCTAACAAGTTGAAGGCTGAAGAAAGAATATATACAGTACACTTTATTTTATAAGAAGTTCACAGACAGACAAGTGTGAGCTTTGTTAAAGGAGGCTGTATAGGTGGTAAACTATGAATAGATTATTATCATAAAAGTCAAAATAGAGAGTAGGTCAGGATAAGGGAGAGACACACTGCACTGTCTGGCCTGCTGTCCCTATATTGTTTCTGCTGGATATGGTAATGTTGCTATTTATTATGATTTGTTAAACTGAATTGCGTGTATGCATTTATACATACAAATGCAAATATCTGTTGTATGCACATTATTGTGTTTATCTATTATGTCCCCCAATAAAAAAGGAAGAAAAAGTTGACTTCAAAAAACTTGATTAAAGAAAGGTTGGTTCTTGTGTTACATATAGATAATGTATTTATGATTTTTTTTGTTTTTTTTTTTTCATTTGTTTCTTTTTTAAAGCGGTTCTTTATTTCTTACATATGAAATTCTGGCCCTGAAGAAGTCTTTGACATTAGACACTCAAGTGGTAGAAAGAGAAAAAATGAAGTCATATATATATACGCCCACTGGTTCTTTAGATAAAAGAGAAAACTATGGTAAGTTTATGGGAAAGTAATACCATCTCTGTGAAAATGAATTTAAAAATGAATGTTTAGGGCCTCCCCGGTGGCGCAGCGGTTGAGAACTGGGTTGCGAAGCTGCCCGCAGCCTATGCAGCGCCGGTTCGATCCCCGGCTGCTCCCCGGCCACCGGAGGAGGGTCCCACATGGCGCGCAGACCTCTCCTGCCGCCCCCTGCTCCCCTCAGCAGTGTACTTCGGTCCTTCTGCCTGCTCTGCTCCCCGCTCTGGCTCTGGTGAATTCTCTCACCCTCCCGCGCTTCTGACTGTACCCAGTGCTTGTATAAATAAATACAATAAATAAATAAATCTTTAAAAAAAAAAATAAAAAAAAAAAATAAAAATGAATGTTTAAAACAAAATAAGATAGGTACAGCTCACCCTGAAAATCACCAAATCCTGTGACAACCAAGTTCCTAAAGCATTAACTGAAGACCAAATTGTAGACTTCTGTTTAAATCCAATTTGCAATTCTTGAATAACAAAGTGAAGACCAGCCAACTGTTTAGTCTAAATTGGATTAACACTGGGCGGTCAGTTCAGAGGCTGGCCCTCTGTTTGGCAAGCATAAAAACATGATTTTGTCACTGAGAGAGATTTATGTTCTGGATTTATTCATGAGATGGATTCATAAATGTGAATACCAACTTGTTGACACAAGGAAGAACCTCTAACAAAGACTGGAATACCTGTCTTTACTAGTCAAAACATTCCCTTCATCACATTTAGGTCACATGAAAACCTAATGAGTAATCAGATGATTGCTTGGTAAACCTGAAATTTTAGAGCAGAGGGCTATCTCTTCATCAAGATAAGGGAAGCCTGGTGAGTCACCACCCTTGGGTACACCGGCCTGTTGCTCCACTGCCAGCGAGAATAACATGCCTGTTCACATGTCGTGTTCCCTGAGCTGGGCAGGGCTGGTGGGCATGCCGCCACTACACCCTGCTCTTATTGATCATGCCCTCATCTTCCCATATTCACCCTGCTTTTGTGGTGTGTTCCAATTTCAATTACACAGATAATTTTTATAGCTTGTAATTGATCTACACAATGAGGCTTAATTGCATTAAGTTTAATTCATGCATTTCTCTCTGAAATATTACAGAATTAAGAGTATACATTTTGACTGTATTAAGTTTGTAATCATTTTAGGAATCACCTACCAGGCAAGAAAAGAACTTCACAAAGCAGTGAGAAAAATATTGGCAACATCAGCCAAGATATTTCGGAGTCCATTTGCTGGTAAGTATCAAATATTTAACCTGGAATCCTGATCAGTGACCTGGAAGTCATCTGATCAGCTTGACTCTCTTTCCCCCTTCTTACGCTGACAGACTCACTATAGCTGTGGGCAGTTTAGTGCTGTTCTTCGGGGATATTTAATTTTTGAGGCCTTCATGCTTTGGACAGTTTTCTTCCTTTCATCTTTGTGGGTGTATTGTAGTTTGATAGTTGTAAATAAATATTCAGACTAAAAATACCCTTTTCTCCTGATGAGCTTTTCAGAGTTCAAAATGTATTAGAAAATCACCCCTGTGTTTTCTAACAATGACAAGATTGCATCAAAAATGTAGATTTCACAATCAGGCAAATCTACAAGGCTATAAAAGTGCTGACCTGATCTTGTTTAAAAGTTGGTATCTTGGGCCTCCCCTGGTGGCGCAGGCGGTTGAGCGCCGCACTGTGAAGCTGTCAGCAGGCTCTGTAGCGCCAGTTGGATCCTGGCCAGCCAGCGAGGGTCCCACATGGCGAGGCAGACCTCTCCTGTCTCGCCCGCTGCTCCCCTCAGCAGTGTACTTCATCAGTCTGCCTGTTCTGTTCCCCACTCTGTCTCTGGTGAATCCTCTCACCCTCCTGCACATCTCGCCTGTACCCCGGTTCTTGTATGAATAAATACATAAATCTTTAAAAAAAAAAAAAAAGTTGGTATCTTGGGCCTCCCTGTTGGCCTAGGGGTTAAGTCTCAGCACTGTTATGGCTATAGTCTGACTTTGGTCCCCGGCCAGGGAGCTGACCCACAGACCTCTCCTGCCTCGCCCACTGTTCCCCTCAGCAGTATATTTCAGTAGATCCGCCTGTTCTGCTCCCCACTCTGTCTCTGGTGAATCCTCTCACCCCCTGCACCTCTGGCCTACACCCCAGCTCTTCTATGCATAAATAAATAAAAATCTTTTAAAAAAATAATAAAAGTTGGCATCTTGAAAATGTGGGAAAGCCTTCTAAAATTAAAAGAGACTAGAGAGAATCAAACCCTGGTTTTAAAACGAAGCTCAAAAGATAATTTTTGGAGCAATTGGAGCAATTTGAATATGAAACATAAAATCCATCTAAAGTGGATTTTAGATGATTTTGGAAGATCTTTGTTAGTGTTCTGGAGTTTATAATGGCATGTTGTAGGGGAATTTGGGCTTTTATCTTAGATTCAGGTTGAGCCGTGGGAGGGTGAAATGTTATGTCTGCAGCTTCCTTTCACATAGTTTAGGAAAAAATATGCATATAGATTGAGCAAATATAGCAAAATAATAAGTTATTGAATTTAGCTCTGGTAGCCATGTGGATATTAACATCACTTTTTTAATTCTTCTATTGTGTTGATGTATTTCCTTAAAAAAATTTAAGGAAAAGAGAAAAAAAGGACCATTTAGTAAAAGCAAAATAGTGCATTAAACAAAAGAATATACATACCATACTAAGTAAATATAAGAAAATAATATGACAACTGAGGACAAACATCAGTCCTTATCAATACCTAGAAGCAAATCTGACTCTGCTCTTACAGATTCTAGGATTTGCCAGTTACCACCTTAAATAAATGTGAGGGCAGGAATGTTATTTTAAAACTATTTCACGCATCTGACAGTTTGCTTTTGTTTTACCTGATGTGAAGATACCTTCAGCACAGTGGACGTGGAAGACCATGAGGTCGCGGTCTGGCTGCTGCTGAGGAGGAGCCGGGCGGGGAACAAGGCAGTGCGGGCGCAGGCTGTGCAGGAGCTGTCCCAGGTCCACCACTGGCATGGTGAGGGGAGCTCCCAGAATGTCCCCCCAACCCCTCTTTTCTGAGTAAGAGAAGGAAACTAAGGAAAATCAATTGGGCCATCTTCATATAGATAAAAAATATTTTCCAAAATTTCAAAAAGAAACTCCAGTGATAAAGAAAAGTGTCCAAATGACCTTCTGTCCCCCGTACCAGTCAGTTAGTTGATTGTTGATGATAATTATTATAATTTATAAGGTAAATACAATCTTCCTCTGCATTTGTGGAGAGGTAGAATAGAAATCTTTTTCATAATCTGCCTTCTAGGACTCTATTTCAGACTGACTTTATCAGAAAAATTGGGGTTGGGCCTGGCATCTGTATTTTGAGAAGTTCACCACTTGACCCTGAAGGTCATAGCCTGGGCTGTGAAAGGCCACGGTAGGAAAGAATGTCTGTCCACTGGAGGAAATATTGTTTTTAATGCACATCGTAGTCCTTTGGGGTTGCTACACAAAATACCCCCAGTGGTGGCTTGTAAATGGCAGGACTTGGTTTCTCACAGGCCAGGCGGCAGGGAGGCCCAAGGTCAGGGTGCCAGCAGATTTGGTGCCTAGGAGGACCTGCTTCCTGTCACTGAGCCTGCCACCTTCCACTCTGCTTCCCAGGCAGAAGGAACGAGGGGTCTCTTTTGTAAGAGTGCTAATAGCATTTGTGAGACCTCTACTGTCTTGGCTTAGCACCTTCCAAAGACTTCACCTCTAAATAGCAAGAGCTTGGGGATGAGCATTCAACATAGGAATTTTGGGTGGACGCAAACATTCATGGAATGTTCCGTTCCATAAAGACTGGACCACTTACATCATGAAGGCCAAAGCATGTGCCGTCCTGTGGAACCTCAGACCACTCACGACGTCATAGGTGACGCCACAGCACCATGCTGTTACCTGGGGACATAGACCTAGGATGCAGCCTCAAGGTTTCATGAGCGGTGATCAAAACGGCTTTTACCAGCTGGAATTATTTTACTGAAGTTAAAGTTGAATTGAATGTAACCTATCAATTTTCACATTCAAGATTCATTTTTTTGAAAAGGTTAGACTGTGATATACTCCAATATAATATGCTGAGAATTGTGAGATCAAATATGGAAATGATGGACAGCTGAAGTTGTGAAAAATGCTTGGGAAATTTTGAATTACAAATTTTAAAACTTAGAGTGCTTTGAAGTCGTTTGTTCATTTACTCCTCGGAATAGCTCCAGGCTAGTTTGGGTGCTAACACTACACTCTTATGACAGATTACCAGTATAAGATAATCGCTCAGGCCGGAGATCTGAGAACTCTTACTGGTTTGGCACGAAGCAAAGAGAGTGATCTTCGCTTTTTCCTCCCGCCACCTCCTTTGCCATCTTTAAAAGAAGTAAGTAAATAAAACAATTCAGTGAGTGAAAAATAGCTTAAAATAGAATCTTCACTTTGGCTGCAAAACAAGCAATCAGAAAGCAGTTTGTTGGCTACTTTTCACAAGCAGTTAAACAAGGATGTAAACCTGAAATTGTAGTTTCATTCAGAGAGGTCTTGATTCCTCAGGAGATGCTGGTGTTATTATTCCCACCTTTTGGGAATTGGGAGTCTCTGGACCGCAGAGAGGGTCTTCAGAGTGAATTGGTATGTAGCCACTGCCATCAGTTTCTCTCAGCTTCAACACTGGAGATTTTGGACCAAATTATATTTTGTTGCTGAGAACAGTCCTGTGCATAGTAGGAAGTTTAGCAGTGTTCCTGGCCTCTACTCGCTAGATGCCGATAGCAACCCCTCTTCCCTTCCTGTTGTCACAACCAGAGATGGCTCTGGATTGTGCACAGTGCTTCCCTGGGTGCAGCACAGCAGCTGGAGAGCCCTGCATGTGGATGCTAATGTGTTCACGAGCACAGATGTCTGGTGCCCTCTGCCATGCGTCTCTTAGAGCACATTTCTTGAGCACCTTTCCTGGGCTAGAAAACGCCTGTCTGAAAAGTTGCTATCCGTTTCTAAATTAATCAGAAGATGAGTGTGTAAGGAGTAAGTTACTAGAGAAGAGCACGCTGTGGTGAGCTCGGGTTAACAAGCCCACCCTGTCACAATGTGTGGTCGTGTACTTCATGTCACCACGCATAAGGGGACGCCAGAGCTGGCCTTCCAGCGGCCTCTTAGGTGGAGGTAGCAGCGCAGCCTCTGGAAGTCAGCGTGAAGGCAGCTCTGTTTACCCTCGTGGTGACTATTTTTAAGACTAAATGCACTGATTTATCTCTGCTAATTTTTTTCCCTTTGATTCCTCAGGTACTTTCTGTTGTACTCAGCAGGAATTTCTTTTCTTTTTATTTCAGGATTATTGTATTGAAGAAGAACTCCGGCAGTTGCTGTCTTCCTTGCCTCAAACAGACCTCGACGAGTGTATCCAGTACTTTACATCGTTGGCTCTGAGCGAGAGCAGCCAGAGTCTCGCTGCTCAGAAGGTCAGCTCGGGCCTTTGGAGAATGTCCTTGTGCACCCTCTTTCCCGGGTCATTCTCTGGGGCACAGGGGTCTCCCCTTCTACTCAGTGCTGCAGAAATTCCAAACGGAGGAATTCATATAAAAACTAGTCTGCTAGCGGGGAAGCTCCTGGGGTTTCCACCAGAAGCAAACACAAACATTGCCTTAGGATTGTAATTTTTCACCCAGAGTCCCAGACTGAAGCAGGCATTCCTGGGCTGGTTTTCCTGGCGCCTCTTCAGAGAGGGGCCTTTCCATCATCGGCGTGTGCTTCCTGCCCCCGCTCTATGTTGTTTTCTACTCCAGCACCCATGGGTCCCGTTTATTCCTTCTTTCTTTCTTAAACAGCTTGGCTGTGTTTTAAAATAGCTTCTATTATGTTTTATCAAACATCTCTGTGTTTTTGTCGTGGAGGGGTACACCTGAAGCCAAGTTCACCCTCCTGCTGGATCCAGAAGCCGTTCTCTTCTCGTCCCTGACACTTGGCGCGCGGCAGCAGACTCCTCCTCGTCCCTCTGTTCCAGCTCACAGCAGCTGAACGATTAAAAAAAAACAGCACAGCACGGATCTGGTCAGGGCTTCTGCTCAGAGCCCTCCAGATTACACGTTCATTTAAATCCAAGCCCCTTATGTTGTGATCCAGACTTTGCAGGCCCTTGTTTATCAGCCTGCCTGCCCCTTGGGTCAGTGAGGAGACTAACAAGAAGGTGCCAGCAGGAACAACTGCAGGAGATAGAGTTGGCTGCGTGGCAAAGGAGGCCAGAGCCTGGTCATGAGGGGTGCATGCTGCAGTGCTGTCTTATTGGAGCTCACAGAGGCTTCTACTGTGCTGCCCCCCTTCTCTGGGGTAAGATGTCTTCAGATGTGAAAAGTCATGCAGATGAGGGTTTTTACATCGCTCCCATGGCCTCTCCTGTTGCCGCTGTTTCATCTCTGGGCCTGTTCACAAGTGGCAATAATTGGCAGACAGCACCCCTCTCTACCCCAACCCCGGTCACCGGCAGAGGCTTCTTCCCGTGAATGGAAGGGCACTCTTCCTAAGACACTCATGTCTCTGAGAAAATTCAAAACAAATGACCGTCACTTATACAATAACTAATCTACTCAGTGAGGGGAAAGTATTTTTTCAGTAAAAATTTTTCGGTCATATTATCCTACCTTTTTTTCCCCAGTTGAGTAATTTATATTTTTTCATTATCTTTTTAATGAGAAATTAGGGGCCCATCTGTAGATGTGACCTCTCTGCTATACTTCATGTATTTTTATATTCCTCTTGGAATCGCTCCGGAACCACAGTCATTGTTTTCTTCTTGGTGCTCAGATGCCACTGCCTGGCTCGGGAGCCCTTCCTGTGGGTGCCCTTATCACCCCTTTTAATTCTGTCTCCAGGGTGGCCGTGAAAGCATCTTCATCTTCTCATGATGAGATGTCCCTGGCTCCTCTAGTTTCTGTTCTACATCATGAGTGCCAGATTTGGTTCCTCTTAGTGAAAGTAGCGTCAGATCCAAAACCCAGGTGCACACGCATTCTTCATCCTGGAGGCAGAGTAGGTGGGCCCCACTCCAAGCTGCCTAAGTCATGGAACACAACAGCACCTTCTTAACTAGGCCTCAATTTCACAATGATGTTTTTAATTCGGCTGGGTTTTTTTTGGCAACAGACTTGCTGAGCTATAATTCACAATTCATAAAATTCACCCTGTAAAAATGTAGAATTCACTGGGCCTCAGTGTGCTCACAGAGCGGTGCAGCCGTTACCACTGTTTAATTCCAGAAAATGTTCATCTTGCCAAGATGGAAACCTGAACCCATGGCAATCATTCTACACCCCCTTCTCCCCCACCCATGGAGTGATCAGTATTATCCAGTACATTCTGTTCTGTGCCTGACTCCTTTCACGTAAGAATAACATTGTCAAGGTTCATCCATGCCATAACCTCCTAGTTTGGCCAACAGTATTCCTCGTGTGGCTAGACCACATCTTGTTTCTCCATTCATCAGTGGGTGGTCATTTAGGTTGTTTCTACTTTGTGGCAATTACGAATGATGGTGGTCTGAGTGTTTGTGTCCATGTTTTGTGTGGGTATTGTTTTTAATTCTCTTGGGTGTATACCTAGCAGTGGACCTGCTGGCCTATGTGCTGATTGTGTTTAAATTTTTGAGGAACTTCCAACCCGTTTCCTTGGCATCTGTACCACTTTTCATTCCCACCAGAATGTAGAAGGGTTTCAGTGCCTCCATATACTTGCCAACAATTGTTAGTGTTCAGCGTTTATATTCCAGTCTTCCTGTTAACGTGAAGTAGCACCTTCATTCTGGTTTTGACTTGCATTTCCCTAATGATTAGTGATATTGAGCATCTTTTTATTTGCTGACTAGTTATTTATATATGTTACTTATATCCATTCAAATCCTTGCCCATTTATAATTGTTTTTCTGTTGTTGAGTTGTAAGAACTCTTTATATATTTTGGATACAAATCAATTATTGGATATACGATTTGTAAATATTTCTCCCACTCTACTTTCTTGATAATGTCTTTTGCCGTTTACATTTTGATGAAGTTCAGTCTGTGTTTATTTCTTTTTTCATTGTTGCTTGTGCAATTGATATCATATCGGAGAGGCCACGGATCTATCATCCTGAGTAATTTCTTACCTAAATCTATAACCTTCCCTTCTGTTCTCAGGCTTTTCGTCTGGGAGCCAGGGAAACACAGGCTCAGCTTCAGCAGGTCTAGTCTGACTTGTGATGGTCTCATCTTGGCTACAACCAGGCTGTGTACCAAGAGGTTTGGTGGGTCTGTGTCACAGGTCCCCCCCAACTGATGGCCCTCTTCCTGCTCCATCCCACCTTCTCCATCCACTGCAGAGATGGGGAGGGTATGGAGGGGGGCAGGTTGTAGTGATGTATCTTTAAGAAAGAGTCCCCTCCTCTTCTCCCACCCCGCCAAGTCCACCAGGCTCTATATACCCTGAGCCCTGCTGGGGGAGGGAGGGGCTGTCAGTGCAGCTCCCCTCAGACCCTCTGTTTTGATAAATAGTGTGCGTCTCTGAGATTCAAGCATTTTAACTTTGTTTATTGCAGTAACATAGGTTTACAATTCTGTGTATGACTCAGAGGTAAGGTTCACACCACTTCAGATGTATGTTATCATCCAAGAGTGTTTAAACTTGGAAAAAGATTGTATCAGAGAAGGAGACATGAAGAATTCTTGAGTAGCTAAACATTGTGAACATTTACTAGGTTCACTGAGCCTCATATATATATATAAAAATTTTTTTTTTTTTTTTTTTTGAGAAACTGCCTGGTGGTTGCCCTCTTGTACTGGCAGGTAGTCTGTATGCTCACTGCTCTGACTCTGGTTCAAGTCCAAAGCAAAGGAGACACAGTAGTAAGCCTTCCTTGTACCCATCCATCCCCCAAACCCACATGCACGGTTGTAAACACACTTACAGGACAGCACACCACACATGCTGCTTTGCCCCTTCCAAGGGCTTACCTTGGAGATGTGTCAACATATGAAGGGACTCAGATGCTTCATATTGTCCTAGCATCCATATACATCTTTATTCCACCAATCCCCGACTGGTGGACACTGGATGGTTTCTATCCTTTGTCCTTACAAACAATGCTGCCGTGAACAGGCATGTGTGTGTGTGTGTGTAAGACTCCACCCATGCTTGTCTCTGGAGGGTAGATGGTTGAAGGTCATGGGGCCTGTGACTTTGATGGCAGCTGCTAGGTTGTGCTCCACAGAAGTCGCATTGTTGATGGTGCCAGTGATTAAAAAAACTCATCTCCCCACCTGTCTGACTGATGAGCTGTATCCCTCCTTCGTGTGGCTTCTGGTCACAAGCAGCACAGGGTGAGGTTTCCTACGCTGTAGATGCATTCTGCTTCTTGTCCTCAGAACTTTCTGTTTATAACTGTTGCTTATTTTCCCAAAATGATGTTGGGGGCTTGTATCACTGACTTGTGGGTGATTACTGCATCATGTGGTGTTAGTGCTTGATCTGTGTTAAGAGTTGAAGTTTATTCTTATGTTTTGACATCTGTTAGGAATAGTTTCCACTACTCTTGTGTTTCACAATTTTCCTAACTCCTCTTGTTGGTTTTTCCAGATGAACTTAAATTTCAAGATGGGAAGAACTGGAAAGTTCTGTGATCATAATCAATCATTGTGTGCATTTAAAAGTTTTCCAATAATGCCTTTTTCTTATTATTTTGATTAATAAACTAAGTAGACTCTTAGCATAATTTGGAAAGTTATAGGAAACCAGAGCATTATGACCAACCTTGGATTTTTCTTACTTGATAAATTGTGTTGTCTTGTGCTTCTGGATAAGAGTAAACAGGAAAGAGATTGAGGAATTGAGCGAGACTCTCTCTTCTGGGTAGAACTCCATGTTTTCTGTCCTTGTAAGCAGCAGCTGCTATATACTGAACCAGCCTGAAAGTTTCCAAAACATTTTGAAGGCTACATATTAATCCTTCCTAATTCTGTATACCCTGCAGAGATTTTTTTTCTGTCAAACAAAAGTCACTTTTTTCAGTAAAAATTTTAATTGTCTTTTAGGGTGGCTTATGGTGTTTTGGAGGAAATGGACTTCCTTATGCCGAAAGTTTTGGAGAAGTTCCTTCAGTTACAGTGGAAATGTTCTGTTTAGAAGCTTTAGTAAAACATTCTGAGGTAACTTACATTTTTGAAATGTGGTTTGTTTTCTATGATTGCATGGAAAGAATTGTAGACCAGGAAATAACCCTCCTTTATTATTCAAAGAAATAATTCTCATTTATTATTTATTTATTTATTTATTTTTTAAATTTTTTTTTTTAATTTATAGAGGCATGTTTTTATTTATTTATTTGTTTGTTTGTTTTGTTTTATACATGCACTGGGTACAGTCAGAAGCACGGGAGGGTGAGAGAATTCACCAGAGCCAAAGCGGGGAGCAGAGCAGGCAGAAGGACCAAGGTACACTGCTGAGGGGAGCAGCGGGCGGCAGGAGAGGTCTACACGCCATGTGGGACCCTCCTCCGGTGGCCGGGGAGCAGCCAGGGATCGAACCGGCGCCGCAGAGGTCGCCGGCAGCTTCGCAACCCAGCGCTCAACCGCTGCGCCACCAGGGAGGCCCCTCATTTATTATTTGAAAAAAAGCTTCCTGCTTGTTGCAGAATATCTGCTCCCTTCCATTTAATTGTTATGAGGGATAATAATGCATGCATTTCACTTTGTTAAGTATCTCTTAAAATGGACTTAATCTTGGTTGCACATAAAGAAAGCAATCTGCTGTCTAAATATGCGCTTACCTTTCAGTTATATTGTCGTCTACCTCTCAGATCACTTTTACAAGTAATGTCAGGCAGCAAATTCCAGTTAAAACATGTGGATGTCGCAAGATAGCAAAAAGAAAGGAAATATTTGAATGACCATACTCTTGGCTTTTAACTCTGGCCACTATCAATGACTTTTAAGCTTTTTGGCATTGTGACAACTTTCCAGTCATGATCACAGTTTGATTTGAAAAAGAAGCTTCAAACATCAGTGCATAAAAATCAGCCAGAAAGCATATTAAAAATGCATATTTCCTGCTTGCTTCTAGAAATTTAAATTTAGCAGATGTGGAGTGAGTCTAGGAGTTTGCATTTTTAACAGGCATCCCTGCTGGGGTCGGTGCGTGTCCTGAGCAGCACTGGCCTTCAGAGAGGCAACGTTCTCCAGCTGGATTTTGGGAATCATTGGTCATGGCTGAGAAGCGAGGTGCTTTCTTGCCATTTTCAGTTCCCACAGTGGAATGAGGAGTTGTGCACAAAGCAGAGTCAGCTGAGTGTTGTAGTTCAGAAACTAGAGTGGATTTAAGTGACTTACGACTAGTTTCTGAAGCAGTAGATGCATCTCCAGGAGAAAGTTCAGTGAATGGAAGTCACCTCTCCACAAACCTCTCAAGTTTTATACTCACTTGCTGTACATCTGAAAGGCATTCTTTTCATTGTATTTAAAATGTGACAAAATTTCATAAAAAATTCAGCATGAAAGTCATCACATATACATGCCATGGTGTCAAGTCGGATAGTAAAGCAGGTGATGGGACAAGGTGGGGCCTGCGATGACTGACGGACTGGAATGACTCACTGCCACCTGCCCCCTCCCCCTGCCCCCACACACCAGTTTCCCTGGGCTTTCCTCCATCTCTTTTTCTCTATTAGAAACTCAACCACCACCCGCCCCCCACCCCGACCACCACCACGCTTTTTCCTTTGATCTTTCTCTTTAAAAATTTTTCTACCTCCTGAGTTTTCAGCCCACCTGGCAGCTGTGGGCTTGTGTAAGGTGGTGTGTGGCAGAGTGTGTGTTCTTCTGTATGGGGCAGACTCAGGGCGCACTGTTCTAAGGTTGTTCACGCCAATCAAAGTATCACTGTAAATTGTAACAATTCTGGGGACTCCCTGGTGGCACAAGGGGTTAAGATGCAACATATGAAGCTATCCGCAGCCACTGCAACACGAGTTCGATCCCGGCCATGGATCTACCCACATGGCACAGCAGACCTCTCCTGACTCATCTGCTGTTCCCCTCCTCAGTGTATTTCAGTCAGTCTGCCTGTTCTGCTCCCCACTCTGTCTCTGGTGAATCCTCTTACCCCCCCACACCTCTGACCTGTACCCCAGTTCTTGTATGCATAAATAAATAAATCTTTAGGAAAAAAATGTTAACAATTCTGTAATAATGACATTATCAGGTTATATCCAACCAAGAGTTAAGCAGAATAACGTAATAGAAATTTCACAAGTCCTGGTAAGTTATGCCTGTTTTCAGTGATTTTGGTGGACTGTGCAGATCAGTGGGGGTTTGCTTGTTTATTTAAGCTGCTGAGAGCTTTGTGTTCTCTCCCTGCTTCTCTGCCCATCGGCACACTGTGACACCCGGTGCATGAATTTGTGCAGCACCGAGTGAGCTTTTGTTAATTTGTTGTGCTAGATAGCCACCCACTGTGATCAGATCGAAGCACGTGGAGGCTTGCAGTTGCTGCAGAGGCTGTACCGGCTTCACAAGGACTGCCCCAGCGTCCAGAGAAATATACTGCGTATCATTGGAAATATGGCCCTGAATGAGCATCTCCACTCTACTATTTTCTGCTCAGGTAATGCCTTTCTGAACTCACTGGCTGGCTCCAGTCCCCTGTTCCTCTCCCCGTGCCGATGGTGTTTGAATAGACTGAGGCTTTCTTTCCAGGAGCTGTGGGTTCTCAGAGCATGTTGTGTTAGTAGGGCCAAGGAGTTGTTGGTGACGTGGACATGCCTCACTCAGGTAGTGGTTCTGTCCATAACTTACCACAGTCTACCTCGAATGAGTATTATACCCTTTCATGAAGATTCTTACATCAGTATAATTTAATTTTCACTTCCTTCCATCCTCTGTGGTGCTGTCATTGGTTATTTTACTCCTGCATTTATTACAGACTGTGCTATCTTATTGCTGTTGTATCATTCAAGTGGTATTTAAAGAAGGTTAGAAAAAGTTACTTTGATTTTTTTTTTTTACATATTTATAATGTCCAGTGTTCTTCCTTCTTTTCTATATGTCAAATTTGCATTTGAAATCATTTCCCATCAGCCCAAAGGCCTGGGTCTACTGGTAAGATTCTCTCACATTTTATTTTCTGAAAATGTTTTTACTTCCCCTTTTATTATCCAGAGAAAGATTTTTTCCCCAAGAATAAATAATTCTGTGTTATTTTTCCCATCAGCACTTTAAAATTCATTTCACTCTCTCCTTAAAGACTGTGGTCTGTTGGGAAGTCTCTTCTTATTCCCACTCTTGTTCTCCAATAGGGAATGTACCTTTTTATCTTTCTGGCTTCTTTTAAGATTTTTATGTTTGGTTTTCAGCAACTAGACTCTCAACTGCCTAGATGTCTTTTTTAAATAGTTACCTGCTCAGGGTCCCCTGAGCTAACTGAACTTGTGGGTTGAGGTTTTCGTCCAGTTGGGAAACATTCTAGCCAGTACATCTTCACATATTTTTCTCTGTTCCTTTCTCTCTTCTCTTTTTCAGAGACTTCAGTTATGATACAGCTCTTTTTTTAATTCCATGAGTCATTGAGACACTATATGTTTTTGCTCTGTGTGCTTAGCTTTAAGTGATTTCTGTTTCCCTGTTTTCAAGTTCATTGATAGGATTCAAAGCAGAACAGAGACTTGATCAAGTCAGTATTTTATATTAAAAATATTCACCTTTCCCTTAATTGAAACCTGGCTCCCTGGGTATTTCAGCGCTACCAAGCGCCCACTGTACACCTTGTCCTATCAGTCCCTGACTTCCTCATATTTGGTGACCCCTTCCTGTGCCCCTGGCTGGCCTTCTGCTTCTGAGCCATGCCCTGGGCCTAGTCATCGCCTGAAACCCTTCACCTAAACAGAGCAGCAACTTTACTCTCTGACCCTCCTCCTCTCATTCAAGCTTTTTTCCCCGTGATTGGTTTTGTTCTCTACCAGAATCTTCTATCCACATGATATTTGAAATCATGTTGATTGGTTTATAACACTGTATGATTTAGGGGTGAGGTTCACACCTCTACAAACGTGTGTTACCATACTACACCCAGCAGCAGAGCCCCAGTAGTTCTCTTCCATAGTCCATTGGACCCCCTTCCCACTTTGCTCCCTCGTCCCCCTCTTGTACACTAGTTTTGCAGTCAGATTTCTAGAGTTTGTTTTGCTTTGTTTCTTTACATTCCAAAATGAGTGAAATCATCTGTTTGCCTTTTTCCTTCTGATGTAATTTTTTTCATAATCCCCTCCAGTTGATGCACGTTGTTGCAAATGGCAAGAGTTCATCTTTTTTTAATAGCTGAGTAGGACTCCATTGTGCTATACACCACATCTTCTCGGTCCACTCATCTGTCCTTGCGCACTGAGGTGGTTTCCATAGCATGGCTGTCAGTGGTGCTGCAGTGAACGTAGGAGCACGGACATCCCTTTGAATGAAAGTGTTTTTATTCTTCAGGTAGATGCCTAGGAGAGGGATTGCTGGATCATCTGGTGGATCTGTGTGTAATGTTTTGAGAGCCCTCCATACTGTTTCCTGCAGGGACTAGGCCAGTCTACGTTGTTCCCACCACAGTAGCTGAGGGTTCCTTTTCCCTACATCCTTGGTAACACTTGTGTGTGGTCTAAATGCTGTGGGCCGTTATTGTGGGTGGGGAGAGGGATCTTACTGGGACTGGCATCTCCCTGGTAAGTGCCCATGAGCATTTTCTCCTGCGCCTGTTGGCTTCTGTACATCTTCTTTGGCGATGTGTTACCTCCTCTGCCTGTTTCTTGGTGGACTTGTTTTCATGTTGTTGAGTTGTATGAGTTCTTTGTAGATTTTGTTAGTCCCTTGTTGGATGTACCATGTCCAAGTATCTCCTTCCATTCGGGAGGGTGTCTTTTTATTTTAATGCCAGTTTCTTTCACCATGCAGAAGCTTTTCAATTTGATGTAGCCCCATTTGTTTATTTTTGCTTTTGTTTCCCTGGCTGTTATAGTCAAGTCCCCAAAGACATCCCTGAAGCCAATATCATGGGGTGTTGTGCCTATTTTTTCTTGTGTGTATTTTATGGTTTTAGGTCTTACATATGAATTTTTAATCCATTTTGAGTTCATTTTTGTGTGTGGTGTGAGAGTGGTCTGGTTTTGTTCTTTTGCATGTGGCTGTCCAATTTTCCCAGCACCATTTGTTGGAGTCTTTACTTTCTGCATTGTATGTTCTTGTCTCCTTTATTGTAAATGAACAACCCATGTAAGTGTAGGTTTGCTTCTGGACTCTGAATTCCGTTCACTGATCTGTGTGTTTATTTTTATTCCAGTACCATCCTGTTTTGATACTATTGTTTTGTAGTATAATTTGAGGTCTGGGAGTGTAGTGCCTTCATTCTTATCTGTCAGGATTGCTTTAGCTATTTAGGATCTTTCGTGGTTTCATACAAATTTCAGTAATGTTTGCTCTACTACTTGAGTTTTAAATAACAAAAAAATAAATGGACTCAAATTGCACTCATACTTTGTCTCCCTTAAGAAATAGTTTTCCTTTCTGAACTTCAGGTTTTACAAGAAGAATTCTGTCTCTTCAGCAAGCTCATTGTTAAGAAAGAATTCCTCATGTATATTAAAAGCTGCTGTTGTGACTACCTGTCAGATGAAATACAGTGTTTTAATGCACTGAGTTTAATAATTCTTGCTTAAAGCAAAATATTTTATGACCTCTTGTGACCCAATTTCTAGTAACTGCAAAGTTTGTTAGATTATTTAAAGAAAATGGCTCTTGAACACTCCCTACCTTCCATCAGACCACTGAGGGACCTGGCTGGGGACACCATGACATTGTGCCATGGGACCAGTGTGCCCCAAGACAGATGGGACTGGAGTGCCTTGGCCCTTCTGTGTAGACAGACTTGCTGAGCTTTCCTGGCTCCCGTTATTTTCAGCCTGGAGCCGCTCACCAATCAGAGGTGGATAAGTGTTGCTATTTAGGTGTGTGCTTTTCACCAGGCTGGGTCTCCATTCTGGCAGAAGCCATGAAATCTCCCCAAATTATGGAGGCCTCGCACGCTGCCAGGACCCTGGCTAATCTGGACCGAGACACCGTGCGAGAGAAGTACCCGGACGGTGTGTATGTGCTGCACCCCCAGTACCGCACCAGGTGAGAGCACAAGGGGTCTCCTCCTGGGGTTGGATTCATTCTTGTATCATTTAGATAAGTTACAAACCTAACAAAGATGCCAAGTGGCATATTTACTGAAACAACTTGTCTGAAATAACCTCAGAAGAATTGAAGGCTTTCGTGATAATGGGAACTAGTTAAATTATTAAGGTAATCATTCAGGTTATTTACACGAAAGACTTACCTTCAGGGAGGTTTCATTCACTCTTATATCGCGTCCTGCTTAAACTTTGTAGTGAGCATTTCTTGCTTCACTGCATTTTTCATGTAGATCTGTCAGTGAGCTAGAGATCTGTCAAACAGAAGGAGAATAGGGTGTTATCTTCTGCAGGCAACCGAATGAGCCTGGGCCTGGAACCCACGGGACTCAGTGCACTGGGGGAAAAAAGTTAAGATTTTTTAATTGAGGTAACACTGGTGTACAGCATCATGTGAGTTTTGGGTGTACACCACTATAATTTCACATTTTTATACACTATAGCACGTTTCCAACCAAAAGACTAGTTTCTAGCTGTCACCATACAACTGACCCCCATTACCCATCTTGCCCTATCACCCCACTTTCCCTCTGGTTCCACCAGTCTGTTTTCTGTGAGTTTTTGTTTTGTTTTTTCATTAAAAAAAATTCCACATATGAATGGAATCATATAATCTTTGTCTTTGAGTTATTCCATTTGGCATAAAGCCCTCAAGATCCATCCATATTGTTGCAAATGGCAAGATGTAATCTTTTTTATGACTGAGTAGTATTCCATTGTGTGTGTATAGATATATAAAAATGTGTGTATAAACATATATTTATCACATTTTCTTTATCCATTCATCCTTTGATGGACACTCAGGGTTGTAAATAATGCTGCAGTGAAAATAGGGATGCATTATCTTTTGGAATTAGTGTTTTCATAGTCTTTGGATAATGCTCAAAAGTGGAATTGCTGGATCACATGTTCTTTCTCTTAACTTTTTGAGGACTCTCCAGGCTCTTTTCTACAATGGCTACAGCAGTTTATATTCCCAACAGTAGTACACAAGGGTTCCCTGTTCTCCATCTCCTTGCCTTCTCTGAGGTGTGAGGTGGAATCTCATGGTGGTTTTCATATGCATTTCCCTATAATCAGTGATATTGAGCATCTTTCCATGTGCCTGCTGGCCCTGTGTGTGTCTTCTTTGGTGAACGTCCAGATCATCTAACATTTTTAAATCATATATGTTGTTGAGTTTTATGAGTTCTTTTCCTATTTTGTATATGACCTCCTTTTTGGGTCTGATTTGCGATATCTTCTCCCACTCAGTTGGTAGCTTTTCATTTTGATGATTCCCTTCACTCTGCAGAAATATTTGATGTTTCTTCTCATTCATTTTCATTTTTGTTTTTGTTGCTGTTGAGTCAAATCCTAAATTGTGATAAATTTGACTCATGCATCTTATGGTTATTTCCAGTCACTGTTTCCAGTTGTATCATTGCTGATGTAGTAAATAGAAAAGCAAGGAACCCAATGAAAGTATTAGAGTTCTTAGATTTTTGTCAGAGACTTTAAAATAATACCTCAGAAAATAGCAGATCCTTCTAATTTGAGACATGGATTCCTGAATAACTCAAATTTGTAAATAAACTAATATGGTAATATTTTTAGATGCGTTTACTTTTAAATGTCATTTGTATTACTTTCAATTTTCTTTGATAATTTTTTTTTTTTAAGATTTATTTATTTATTTATACAAGCACTGGGTATAGTCAGAAGCGCGGGAGGGTGAGAGAATTCACCAGAGCCACAGCAGGGAGCAGAGCAGGCAGAAGGACCGAAGTACACTGCTGAGGGGAGCAGCGGGCGGCAGGAGAGGTCTGCGCGCCATGTGGGACCCTCCTCCGGTGGCCGGGGAGCAGCCGGGGATCGAACCGGGGCTGCAGAGGCTGTGGGCAGCTTCGCAACCCAGCGCTCAACCGCTGCGCCACGGGGGAGACCCTTCTTTGATAAATTTTTGAAGTCTCTTTCGTGCATACAGATTTGGGAACTATTAAACATGTTCTTACTTAAGTTCTGAAATATGTGTATGGATTTGGGGAATATTCTCAGGGATTCAGTGGAGAGTAATCTCTGGCTTCCATCACATCACCATTGCTGCGTGCATTTCAGTTCCCGTGGGTTGGTCCGTCTGGCTAGTTATGCCTCTGTGTCTAGAGAGCAGCGCACGTGCTGTTAAGTCTTTGAAACAATTCCTGATAGGATTCCTCAGCAATCAGTGCTTATAAAACCTGCCTTAGTCAAGTTCTATTTTATGCCATATAAGCCTGCTAAGCGCCAACCACAGAATGCTGTGCAGAGTCTTACCAGAGCAATAATGCATTTATTCTGCTTCTTTTTAAAACTCTCTCCCCTATCAGTCAGCCCATTAAAGCAGATGTCCTTTTTATTCATGGCCTTATGGGAGCAGCATTCAAAACATGGCGCCAGCAGGACAATGAGAGAACTTTGCTTGAGAAGATTTCGGAGGATGAAGCCAAGTATACAACGTGTTGGCCCAAGGTGAGCAGCCCGGTTCTGGCAGGCCACCCGCGTCCCCACACGCAGCCTCTGGCAGATGGAGCCTCACTGGGACTTGCTTGTTTTTCACTTTGGACTGGGGTTGATTTTTTTCTCACCCAGTGCTCCCATCTCTCTGGGACACCTATATTGTGTTACACAAACAGCTGCGCTCACCACCCGGTGCTGGAACCTCCAGATGGGCCACAGGTCAAGATTCTAAAAGAATATTCCAGGAAATAGAAACAGGGGCAAGGGCTAGTAATAGTTCACTTCCATTAAAAATATAGTACAACAAATAATGCATTGCATTTATAATAGTTTGCTCATTTAATAATTATAAAAACAGTCCATGAAGAATTCGTTTTTGGCTTTCCTTGACATTTTCTCTTCTAAAGAGCCTTAACTCTGGGAGGAAGTCATTGAACGGAGTTTACCTCAAGTCAGTGAGAGCGGAGGCTGCACATGTGTGTGAATAGTTCCAGGTCTTGGCTGCCTGCTGCTCAGTCACCTTCACAAAGCCTCCGCGAGCAGCAAGAGTGGGCTGTACTTTCTCTCTGGTGACAGTGAAGTGTGTGATGACAGCTGACCCTGGTCTACAGGGACAGTACTGAGAGTGTCACTAGTGCCTGCGTCCTCAGGCCGAATCTGCTTGATTGTGCTGTTTGACCTGAGGGCGGAACTTTCCATGAAATATTTCAAAAACCCATTTTGATCTAGGCCCCCAAACAGGCTTTTGCTTTTGGCTTTAGCAGACTAACACAGAATATTCTTCTAAACCTGCATTGGCCTTATGCTATAAATATTGATCCTCCTTGTGACCAGAGAGATAAAAATACAAAATGCTGAAATGGTTTTTCTAATCTCTGTCAAACTTTATTCCAGTGGGATCTTTAAGTAGTCGTCCATATTGCATGAGGCCTTTGTGACGAATTTCTATTACTTGGACATATTTGGGGTCGGAAATTCATGTGTTCTTTTGTACCTCCGTTCGACTTAGACATGGCTAGCAAGAGACTGTCCCGCTCTCCGAATTATATCTGTGGAGTATGACACCAGCCTGAGCGACTGGAGAGCGAGGTGCCCTATGGAGAGGTAATGGGGGGCTCTGGGCTAGGAGGGAGGGCCAGGGCCTGGGCCACAGTGGGTGCCTGGGATGAAGGGAGTTTTGTCTTTTGGTGCCACAAACAGGATTTTCATATGAAAAATGGACTTAGCCTTTCTCCTTCCTTCCAGGAGTGGGATAGTGTAAGCCTTAGAGTTTTGGAGTCAGGCCCCTAACCTGCTCCGCTCACAGAGTGGACCCTGGTGACCACAGCACAGTGTCCCTGATGGCAGGGTCAGAGTGAGCCTCTTGCTTTTATGTCCCGTCACACCCACTAGGGGAGCAGAGAAAACACAATGAGCTTTGCAGGGCACTGGCAGGTCCCATGTGCCAGCTGAATACAGGAGGACACTGACCTTCTAGGCACCACAGCCCAGACTGTAGCCGGAGCTGCATGGGCCTCACTGTACCATCTAAGACAAACCACCTGATGGCCTGGGAAGCCTGGCAGCAGAGTTGCGCTAAATCAGTGCCGCAGGCAGGCCCCGGGGCCTGCCATTGTCCTGTGCTCTGACAAGCCTTTATTTTGAAGAAAGGATTCTACAGCTAAACAGTTTGAAACTACCAGAGGAGACAGTTTTGAAGTTCCCTTTTAGTGTGAGCATTAGTTCTTTTGAATTCTGATTTTAACAGGTTTCTAGTATTTCTTTTTTTTTTAAAGATGTATTTATTTATTCATACAAGCACTGGGTACAGTCAGAAGCGCGGGAGGGTGAGAGAATTCACCAGAGCCAGAGCGGGGAGCAGAACAGGCAGAAGGACCGAAGTACACTGCTAAGGGGAGCAGCGGGCAGCAGGAGAGGTCTGCGTGCCATGTGGGACCCTTGCCGGCGGCCGGGGATCAAACCAGCGCTACAGAGGCTGCGGGCAGCTTCGCAGTCCAGCACTCAACCGCTGTGCCACCAGGGGAGGCCCAGTTTCTAGTATTTCTAAATAACAAACCAAAATGGTGAAAGCTTAGGGCCTCCCTGATGGTGCAAGGGGTTAATATGCAACCTGTGAAGCTATCTGCAGCCACTGCAATACGAGTTCGATCCCCGGCCAGGGAGCTACACACATGGCACAGCAGACCTCTCCTGACTTGCCCGCTGCTCCCCCCAGCAGTGTATTTCAGTCAGTCTGCCTGTTCTGTTCCCCACTCTGTCTCTGGTGAATCCTCTCACCTCCCCCACACACACCTCTGGCCTATACCCCAGTTCTTATATGCATAAATAAATAAACTTTTTAAAAAAATGTCAAAAGCTTAGTGCTGGTGGCATAAATGCAAGTAGAACTAAATAGCACTGACAGCTGACTTCACATAGGTGAACTCACAAAAGCCTGGTCTCCATTGCCAGTGTTGGGGGCACTTGGTATGAGTTCCAAATTGGACCTGTGGAAATTGCTAGACCATATTAAATGCTCAAATGATGTTTGTTAGTAAATGGAAGGCTCTGTCTGGGAGTAGCTGTTCCTATTTATGCCGATTACTATTAGAAATAAGGGCCCAGCAAGCGAGTAGGAACACTCCTCCAGGAGGCCCAGCACGGGCCGATAGAGCCCTTGCCTCGCTGGAAGCAGTTTGGGCGGCAGCGGGGTGGCCAGCAACCTCCCTCACGCCAGCTCTCATTGTGTCCAGGAAATCCATTGCATACAGGAGCAACGAACTTCTAGGAAAGCTCAGAGCCGCTGGAGTCGGGGACCGACCGGTGATCTGGGTGTCCCACAGCATGGGGGGTAAGTCTGCTTCATTTCTGCCAAGCGAGCACCTGAGTGTATCGTCCACCATTGGGCTCCTGAAGCTACTGTAGCTGTTTTACTTAATGGTGCCCCTTTTTCCTCTTAATTTAATGTTTTTGACTATGAACAGGGGGGTTAAACATTACTGGTCTCCTTCCATGTTTATCTCCAAGGGAATGACTAGTAACAAACCACATAAAAGGGGTATGAGTGGGTGGCTTAGTGCTTTCAAGTGGTAATGAGCAAACAGCAGCCTTGCTTACATTAGCCTAACTTGTAAATATCCCTCAGCATTCCTGGCTGCTGAGGGGCTCCCCTTTCTTCCCTGCCCCACATCAGAGAGTCCATTATCACTCCAGTGTGAAGGGGGGTGGGGTGGCAGGCTGGGAGCCTGCTGAGGTAGTGTGACCCCTGGTGTCCACACCTTAGGCCCTAATGCTTGTTTGCTGAGCGACATACCAACCCTCTGGCCCTCTCCCCAGGCTGGTCCTTGAGGGCCTTGCTAAGCCCCTGGCCCAGTCTTAGCTGATGAAATGCTCAGGATGCTGGCTTGAGTCAGGCCATTTTGCTGAGACAGGTGGATACAGTCCCGTGTCCTCTAAGACATACTGTGGCCATCTCTGGTCCTCATGTTTCAGTTTGGGTTCCAAGCCCAGAGGGTGGGGGTTGGGGTGGGCAGAAGATGAGGTGCCTTCTCAGGTACAGTTTTCCACAGAAGCTTTGTTTTCCATGGGCTGGATTTTGATTAGCATTGTCCTGACGGGGTGTCCTGTGTGGGCAGCAGGGGGACCCAACTGCTGCATGTTCACTTTGGGGATGGACACCCTGCTTGCGTTGTATGGACAGGGAAGCTCTGAGAGAAAGTCCGCTTTACAGACAAGTTCTAGAACTTCTTCTGTTGATAGGCTTGTACTGTACATTCTGGAGGAGCAGGAGGATTCACCATACTGAAAGCCTCATTTATTAGATTATAGGGAATTAGCATTTAGGCGTCTTTAAAGAAGGCATCCCTTTCTCTGAATTTCCTGTCTTGCCTCTGTTTTTAGAATAGAAGAGGGAAGGGAAATAGCTTGCTTATGCGTTTTCTTCTTCTCTGTGGCTAGGTCTTCTTGTCAAAAAGATGCTGCTGGAAGCCTCTAAGAAGCCAGAAATGAATGCGGTTATAAATAATACCCGAGGGATGATTTTTTACAGCGTCCCTCATCACGGATCCCATTTGGCTGAATACTCTGTCAATATTCGCTATCTTCTCTTTCCCTCTTTGGAAGTCAAAGAACTCAGCAAGGGTAACTACTTTACTTTCTGTCATGAAAGAAACGGGGGTTGTAGTAACATGAGTAACACTGGAGGAGGGAAAAGGCTAACTTGATTATGTCATCATTTGCATAAGAATTGTGTTTAGACTATCATGGCATATTTTGGTTTGGGCTTGATTTTTCTTTGATGCTTCCTCTTTTTTATTGGTGAGCCATTGCTTGCTCAAATGTGGCGATAATTTTAATATTATTTTAATATTTTGCTTTACGCATTATTCCAAATTACCAGTAAACTGTTTATTCTTATGGGTTTGTAAAATTATCAGTGGTTAAAATATACACGCACTTTTAAGATATTTAGCACATCAGTGACAAAGCCTTTTTTCTTTCTCCGGACACCTGTTTATTAGGACCTGGACTCCTGCTTTGGGCTGTAACTTGCCCTTGTCTTTCTGCTCATATTTTCTCTGTTCTGCTTTATGGAGAGCTACTGGACTGTCTCCTAAATCTTTTCTTGAATTTTATTATTTTGCCATCAAATTTTATTTTCTACAAGCTTTCCTTTTTCTCTGACCCATTATCAGAGATGGTCATTTCAAATTATTCTGAAGACACTAATTAGAAGTTTTGCAAAGTTGCTTTCTATCTCGCCCTTTCTATCTCGCCCTGGTTCTCCCGTGCTCGGGCTTCTCTGTGCTAAGCTGTGAGTCTGTCTTCAGGTCGTGGCTTCCCCTCCGCTGCTCTGGTTCTGATTTTGGCTTCCATTTCCTGGTGGAGGCTGGGGACAGGAAGGACCTCCACTCTGTGAGTGCTAGAGGATGGGGTGGCGGCCAACAGAGGGACCCCCAGTCCCCACACACCAAACACCCTGGGCACCGCTTCCTGTCAGTCAGCCACGTGGGAAAAGTCTCCCTCTGTGCCCGCCTTTCAGTTTCAGTTGGGTTTAGCCTCTGCCCTCATCCTAATGGCCTCCTAGGAAGGGGGTAAATAAACAAGCTACCATTCTGAATCAGATCATTAATTTTTTCTCTATAAATGAATCAGGTCAACAGAATTGGTCACAGTCTTGTTTTCTATAATTAACAGATTCTCCTGCACTTAAAACACTACATGATGACTTTCTGGAGTTGGCTAAAGACAAAAACTTCCAGGTGCTGAACTTTGTAGAGACACTGCCAACCTGCATTGGTAGCATGATTAAACTCCACGTGGTGCCCGTGGAGTCGGCAGGTACTCAATTCCCTCTTCGGAAACTTTTTGGCTGTGAGATGCCTGGTTGGTGGTACCTAGTGCTGACTCGTAAACATCCGTTTTTATATTGTTTTAGAAGATAGTTTTGTTAACATCTAGATTCTAATTCTGTTAGTCTTTTCAGCCATAGCTTACCTTGCATTGCCCCTCCACAGCCTTCACGGAATTGAGCACAGATTAACTGGCTCGCTCTGAGTTAGCCTGACATCAGTGTGACTCCGCCGCAGAGCTGAAGAGCAGGAAGTCCTCCTCAGCTGGCTTGACAGGGGCATTTAACAGATAGCTGAATGTGGAGACCCAAACAATCAGCTAAAGTGTGGACACTTTAGTAAATGGAAGATATATGGGAATATTCAAACAACAGAGCTGCCGATGGAGAAAACTAGTATTAAAGAACAGCCTCTTCATAATCCCAGGTGGAGGAAATACCCAGCACCTCCTACCCCTGCCCAGAGCCTCATTCTCTTACAGCCTCTTCTGTTGCTGTGTGCCTGGCAGGTGGCGCTACACTTCACTCCTGAAATGCTTTTCCCTCACCTGGTTGGCTCTGCCTGTCACCTCGGAGGCCAGTTTGGCTGCTGATGGGGTAGCGCTTTGCCATCCTGAGAGCTCCCTGCCGCCAGGGACACTGTGTCTCGGGGTCCCTGGAGCACCAGGCAGTTCTTCAGGCTGCATAGGGAGTCTCGTCTGACTCATTATGTATTATCTAAATAAAGTGAAAAGGACTTATTACTCTGTATGGAAACTTAAGTAGGAGTTACTGGGTTACAGATGTTTAAAAAACAAAGGACTTTGGAAGCTTAAAGCAAATGCAGGTAACATTGTGGGCCAACTGCTTGGAATGACACACTTGTCGTGCCATTTTGGGCCGCCTGGAGGCGCGTCTTCCTTCATAACCATCGCCTGCGCTGCCCCCAGGGCACTGTTAGGTGAAACAGCAGAAATGCACCACATCTTTCAAGTGCAAAATCGTCTCCCCCAACTGCTGGTGGAGACCCTGGAGCCAGGGTCTGTCAGGGGCAGACTGGACCCCATGTGAGGTCATCAGCACGGGAGCTCATGGTGAGGTTTATAATACAAAGTCTAGAGAAAATGTGTAAAGGTTTTGAAGAAGATAGTGCTCCGGCTCTGCTCACTGTTAGGAAGGTATGCAGACATAGATGAGGAGTTTATGAAACGCCTGAGTTTACAATTATTCCTGCTGAGAATCTGTCCTTGCAGTCAGGCCAGTGCAATGTAGTTTAGCCGCAAACTGCAAGTCCTTTATCTCTCGGGAGCCCCTTGTCTCAGCCCTGTCAGCACCTGCCACTACCCCTTCGGCCTCTTTCAATATTCACAGAGGGGATCCTTCTATTAGACTTTCTTGACATTTTTCTTTTCTTCAGATATAGGCATTGGTGATCTAATTCCTGTGGATGTTAATCATTTGGACATTTGTAAGCCAAAGAGAAAGGATGCTTTTTTGTACCAACGCACCTTACAATTCATCCGTGAAACTTTAGCCAAAGACCTTGAAAACTGACAGTTGTCTTCTGTCTTTCATACGTGAAGACAGTGCAAGAAACGTGGCGTTCTCGTTCTTTTTGTAAGCTTTCAGCAATCATGCACCTTCACTAGGACGCCAGTGTGTCTGGAGCACGTGCAGGCGGCAGCATGTGTCCTGTACAGCACAAACACAGCTTGACACAGATGGAAGACCTGGACTGGATTCTTCTGTCTTAAAGGGACTCCCGTGTGTGCCTGTTTGTTGCTGCAGCGTTGCCCCTGGCAACAGGAGCAGCAGTGCGGGTGGAGGAGGACCTGTGTCATCTTGGCCTGTCACGTGCGAGGGCATGCAGGGGGCATGCAGGGGCCTTCTACAAGGAGCCGCCATCAGCCCCCATCCATGTGCCATTTGGAGAGCACCTGGGATGGAGGAGAATGAACTGGGACTGAAAAGACTTTTTGTTTTGGGCTTCCCTGTGTTTTGAAAAACATGTCCGCGTCATCTTAGCCCAGCATGTTAGCATTGCCAGGCCTGCTGTCAGTGAGGGTCACCTCCTCATGAATTTTTATTTTCACATTGCTTGAGAACAAATATTTCTCTTTAAAAAAAAAACTAGCCTGTATTCTGTCCAGCCTGTAGTACGGTTGTTATTTTCCCAGGTAAAGTAGCTAATCCATTGTCTGTGTTAGCTGCATTTAGTATCAAGATTCTTGGATTCTCTCTAAATAAAGTTGGTCAGGTCCTTGAATAATTTTTATTAGTTCCATGTCTTTTATTATAAGGTTAATGAGGAAAAAAGCAATCTCTGGGAAATGACTTTATTCAAAGACCTGCTTTCATAATATGTCATTTCACTTAAAATCCGAGTTTATAAGAACCTATCGAGGACATTAAGTGAGGACTTACTGGATACCTTGCCCATTTGAAGGTGGTAATAACTGACCTCCAGCATGTAGGAAATAGGAACATCTATTGAGGCCTTTTACAAAAATAAATACAGCACTACTGATGACATAACTCACACCCCCCTAAAGTCTCCCCTTTTAATGTAGAGTTCTTTGATTTCTAGTGTATTTGCAGAGCTGTATAACATCAACACTACCCAAGTTCAGAACCTTCATCCCCCAGATAAGCGCAGGCCTGCTGGCGGACATTCTCACTTCCCCACCCCCGTCCCTGGCAGACACTGACCTAGCTCTGTGGGGATACGCCAGCAGCGGTATTTCAGGGATGGCATCATACGCCACGTGGCCTTTTGCGTCTGGCCGCTGCTTTTAGCATGATGTCTCGGGGCTCCTCCAGGATGTGGTGTACATCAGCACCTTATTCTTTCTTATGACCAGATGTTTCATTGTGTGGACTCACATTTATGTCTGTTTTCATCGTTGATGGCCATGTTGGGTTCTTTCCACTTTCTAGTTACTATGAACACTGCTTTGAACATTTATGTGCACATTTTTGTGTGGACATGTGTTTTCCATTCTTGTGGGTATACACTAGGAGTGGGGTTGCCGGATCATGTTAAGCTTGTGCTTACTTGGAAGGTGATGGACATCTGTAGAAGGGATAGGTCAAAAGTACACCTGGAGCACAGCATCTCAGTGTAAAAGGGGTCTTGAGTAAGTCCTGTCATATTGCACAGGTAATGTAACCACGTGATCTGTTACGTAGATTTAGTAATGTAATGGTAGCTAACAACAATGGGGGCTCGCTATTGGGATGACATGGGGAGATCATATAAACATGCTGGTTCCTTTTCTTGTTCTATTTGCCAAGAACCATGACGGATTAATCATTGTTGACATGACTGTTCACTTAACAGAGTAATGAATGAATCACCATTCCTTAAAATCTAATGTCGTCATGATAACTATTCTTTAAAAATAAGGTCTGGGAGAGAGAGCCTGTGTATCACAAAGGTATCTAGTGTTTCTTGCAAGTCATTTAACATTCCTTTTTCTCTGTGAAATGGATAGAATGCACGCATTACTTCAGCAATTTGAGATCTAAGTCAATAATGTTTTTAAAATAATCCTCACTTGAATAACAGTTTGTGGACACAAAGTTGAAAAACAAGTATTTGAAATAGTTTTAAACTTAGACCATCAATAAAGTGGTTTTCTTACGTCAGTCAGCCTTATTTATATATCCTTTCTGGAAAAAAATTTGTAATGAAACCTCATATTGCTTTTCCTCTATGTGAAAGTCTCTTTAAATGATCTTGTTCAAGAAGAAATTAAACATAATATAGGTGTTATAGAGCCTATCACCCAAACCAAGTGTAAATAAAACTCATTTGGAAGTGAAGATAGTTATATTTACTTATAAATCTCGTTCCTTAATCACATTTGCCCCAAACCTTTTAGATCACATTGTTAACCCTGAAACTTAGGGACACTGAATCCCACTTTACCCCAGCGATTAAATGTCACTACAGAGAGTCAGACACAAAACAGAGGGCCATGAGCCCTTTCTCCATATTGTCTCGGCCACTCACCCAGGTTCCACCAAAGGCTGAGGCAGGGAGGAAGCAGCTCTGCTGGCTGGCTGCGCCGAGGCAGGGGTTCCAGCTCCGATTCCTAGTGAGAAAAACAGCACAGTAATGAAGTGGTGTGTATGTCTCTTTGGAACTTGGCTCATGATTTACAATCTCCCTAAAGTTTAATTCCTGGGATTTGAGTTTTAGACACACCTGTTGGAATTTTCATCTCTTTGTAATATTGAATATATTCGTGTATGACTTGGTTTTTATTGACCTTTGGTATAAAATATTATGTCTATGAAAAAAAAAGCTGAATAAATGTCATTTTGAAATACTTAATACCACTGATTGTGCCCTTATATTGAGATGTTGAGCATTCCCAAAAGATAATCACTTAAAATCGATTGGAAATTTGCTTTATGAAAAGTGGCATTTTATAAATTATGGTAATCAAGTAGAAGACATAAAATGACAGTGTAACATCCAAAAAGTAAATCCCCCAGATTCAGAAGAAGCCATTCTTGTAAAAGTTCTAGTTCTTATACTGTTTTCAGCTTTGCTGCAGAGTGTAGAAAGAATGTCACAGAGCCCATGTTCTGGTCCCCAGTAGGGAGACGCTGAGGTAAGTAGTGTTTGTTAGTTTAATGCAGACTTCACATCAGGATCATTAAGTCAAATTTGGAATAAAGCCAGATATGCACTGATACCGAGAACCACGAGAGGGCCTGGATGTGAATGCAATCTCCAAGCATAAAAGGGTGTCGTCGTGTAAGTGTCTGTAATTTAGATTTCAAAATATTTTTAAGTGTTCTGGTCCAAGATGGTGACGTTGCAGTCTACTGAACTCACCTGCTTCCACAGACACCGAGTCTATAGCTACACGTGGAGCCAGTATCTCCTGAAAGAAATGCAGAATCTGGCTGAGTGACTATACACATTGGGTGAATGAGAAAATGCCCACATTGGAACATGGAAGACAGGCTAAGACAAATTCTCCCCATAAGCTCCACCCTTGCACATGAGATACCACAGGAAGGGAACTTAAAACTGCCAGTTTCTCTCTGAGGAATGAAGGGTTTGCACCCAACATCTGATACCCCCATTTTTAAGACTTCCATCTGAAGGACAGATGAACAAAACACCTAGCTTTGGAACTTATAGGGACTTGCATATGCTAAAACCACAAGACCATAGCAAAAAATTAAAGCATTTAATGAGCTTGAGAGGACTGGTTACGCCCCAAGGCTCAGTCAGCATTTCTAACCAGCAGAATTGCTCACCTCACGGTATTTCTCTGGAAGAAGACTTTTTACATACTTAGAAAACTTGGGGCCTCCCTGGGGGCACAAGGGGTTAAGCCTCAACACTATGAAGCTATTGGCAGCTACTGCAGCACGAGTTTGACCCCCGGCCAAGGAGCTGACCCACATAGCACAGCAGACCTCTCTTGACTCGCCCGCTATTCCCCTCAGCATTGTATTTCAGTCAACCAGCCTGCTCTGCTCTCCACTGTCTCTGGTGAATCCTCTCACCCCCCACACCTCTGGCCTATACCCCAGCTCTTATATGAATAAATCTTTTTTAAAAAAAATAGAAGAAACAAAAACAGATAAATTAATACAAAGGAAAACAGAGTCTCAGCAAAACTGGAAGTCGATTCTTAGGAAGGACAATAAAACTGACAATCTTGTAGTGAGACCAATCAAGAGAGGGTGCAGGTTACCGGTGTGAGGAAAGAAAGGTGGTATCATTACAATGCAGGTATTAGAAGATGTTCTGAATACTTGTAGGCCAACATAAATTTTATGTGAAATAGACAATTCCACGAATACTAGAGCTTACCCAGCTTGTTCGGGCAGGGAGGGGAGAACCATCCAGGATGTAGTGCTTGCCCTAACTATTAAAGAAACAGAACCAGGGCCTCCCTGGTGGCACAAGGAATTAAGCACCGCACTATGAAGCAATCCGCAGCCACTGCAGCATGAGTTCGATCCCCGACCTGACAGGGAGCTACCCACATAGCGCAGCAGACCTCTCCTGCCTCACCCACTGCTCCCCTCAGCAGTGTATTTCGTCAATCTGCCTGTTCTGTTCCCTACTCTGTCTCTGGTGAATCCTCTCAACCCCCCATACCTCTGGTCTGTGCCCCAGCTCTTGTATGCATAAATAAATCTTTAAAAAAAAAAAGAAAAAGAACCAGCAATTACAAGTCTTCTCACAAAGAAACTATAGATTGAGTTGACTTTTCTGGTAAACTAATAGAGGAACTAATGCCAGTATTATTGAATTCTTATAGTTAATAGAAAAGAATGTCCCCCCACTCATAAGGTTAGTGTAACTTTGATACCCAAGACATACAAGGATGGTTACAGGTTAATCTCATTTAAAATAGTTGCAAAAATCCTAAATAAAAATATTGACAAATCCAGCAATATTTTAAAGACAATATAACCTGTCCAAGTTGGATCCATATCAAGAATGCAAGGTTGTATTTACCAGTGCAAAAAGTCCATCAATGTAGTTTTGAAAAATTTGTAATAATTTCAATACATCAGAAAACATCTCATAAAAGTCAACAACCATTCATAGAAAAGATAAATTTTATATGTCAGAAAATTGCCTTAATCTAAGAGAGGGTGTCTACAGAACAAAAAATATACATTAAATTTAATGGCAAAAATATTAATACTGTTTGAGAAAAAAATAACAGAAGAATGCCTAATAGCAACATTTCAACACAGTGCTAACACTCTAGCCAGCTTGATAAGGCAAGAGAAAGAAAGACACAAGGATGGAATATAATGAATAAAACCCACTTTGCAGATTATTCAAAAGAATCCAAAAAAATTTCCAAATACCATATTTTATCAACTCTAAGACACATTAAAAGTGTTTTATTTAAAGATTTATTTATGCATAGAACTGGGGTACAGGCCAGAGGTGTGGGGGGGGTGGGAGGATTCACCAGAGACAGAATGGGGAGCAGAGCAGGCAGACTGGCTGAAATACACTGCTGAGGGGAGAAGAGGGTGAGACAGGAGAGGTCTGCTGCACACAGTGGGTCAGCTCCCTGGCTGGGAATCGAACTCAGGCCGCAGTGGCTGGAGATAGCTTGATAGCGCTGAGACTTTAACCCTTGTGCCACCAGGGAGGCCCCAGCACATTAGAAGTATTTTAACTAAAATCTGTGTAACTGGGTTGCATCTCACAATAGATGCTGAGTCATAATTTTGTTGTAAGCTTTCCTCCGTAGTCTATTCCAGGCAGTGTTAGCAACACACCACAGGCTGTGAGGCCCAGCAACATCAACATTCATTTCTCAGAGTTCTGGAGGCTAGAAAGTCCAAGATCAAGACTCCAGCACCATTGGGCCCCGAAGAGGGCTCTCTTCCTGGGTGGATCACAGCCGGCAGCTTCTCACTGTGGGTTTCTTGTAGAAGGTTACTGAGCTCGTTCATGAGGCTGAACCAATCTCCCACAATCTACCTTGAGGAAAGACCTAGCCCCCCGTGGATACAGAGGGGTCTTATCAGATTTCTCCTCTCTCTCTCCGGGAAATCACACAGCCTTGCTTTGCTCAAAGAGAAAAATACAGCAAACCACAAGCCAGAAATTAAAAGAATATTTCATGGCAAAATGTCTAAAGTGCAGTTAGTTATTATCAAGGGAAAACATATAATTTTAAATATCTTTATTGTGAAGACTAAATATAATGAAACCCAGTGCAACTTTTAATTTAAAAAATGAAAGGAACTAGAAGAGGTAAAATGGAAGGCAAATTAAAGATAAGTTGTAGTTAATGAAAAGTGTTAAAAAAATAGAAAAAGATATATAAATTCCAGTGTTATTTGAAAATGCCAATAAAATTGAATAACCCGTGAGAAACCTAATTATGAAACTAAGAACCTAGTGAAGGAAGTGAGAGATGGTTTTCTTCCTTAGTAAATGGAATATTCTAACTACCCCTCACGAAGATGTTGCACCCTTACCTCACGCTACTTACAAACAACATTCCAGATGTTTTGAAGAACAATCTAACACAGATTTATTTAGGTATTTCTATTACCTGCTACTTCTGTTGCTGACAGAATAAAATCCTTGTCATTTAAAGTCCTCTAAAATTCTTTTTTTAAATTTTCTTACAACATTGTGCATTTTTGTGCAGTCATTGGTTGCTCCCCTCAGGTGTAGACCCCATAGTTCTGCTGCCACCACGTCACCTGCCACCTATTACCACAGGCCCCTGTGCTCTTTCCATCCCTGTTTTGATCCTGCCTCCCCCCGCACCAACCCCCTGTGTGCCTCACTTTGTGGTCAGCTTGAAAATTTTGTCTTTTTCTTGACCTTTTGCTGGGTTTCTCTATATTCCACACATAAGTGAGACCATCCGGTATTTATCTTTCTTTCTGTAAAGTCCTCGAAAATTCTTTCGCATTGGCTGGCATCCATTCCATGGACATGAATGTTTGTGCTACTTATCAGCTTCTTAACCCTCTTCCCCCACCCCCACCCCATCTCCCCTGACCCTCGGTTAACTCACCGCTTGGTCATTTGTGCTCTTACCTTGAGACAGGTCTGCCTTGCTGAGAGGGAGTCTTAAACCCTTCTCTTCACTCCTTGGAAAGGGAAGGTCCGGCAGTGTCCTTCTTCCCATGCAACCCCCAGGGCTGCCTGGACTAGCTGTCCTCCCTCCTGGGGGTCATTGAGAACATTCAGGACCTGCACTGAGCTAATCCGCTAAGAACAAACCAGAACACAACTTGAAGGCCATGTGCGCCTCTCCTGCCTCTGGGTTGAAGGTACTCAAACCACAGCAGCCTTCGTAAGTTCTCTACAAGATCTTGGAGAAATGAACTCGGCATTTCTGGAGTCTTAAAGACACACTGGCATAAGGTTATTATCTAGGGTGGGGTCGTGGTCTCAAATGGCAGCTTTTAAGTCATACGTTTTAACCGAATTATTAATTTTCTGTATTTTTTTTCCAACTTAGCTTGACGATTAAAAAACAGTCCCCTAAACAAAAACTCAGCAGAATAAGTAGTCATCACACTTCATCCAGAACAGAAGGCTAGCCAAAGAAGGTACCCAAGGTTCTCGCCACATCTGAAAATAAATTAGTCAAATTAAGAAGAAACACAACATTTAATAGGCACTTTTTACAATTTCAGTATAAATTATCACTTCAAATACACATGACAGGGCTTTCATTAATTGCTAGTCACCCAATACATCATTTTCGCAGCTTTCCTTTCTAAGGAAATTGCTTCTTTATAAAGTGAGTGTTTTAATACATTACTTTGCTTATGCTTATATACATGGCAGGAGAATTTTATTAGATGTCTTGAACTTCAACCAAGTGATGAGTTTTGTGCACCAGATTTAACTCATCTGCCACGTATCTTGACAGTGGCGATGGGAGGTAATTCCCCGAGAGTGTGGCCAGGAGAGGCGATGCTCCCGAGGGCCAGGCTCCTCGCCAACCTTACCTGCATCCACACAGCAGTGCCAGCCACCCAGGGTCAGACTGCTGCATGACTCAACAACACGCAGGACTACTAAATACTACTAAATGTGACACACTAAGATTTCGCCAGTGAATTTACTAGCAAAAATACGCTATCTTCTTCTGCAAACACATTGCAGGCCTGTCACACTCCTTTTAAAATGTAAAGCAATATGGTGATGTCTTTTTCAGTGATTGAGTAAGCAAGAAGGGGTGCTGGAAATGTATAGGAAAGACATTGATAACAACTAAGCCTAATAACCTGCAGATAAGCAAACCTGAGAAGCTGCCTTGTGTGTGTGGGGGGGGGATTCTATACAGGGCCGTGGGGTGCTCTTCCCTGAAGCTACAGCCAGGCAGGCCAGGAGAAAGAAATATTCTTTGTGTAATATACCAGGAAGGATCAATATTCTGGACCAGCTTGAGCTTTCACATGCTGTGTGGTTATTTACCGGGTATGGAATAAAAGGGGAACAAAGAATCCACGAGGTTTCACTGGACAGGGAACAGAGTGTAAACGTTGGCTTAAGTAGCACTCCAGCTCGGGAGCGTCATGATTTACGTGGCATGCAATGAATGTCAGAGACGTGTACGGGAATCTAGCTGGGTAAGCTCAGAGTAAATTACAGGTAGAAGCTCCAGTACATGAGAGCAGTCCCCAGGGTGTACACAGACTCGAGGTCACTGCACCCCATGTTGCTGAACATGGGTCCATGGGAATGTACGGTCCAGTCGTCTGGCTGACCCACTTGCTCTGTTTCAACCTGGTGTCAGTGGGCCCAACCCAGATGTGAAAGCTGCCGTGCCTTTGAGTACCAGCCTGCTGTAGGCATTGGCCTCCAGTGCCATCAAAAAGTCATCCCAAATCCGTAACACAAACAAAATGCAAAAGAAACGCCACCGCATACACACATAAACTGAGCAGCCTTTTAAATTCAACAGACGTGACCTCGTGGGCGTCCTCAGTGCACCCGCCTTCTCTCAGCCACACACCTGATCTCACGGGGGCTCCCCACCCGAGGGGAACCGTGAGAGGCACAACCCTGGAGCGAAACCCATCCTGGTGTCGAGTCACAATCTCACTGAATAAGAGACCCAGTTGTTGTAAACTACAAAGAGTGACAAGTGGGCAGGTCTTTTCAGGGCCTTTAAATAGATGTCTCTTTGACTGGGTCGGGGAGGCCCATGGGATCTTCCCTCTAAGTGAGGCCTGAGGGAACAAGGACAGCCTGAGAGAGCATGGCTGCTGGCCCGTCATGTCTTTGCCAGGGGGTCGAACACCTGCAGCACCGTCCTCTTGTCGTTGTCGCTGATGGTCACCCAGGGACCCGAGTCTTGCTGCCTGTCCTGCGGCGGTCGGTCCTCAGTGGCCAGGGCACCACCCTGCAGGGGGACTGTGTGTGCTCTTCCCAGCCGCCTGCTCCCCGGGTCCAAGGGCTCGGAGCTCTTGGACAGCCAGGCATTATTCAACAGGTTCGGATGCTGGAGAAGGTTCCAGAAAGGATCCTGATGACTGCTGGGCAGGGAGGCCGCCCCTGGCTTGGTCTCCGTGGGGCCATCAGTTTCAGGGCTGGTAGCAGGTGAGGTGCCAGGAGGAGCTGGCTGTGGGAAGAACGCGCCCCCAGAGGGCTGGTGGGCAGGGGGACCCTCGCTGGGGCTGCCCCTTTCCTGGGGGTGCTGAAGGCCCTGGAGGCTCTGGCTGCCGCTCTGCAGAACCTGCAGGTGGAAGGCCGCTGGGGCCGACTTCTTCCTCCTGGGGGGGACCCGGGGTACAAGAGGTGGGACCTCCAGAGGGGGCGGCGTGGTGGCTCCGGTCACAAGAGGACCGTGGCCTGGCGCTGGCTTCCCGCCGCTGGGCCTCCGCTGGGAGCCTTTGCCAGGCTGCAGTGTCCTTGGTTTGGGAACAGGAGGGACAGCAGCTGCAGGAGGGGCTTCGAGGCTGGTCTCCAGGGGCCCGATGGTAAAGTGGACAGCGGGTTGTTCTTCTGGTGACTCGGGCTGAGAAAGGGCATGACAGAGAGTGTAAGTGTGAGGCCGAGAGCGTGGGGAGTCAGGGCTCATGTGACAGTCAGCCAGGAGGCAGAGCCGGGCCGACATTCCCAGATTCAAGATCTGACAATGTCTGGGAGGCGGAAACGTGACTCGGAACGAAGAAGCACAGGCAAGTGCACCAACCACAGCGCCCACGCTCAATGGACGTTTTAAAAGCAGGGCCACAGAGAATCACAACATTTTTCTTTGTTACCTTAAGACATGGGGTTATGTTCTCTCCCGATTCAAAACAGACCTCTCCGGAGGCCACCGCTTTGGTAACAGAGTCTGCACCAGGCTCGGGCGGAGCACCTGACAACTTACAGGACAGCGTGAAGCAAGGGAAGGAGCAGCAGAGACACTTGCTCCTTGAATCTTCGCTATTTAAATACAGAAGGTGCAAATTTTACCCTGGAACGTCACCCTTTCAAAACCAGCACCAAGGCCAGCAGTGCTGGGGGAGGGCAGCTCCGCACAGGTGGCAAGCAGCAGCCTCCCTCAGCCTCCAGGGCGCTGTCTGTCAACTCTTTAGAAAACAAACTGCAGAAGCAAATGGCCCTGCGGTGGGACCAACAGGTGGGTCCATTCCTGCCCCAGCTTTTAAAACCCAAGACACAGCAAGCGCAAGGAAACGGAGGAGGAAGGCGGCCTATTTTGCAAGGCAGGAAGACAGATGGGCAGGAGCAACATATCACAGAGCAGCCACGGCAGCCCACACTGGCTGCAGGAGCGCGGTCACGCCACGGCCGCGCACCATTACCGAGGGTCGCGCCACTAGAGCCCTGAGATCACACGGAAGAGCCAGCCGTCTCTACGGGCGCCATTCTGTGGGCGGCCACTGTCCTGACCAACTCATGCCTTTGAAGCAGCAAGCAAGGCTGGGGGGCTTGGGCGTGAGAGCGAAAGACAACCTGCAAGAAAAGTGGCAAGAACAGCCCCAGCGTCCAAGGTCACCAAGGGCCATCAAACCCTGATCCAGCAAGCATGACTGCTTCTCTGACACCAACAAAATCTCCAGGAGAAGCCGTGTGCACGAGACACAGGCCATGCACGCATGGGGACGCCTGGACAAAGGCACCCACGTGGCTTGATTTCAGGACAGAAGCAGAACACGAAGGAAGTGTGACACCGCCAAGCTGTTCCTGTCCTGTTTTCCTGCTCAGCCAGGGCAGCAGGGACACACAGGGGAAAGCGCCAGGGCGGGGCTGTATCTGGGACTCGGGAGGTGCGTGGACAGGCCCCAACCTGGCTGGGACAGTGCCGGCCAACAGGACATTGGGGCAACCCAGGAGGAGGAGGCTCGGCCGGAAGGTTCTTACCTTTCCTGTCCTCCTCAAGGTTGGCTTCTTGATGGCAGGAACTCTGGGTGGAGGGCGCCGGGGCAGGATGGGGGGCACCCCCACTGGTGGCTCTGGTTTGGAGGAGCCTTGGTCTCTCAGAGCTGAGGCACTGAGGGCTTCCCCTAGGGCACCTGAAACATACAATTGCAGGCTCAAGTGTAAAAGACCAGGCAATTTGCTGTGGGACTTAGTCTTGGGACCATCCCATCTGTATTCTGAAGGAATGAGTCAGCGCAATGTCTTTCATTGTTTATAAAAAAGCAGTCTTTGAGCGAGGTTCAGTCCTAGCTTCTCATTCTTGTCTTCCCCATGGGGGTCCGAGGATGGCCCCGAGGATGGCCCCGACCCAGCAGGGTCCATGACCAAGAAAATGTGAAGTTGGAGCCCAGAGGAGATTTCAAATTTCAAACCTCTTCTAATCTCTATATATTTACAGAGACACAATTCACATACCATGAAATCCATCACTTAAGACTATATAATTCAGTGGTTTTTAATAAATATGCATTGCGCAACTATCCCTGCTGTGTAATTCCAGAACATCTTCACACATGTGCCCATACCACCTGCTCCCGTCTCCTCCTCTCCAGCCTAGGCACTACTAACAGCTTCCTCTCTTCATGGATTTGCCTATTCTAGGTACTTCATTTTTTTTAAAGATGTATTTATTTATCCATACAAGAACCAGGGTACAGGCCAGAGGCGCGGGAGGGTGAGAGGATTAGCCAGAGACAGAGTGGGGAACAGAACAGGCAGACTGATGAAATACACTGCTGAGGGGAGCAGCGGACGAGACAGGAGAGGTCTGCTGTGCCATGTGGGATTCTCACCGGCCGGCAGGGATCAAACCTGCATTGCAGAGGCTGCAGACAGCTTCACCTTCACGGCGCTGTGCTCAACCACCTGTGCCACCAGGGAGGTACTTCTTCTTAGCTTTTTTACTTTGCATACCATTATCAAGACTCACCCATGATACAGCAGGTATTAGAACTTCGTTCTTTTTATGGCTGAGTAACACTCCACTGTAGCTGCATATGTTGCTTATCCATGCTTGTTGAAGGGCACTTGGGTTGCTACATTCATACAACTCTAGGGGATTTTTCCTCCCATAAAGAAACCACTTGTGATAGTGTTACCCTTCAAGAGTGTTTCACAACCTCCTAATCCATACCCTCATTAAATACTATTTATTCAAATTAGAAATAAATTTAAAATCCTGCCTAAAAGCTAATGAGGCTTTTCAGGCACATGGCTTTTCAGAGGCATAATCTCCCTGCTTCAAAAGACAGTCTCCCAGGGACTGAGGCGGAGGGTCATGGTATGTTGGTGTGGGTGTGAATCATACAGTTTTGTGAACCAAAGTTACCTCAAAAAACTAATTTAAAAAAGAGAGCCCACTACAAAAAAAAAAAAAGTTAATTACCAGTGACTTTGAAGGTATGGGGAAGATTCCATATTAAAACATGGTTAACATGGGCTAAGTCAAGTAACAACTACAGAAGAAATGAAAAGGTACAGTGGAGAAGAGGTCCCTGCCTTAAATTTAAAAAGTAGATTTTGTACCTGAAATAGGACGAGCACACCTCAGTCTCGCTGCTCTTTTTTTTTTTTTTTCTTTTTGCAGAACAGAATGAGTTAAGCGTCTAGAACATGAACCTTTTTGAAAATTCATTTTTATTTCACTTTAGTCTCTCCCTTAAGTGCTGCTTAATAACCCTGGGGTTATATTTATGTACTTATTGAACTTTAAACATAATTTTAAATAGACAAATCTTAGTGGAATCTTACAAAATGTTGCTGAAGGGCACTTTCATCTAATCCTGCCTCTGGGGAAAAGAAGAAAGTTATTTTCACTCCTAGGCCCCTTTGGCTGGGAAGGAGAGTGGCCTTTCCCCGCGGGGAGGCAGCCCACGCGACACCTACCTCCTCTGGCTTCCAGGAGACACCGGATGGCTGCTTCCGCCTCCTGGGCGTTGGTGGTTTTGATCTGCTTGACGTTATATGGTTTACTGATCCCAGTCCTAGCTTTGGGCTTGAGGACAGATTCAGAAGGGCAGCGTGTTAGTACCCGCAGGAAAAGAGCCTTCCCGGCGCATTAGCCACGGCTGCCACTGAGCTCCACCGGAAGGTGATCCAGCGCAAACTCCAGTCTCGATCCCTCCCTCCTGCCTCCCCATCCCAGGCGGTCTTATGCCAAGAAGAGGAATGCCATCCTGTTCAGAGTTGCCAGCCTCATCTCCCAGTGGTCAGAAGTTTTGTGATATGGACAAGCCATCCTCTGACTTTAATTCAATAACCAGAGAAAAACCAGAAAGTCCCATCAGCGGCCACACCTTCTACCCCCCAAAGGAGCGGTGTGTTTCTTCAAAAGTGATTTTTCTAGCTCTTCTCCTTCTTATCTCTGGAGCCAAACCTCTGGGTCGCCTTTGATGGGCGGTCTTCTTTACTGTAAACCGCTGGTATCTAGTCAGTGCCCACTACTGCTGTGAATGGTAAGTGTTGGGCAGGGCCCAACCCTCCAGGCCCTCCTGGTACACCTCTTTCCCTCCTGCTCCTCGGATCCCCACCTACATCTTCCTCAGCAGCCCATGTCTGCCTCAAGCCCCGCCTCTCCAGTCCACCACGGCCCTGACTATCTGCGGAGTCACCAGGCCCAGGGTGTCCTGCTACCTGACCTAGGCCCGTTAGATCTCCTTTCAGCTCCTTCTCTCAACTACCTCTACCCCAGGAAAGCTCATTATTTCATCAATACACCCAATTTCTCCTATGACATTTGAATTTCTCCTATTTTCCCCTGATCAATCCTTGCCAAGGTCACAGCCAAGCACTGGAAGAGAGACAAGAAGGTGAGGAAGGAAACCAGCAGCCCCGCCTGCAGGGGCACTTGGAACTTTCCATCAAGGTGGCTTTTCTCTCTCATTGCCTATAGGCCATTGAAAGCCCCATAAGGGACCTCAGAAGAGTAAGAAATATGCTGAAAAAGCCACGTGCTCCCTTCTCCACTCCTGTGATGTAAGCCAGATGGTCGGAAAAAGGCCAGTCCTGGGCCTGAGGGGCGGGGCTTGGGGATGAGCAGGTGGATAGTCACAGGGCTGAAGAGAGAGAACAGAGGTGGCTCCGGGTGATCTCAGGTGGTGGATGAACTAAGGAGCGGATCCTTGGGTTTGAAATACAGAGAACTCACCGCTTGCTGAGGGGCTCCTGGCAGAAGTTTTGCTGTCTGCAAAATCGAGTACTGCCCGTGGGTGCCTGAGGAGATGGACACATCCGAAGCCGACTTTTTCACCACTAAGCCAGCTGTAAAGACCAAGGAGGGAGTGTCTCAACCGCAGTGGAGTCGCTGGTTGCTCTGGGGCAGATGCTCAAGCAGCCGGGAGCAAGCAGGGCAGACGAGGCTGGCCCCAGTCTTGGCCAGGGGGTGACTGACCCCGCCCTGCATCCACGCCACTGTCTCCTGATGCTCTAACTGCTTGGACCTGTTACTGGAGACTCTCTGGTCAAACATCATTTGAACATAAATTTTAATCTAAATCCTGAACCTGGGAGGTTTGAAACTGATCAGCGAACTAATTTTTTTCAGTGGTTTAAAATACCCCAATGTTATTGGGACTATGTTTTTCAAATGTTTGTGGACAGAATCTAAACATCTGGGAATAAATGATATTATACTTGCGACCATTAACAAATCACATTTTTCCAATTTAGTGACAAGACATTACATGAAAGACAATGACCAAGCAAAACGGGGGCTGATTTTGTAAACCAAACCAAACACACACAGTAACAACTGCGCAGATGCATGTATAATTAGAAAAGAGCTGATGCCTTTTAACAATTGCTATCGCCAATGAGTTTTAAATCATGATTCTTCTTTATATTTATCTATTTTTGTAAATCTTCTAGCCATGACAAATTCTATTTTCTGATTTATCTTTTTATTTTCTGAGCCTCAACTCAGAAGAGTAAGAAATATGCTGAAAAAGCCATGTGCTCCCTTCTCCACTCCTGTGATGTAAGCCAGATGGTCGGAAAAAGGCCAGTCCTGGGTCTGAGGGAATCTGCCTGATGGGCCTCCCCCAGAGAGGAGCACACAGCAGGGGCGGACAGAATCTGTGGAGAGCATGTCCTCACTTCGTTTGCTGATTCAGGCACAACGTGATAGACAAGGCACGATTTTCTAGAAGCTGGGAAGAGCAGCACTACCTGAGGAGGAAGCCCAGGCTTGCAGGTCAGGGCCCAGAGCCCGCACGTGCCTGCTCACAGGGGCCCGTGGGCTCCGTGAGTCCTGACGAGTCGGAAAAAGGCAGGTCGCGGGCAAGGGCAGAGGATGCTGTGAGATGCTGCAGGCCAGGGGGAGGAAGGAGCCGAAACAATCCCTGCCTGGCTGTGCGGCCCCAGTTTTCCATCCTCTGGGTCCTTAAACTAAAAGCAGCTTAAAGCAAAACAGCTCCAGGAGCACAGAGGACAGCCCCAGAGACGAGTCACCTCATTTGCCAGGAGCAACCCAACTATCTCTCATCGCGAGCCCGTCCTGGATGCGAAATAAGAAGGAGCCGAGGAGGAGGCAGTGCAGGGGCTGAGGCTAGGTGGCAGGGGTGGAGAGCCACGGCTCAGCAGCAGGAAACAGGCTGTTATTCCCAGCAGGCATCGCGGCAAGCTGAAAGCAAGCAAGTCTTACTTGGAGGGGGGGGTCTCTGCGGTGGGTGAGGTGGCCGAGGCCTATTGGGGACCGACAGGGACCTGCTTGGAGAACGGTGGCGGGGATTCCCAACTGCTTCCAGCTCCTGCTTTAACTCCACCAGGTCAGCGTCATCTGGAGGACATGGTGGGATGTAAGTCAGGTCAGCAAGGAGGATGGCTGGGGGAGGCAAGCTCCCGGGGCAGCCGTTCGTCCCTCTCTGCTGGTGTGGGGTTGGGGGCACCGATGCCTGCTTGGAAGTCAGTGCATCATGGGAAGCCTTGTCGTGCGGACAAGAGAGACACTGGGGTATGTTCGAGTGTAGTTCTGTTTCCTTCTGAAATAATCAACAACACTTGCACAGAGGGGAGGAGGCAGCAGAAACCAGAGTCCCTCATTTTTAATTCCTCACACTGAAAAGGGCCAACTATTTTGGAAGCTGAGAATATTCTCATTTCTCTGCCAGCTCCCAACATGGCGTCTCCCTGCTCTGAGTCCAACATATGTAGGTAGCAGCCAGCCACGTCCCATGCCTTCGCCATCTTGATTTGTCCTGCAAATACCTTCTAAGGTAGTCCCAAAGCGGGGGCAGGAGGGCACTGCTTCTGTTTATTACACATATAAGTTACAGAAATTACTGAATTACATGTCAATTCAGTACAATTTTAGGTCTTCTCTCCAGCAGTATAGCACAGCCTGACTCATTTCACTTGGTTCAGACACCACCGATCCCTCAAATCCAACCCCGTGTATCTTGAGGCGGAGCTGGACAGAAGAGTTACCTTTCTAAGGGGAAAGTCCACATATCCACGGCATGGAGCGCACCCCATGTTCCCCCAGTGCCCACCATGTAACCTCGCGGGGCTCTATTAACTTCATCCAAAGAGGATTTGTGCTCTCAGTGGCCCTGCTCCCAAGAGGCTGCCTGAGTGACTGGCACTGCCACAGAAAGGGCCACCTCTTGTCTGAGGAACATGTCCCTTCAGCTGCCAACCTCAGGGTTTTGCCCACTGGACAAGCAACGTGCAGGACCACCTGGGGCTGGCTGGCTGGCCGAGGCACCATCCCTGGGTCTGGCAGCTGCCCCCAGAGATGGCTGTGGTTCTCTGTCACCTGGGCAGCTTCTGAAATGCCAGAATTCCAGGGCCCCAGACCGCCCTGCCAAGCCCACATCTCCAGGATGGGGCTCAGTAAGCTCTAAGCTTAAAAGCTCCAGGTGGTTCAAGACAGCCAGGCTCTAGCCCAGCTGTGGGACAAGGAGACAGTCCTGGGGGCCTGAGCAAGCACCTCTCAACGTGGCTTCCCTGCAGGCATCTTAATTCACATTCACCCCTGCTGTCTGTTCTCAGATCCAGCTCAAAGGATCCTGATGTACGGCGGCACCTGAACCTGCCAATCATAGCTGTTTTTCATGGGGAGGCCCAAGGACAGGCGGGCCAGGGCCACGGGGCTGCACCCAAGGAAATATGAACCCTGTCCTATCCAGCTCATAGAACTAGGTGGGCCTAAAACATATTCTGAGAGTCAGCAGGCCATCTGCTATTCAATCCACATGACCTTCAGCTCCTACATCTACAATGATATACGACAACACTGATGCAGGCTATTACTGTGTAATAATATGTCATAGGGCTCTCACATCACCCTGGCAGTCAGCGCATTGAAATTAAATGTCTCTTATGGGATTGAATCAGAAAACTTTAGAGAGGAAAAATAATACTCAGAAATGTAAAAAAAAAAAGGTGGTCATTTGAAATACAGAGGAGACAGGAATTATCATGAGCTGGTAGGTTTTAGGGGTACCAGTTCTAAAAAATATATACATTAAAACCATTAGAAAGTCAGCCTCTGGGGGCCTAGCCCCACCACTGGCAAGGGCCCCCATTTTAGCCCTTCCCGGGATCTGTGCCCCAATTGGTGGTGTTGTAACTGAGGCATAGGTTCAAACTGCTCTCAAACCCTCAAGCACAAAAGGAAGAAGTAACTTTCTCCCCGAGTTTGCTTTCACAGAACTGGAGCTTATCTGCAGATGATGCACCTAAGCAAGTAGAAGGACTCGCCTTCAGACTAGCCTTCAACTAATCTTGAGCCAGGACGGCTGGAGCTGGGAGACACAGATGCAGAGGCGGGGGGCTACCAGCTGGGGGGCCACCAATGGAAATTCACACCCCAGCTATCTGGAGAAAGCCTCTTCATACTTGTCCATGTAGGAACTGCCCTTGACTGGCCACTGAGCCAAGGCCATGCTTCTTGGCCCTCAGCCCACTCTGTAGTCAACAAAACAGAGCTCCTCTGTTCTCAACCCTGGTCCCTAAAACCTATTTAACTGCATTCTCTCTCTTAATCAAGATGGCGGATTTGAGTTCATCATCTGTTCTCCTTGCCAGTAGATTTGCCTCTTTCTTTTCTCAACACCTGGCAGCAGCCCCTGTGGGCAGCAAGCCTGTGACTGAGCTCTGGTGCCCGGGAGCTGAGAGAGGGGCCTCGACACCAGGGCTAGGGAAAGAGGAAGGTCCCGGCTACCTCTGTAGGTCGGATGCTGCTTCTTCTTGGTGAGAGCAGGTGAGCAGCTGAGGGGAGCTGCTGCCGTGGTGCAGGGGGCTTCGCAAAGCTCGTCTGCCCCCAGCTCGCCATCTGAGATCACAGGTTGACTCAGCTCATCCACCAGATCGTCTTCGTCATCTTCAATGATATCCCCTTGAGAAGGAAATGAGTCACAGCAAACAATTAGGGTCAAACAGCACAGCCTTTTGCCAGTGGGTTTGTTTCAGCACTGAAATGACAACTCGAGTCAGGACGCCCTCTGCAGCCCACAGACACCACGTGTTGGGGTGACTGGTCCCCAAGTCTAGGCACACCTGACCAGGCCCGCAGCCCTGAGTCCTCACAGCCACTGCCATCCAGGCCAGGTCCCGTCACCATCTCAGGCACAGGAAAACTGCCCAGCCCAGCCTACACAACCTCCCCTGCCTTCAAGCCTCGAAAGCCTCACTGGGCAGGGCTTAGGAGGATGGTGAAAATCCCCTGCCAGTTTCCAGGACAGCTCCTTGCTTGCCCTCCTCGCCACACCTGGGAGGACCCTCCAGAGCCACTCACCTTCCAACTCATAGTCTAAACTCGTGAAGTCGAAGTTCTCCTCCAGCAAGCAGGAGTTGGCAGTGGGCGACATGGAGGCCATGCTGTCCCGCTTCCGGATGATCTCCTCTTGCAGGCCTTTCAGCCAGTCCTTTGTCTTGGGTCTAATCTTCACGGCACGTCCTTTCACCTGTGCGGGCAAAGGGGCCACCCCAGGGTCAATGCAGGGGGCACGGCCACTCCCTTTGATCTCCAAGGACTTCTTGCGCAAACTCATCACCAGAGCGATGCCCATCATCACGTTTTGCCAAGAAAACCTGAGGGTCGGGGCCCAGACACACTCAGTGCGCTCCCACCCGGCCTAAAGGGGAGGTGAGCTCTCGTCTCCCGGTTGCATTCACGGGAATTTGAAATCAGAATCATCATCAAGATGGGAACGATGGAATCCACATGTTCCAGACGATGCTGTCTGAAGAGGAGGAGGCAAGGTGCTCCCACATGGACGTGAGCGCGGGGACAGGCCAGTATGTGGTGGGCGCCGCCCTCCAGAAAGTGCTTTCTCCTAAATTCACACACTAGATACCTCATTGGACGTTGCAGAATGAGATAAGGGAATGGGGCATCCCTGCTCCTGATCCCATAGCTTCCCGCCCCTAAAGGCATGAAGGAGGGGACCCCTCATGCGCCTTCACCCAGCCCCAGGAGAGCTCAAGCAAGCCCTGGGGCCAGCAGCCTGTATCTCGGCGATCAGCGCGCTCACCTTCATGCCGTCCACGTCCAGGACGCTGAGGGCCGAGTGACTGTCGGCGAAAGTCACCAGCATCTGTCCTTGGTTGATCCTGGGATGAACGAGATTCGCCATGTCAACCGCATGGCAACTGGGCAGCACCCAGGGCCGCATCATGCACCCGCCCAGGCCCTGGCCGCGGCACCTGACCAGGACGATCGTCCCGTAGCTGCCCAGCGTCTGCATGAGCTCGGTGCGCACATCCTCCGGGAACTCGCTCTTCTCTTCCAAGGTGGGCGACTGCAGGTCCACGACCACGGTGGCGTCCAGGGGGCCCTGATAGGAGGACACCTCCTGGAACACCCGCTCCCGCGCACTCACGTCCACTTCTTGCACTTCCACCTCCACGACGGCCAGCACAGGCCTGCAGCGACACGGGTGGGAGTGAGCCCAGGTGAGACGCCCTGCGGACGCCCCTCCTGTGGGCTGGCCTAGAGTCTCACCATCTGCCTGGGGCTCCAGAGCTCGCACAAACCATCCCACAAACCATCTGGAGGGGCAGTCTCCCGTGGCGAGGGGTGCAAGCCTTTCAGGGGGCTGGCTGGCATTTGTGTTAAGATTCTCAAAGGACGTTCCTCTCTTTGGCCCTCCCAACCTCAGTTCTAGGACTCTGTTTTGAGGAATTGACCAGAGTCAAAGATTTACATACACGGTAGATGCTGCCAGCACCTTCGTGGGAGTACAGAGGGGGAAACAGTCTGACTTTTCTGTAAAAGGATGAAAGCTGAGACGCAGCCACAGGGGCACACGCTCTGGCGCCATCCAGGGTAACCTTGTGGAAATGTACTGGACACACACCAGGTCGGAGGGAAAGGGTGCGCCATCACCGCAATTTTGACATAAGAACAGGTGCTTATAGGAACTTTATTAGGAAGATAATGTATCTTGACTGAAGACATTTACAACTTTAAGTAGAAACGCCAAGTAGAGCGCAAAATATACAAAATGGTAACAACCCTTAAAGCTGGGAAATGCTACAAAAATTAAGAGACACGGGTGACACTATGAGTAGTCAGCCCCTGCCCCCGGGTTTATATTACTGTTGGTAGTTTTTTTGCATGTAGAAGCAAAACAAAAGACAAAGAAAAATCTGATAGAAGGAACTGCATGACTGAGTTTTTTAAAAACTTCCTTTAGCATAATAACTTTGGAGACAGCCCTCGTATTGGAGAGCGGCTGTGGAGCTGGACAGCGCTGGAGTCACCCAGGGAGACTGGCGCTATGACCCCAACCACTGCATCACCCAAGAGTTACGCTGCCTGAGAAAAGCCTGTCTCCTAATTCCACTGAGAGAACATTCTGGAGATGACAAAATGACGCAAAGGGAGAAAAGACCAGGGGTGACGCGTTAGGGAGGGGTGGGCGAGGGAAACAGGCCCCCTGTGTCCTCCTGCCTATGTCAACGCCAGTGTCATCGTCAGGACGCCGTACTAGATGGACAGCATGAACACGGGGGACCGCCGGGTGCAGGGTACTCAGGTCATAACTGCATGTGAGCTACAATCATCCCAAGCTAACGCGTTTCATTAAAGAACACGAAGGTAGCAAGTAGAAGAGCAAATGATAATAACCCGTCTACAAGCATGTGCACACGAACACGCCACACACAGTTACACTTTGGGGTAGAAGCTCCTAATGGGGTGGAGAAGGCAGGGAGAGGGGACAACAGGCCACTTCTGACGCTGTCTCCGAGGCAGGGCTGTGGATGATTTGCCTGATGTTCATGGACATGTTTCTCCCTAATTGTCAGTACCTAGATGAGCCATTTCCGTGACTAGAAAGCCAACACGTGTCTGAGGTGCCTCCCAAACCAGCGTGTGTAATGCACACTTTCCAGTCACCCCAGCCAAGCAGCTGCTGACCCCAAATCCTGGGGTCACCCTCAAGTCCTCTTCCCTCACTCCTCATCCAACCCATCAGCCAACCCCCATCCAACCCAGTGCGCACCCTCAAGGGAAGCTGGGCTTGCTCGCTCCTCTTACAACATCCACTCAATGCTAATCACCCCAACCCTGACCCTGGCCTGAAGCCGACTCCGTTTCCTCCCTGGCCTCTTGGCTGCCTTCCTGCCTGGTCTCACGGGCTGACTCTGTTAACTTAGTCACATGATGCTGCTCCTCAGCAATGAGCAAAAGCCTGTGGGCTCCCATCCAGCCTGGTCTCTTGCTCATCTCATCACCTTAGGACACTTCCCTGAGCTCAGTTCCAGCCGTCTGTCCTCCAGACTCCTGCGTGCTTGCTGCAGGCCCCCGCCCTGGAATGCTGCCCCCCCCTCCACATGGCTCCCAGCCTTGCCTCCTTCAGATCCTACTCCAGGTCCTCTTATCAGAGGCTCTCCCTGGACACTGGGTGCAGACACCGCACCCCTGTCTGAGCCTTCCGCTGCTTGCTTCCTTTCGTAGCATTTCTCTGCTTGTTGTTTGTCTGCCTCACTAGAAAATTCCATATGAGAGCACGGCCTCTTCTGTCTTGTTCACTGTGCACCCTCAGGGCCAGAAGCTGGGCTTGCTGTTGAAGGCCTCTGACAGACACTGATTATATGAACACTTCTAAATGCACTGACTGACCCAGCACACCTGGGGGCACAGATGCAAGACCCCCAACTCCATGTCTAACTGTATTTGTGATAACAGGTTTCCAAAGAATTTACACCTAAAGACACCCACCAAGTCTTCATAATTTCTTTCCCTGTAAGGATGAAATTGACAGGAGCCTGGGAGAGTCACACTTGCCCTGTCTACACCCCCAAGTACAGAGGAAGTTCCCTCCCTTGAGGTGTTCCTCGGGCGGCCCCAGCTCACAGACCCCTGCTGAATGCTGGACACGCCAGGCCAAGGCAACAGTTCAGAGCATTTCAATGTCCTCAATCCAACACCCAGACACCCTACAAAATATTAGAAAAACTACTCATCAGTAGGTGAATGTCGAAAATCCACAGAACGCTGGATAGTGGATAAATGAATGAGCCAGATCACTAGTATCAACATGATGGCATTTCAAACGTTTAACGCAAAGCAAGAGGCCCAGTGACACACTTAGGAGATGTTAACTGGCAAATCCAATAGGTTGTCTTTGATATTTTCATCAAGAATGACATATGTGGTACAAAACATGCTGGCGTCAACCCGTCCTTGGTGACAGGCACACAGGCACAGCACTGCTCTCTGCCCTTGACTGACACTTCTGTCTCTCACACTCACACAGGCGGGCAAGCAAGCACACACTGGGGGAACAGTGCACTGCCCTATCTCTCACATGTATGTGTGCACACGTGCACCCTCCCCAGGGGCCAGCACGTGTCTTGGCTCATACGCACATGTGCACATATGCATACACCCCCAGGGCCAGCGCATGTCCTAGCTCACACATGTGTGCACATATGCACACATTCAGGGGCCACTGCATGCCCTGGCTCATACACACATGTGTATACATGCACCCTCCCTGGGGCCAGCGCATGTCCTGGCTCACACACATGTGCAAGCGTGCACACATCCAGGGGCCAGAATATGCCCTGGCTCACACACACGTGCGCATGCGTGCACACACCCAGGGGCCAGCATGCTGTGAGCAGCAGCTGCTGTGACCCCCTTGGCTGTGAGCAGCAGCTGCTGTGCCCTCCTCTGCCGAGGAAAAGCACCCAGCAATGGCGAGAACCCTACCTGTGGTCAGATGCCTGCAGCTCGGCGCGGCCATAGTACTTGAGGACGCCGGGAGACCACGTGTGTCTGACGGTGGTGTCGGCATCCAGGTCGTGGTCGAGGAGGTTGAGCTCTCCAGCTACGCACAGGGATTCCAGTTGAGAGACCCACACATGACACAAAATAGCATCAACATATAAACACGCCACTGATGGGACTTCTACGACAGGGACCGCTGTACCTGCATCACTTGTCTCAGACTCATCTCGCTACCCCGTGGCCTGGCAACTATGCCAAGGTGCCATGGGAGCCTGGGGGAAAAATGCCTCCACACGATAACCCCAGGATGTGAGGCCAGAGCAGTGGACACCTCACCTGTGGGCAGACTGGGCAGGGACCTGACATCGCAGCACGGGGTTTGGGCAGGAGTGGCGCCTGCACCCCTTACAGGAGGTGGCGCAGAGGCTCAGGGCAGGGGGACCTTGGGGTCTGGGTCATCAGACGTCCACAACTGGACAGGAGCTGCACAAAAATGCATCTTTTCAATGTGAGATTTCCTGGCCTTGAGAGCTCAGCATACAGGTCGCCAGGAGGGTGAAGTCGTTTATGTTCTAGTATGTAGATGTTCTAATTTGAAGCAGACTGCACTTCCCGGCTGGGCATCAGAACGGATTAGTCTACTAATTGATTACAAATGAGACAACTCTATTCTCTATGGTGTCTCGCTCGGGTTTGACTTGGAATTGGGATTTTAAGTGGGTAAGAGTCTGGTCGAACATAAGGGCTGCATACAGTGCAGGAGCACATGGGGAGCGGAGCTGCAGGAAAAGCTGAGGCTTCTCCGCTCCTTCCCCACTGGGAACAGAAAGCATTGGGGTGTTGTGGAGGGACAGCCTTGATCCAGGGGTGGGGAGGCAGGAGCAGGGTCATCTGCAGATCAGACTCCCTAGAAAGAGGCCAGCAGGGAGCACTTCCGTAGCTGGGATGCTAACAAGTGGGATGACTTTGTGCAGTTTTGGGTTATGGAGATGATTGTTATTTATACAGCAAAAAGCACTGGGCCAAATCAGGTGATTTCCCCGTGGTGCTGACTGTTCACCCTCCACGGCTCTGAGAGCGCACCTGTCCCACCCACCTGTTCGGTCAAAGGGATGCCTCTTCCTCCACCACAGGACACGGTCTGTCCAGGCGGGGGTGCGGCACTTGTCGCTGGTGTCGTAGGCAGCAGAGCCAACGTCATACTTGTAGGTGGGTCCGAAGTTAATGGCACCTTCATGAAAGTCTTTAAAAATCTATGGGGTTAAAAGAAGTCCCAAGGCTACTTTAGTCCACCTAGATTCTGTACATTACATGCAAAAGCAAAACATAAAAAAGCCACATGCTTCACTTCTAGTAAGTCAGGGTCTGAGCTGCATTTGCAAATGTGTCCAAAAACTGGACATATGTGCGCTACTTAATGAGCATTTTTCCTATTATGCCAAAGCCTAAGAAGTCTCTAAGAATCTATTCCTGGGGCATCAAGGGGCCAACTATGAGTCCTGAAACTTGATGGTCTTGGACTGCTTCATGGCTCTGGGGATTATGTGACCTTGAACAAGCTATTTGACCTTGGCCTTGGTTTCCTTATCCATAAAATGGGTATAATACCTAACTTGTAGGATGGGCTTGAGGATTACAAGCACACATTGGAGTGTAAAGTACATTAGGTATGTTAGTGTGTTAGTATGTTCAGGAACAAGCAACCATGCTGTCACCAAAATAAAGTATTCAGTGTCACCTCATGGTCCCATCTGTTTGGAATATAGCTGCCCCTACAAAGCAGACATGTGACCTCAAGGTATTTGGCCTTGCGGGCATGACATGGCAGGTGCCCAGATGCTGACCGGGTCCTCGTGGGCAGTTCTGACTCGGGCTGACTAGGCTGGGAGGACACAGGACAGAGGGCCCAGCTAGTCTGAAGGGGAGGGGCAGCACACCCACTTCCAAGCACAGGCCACAGGCACTGGAGTGGGCAGAGGCCAACGTCCTTTCACGTAGCGATGGTCCCTCTGGCCACAGAAAGCCACATGAACCCCGAGTCTAAAACCACACAAGCTCATCCAAAGAGCAACTGGAAACACATGTGTCTCTAACTTCACAAGCCATGTGTTTTCCACCACATCGGAGACTTTGTGAAGTCCACTCACGGAGCTTAATTTGCTGGACACTCTAATGCACATATTTAGCAGAAGTTGTTCTATATTACAGCAGCTGCTGAAGTGCTTTAAATGCACAACTTACTTTTCCACTTGATTTCTGTAGTTGTAGCTGATCAAATTCCAGAAGTTTCTTCCAGTCTTGGCGCTTAACAAAATAGAAGACTTCTTCGTAAGTGAGATCGATGCGGTAGTTGAAATCGCCACACCAAAACACGTAATCATGCGAAAATATGTTTCTGCCCTAAGGTGGAAAGAAAAGCATCATCGTTCTGGCTCATCTTGCAGGAAGGGGGCAGAGGGGGGAGAGCAAGTTCACGTGCAGATGACCAGCAGACACATTTTTCCTACAGCGTTACTTAAGAGAAAAGCCCTTTAGAAGAGTGTCTCATTTTTCACTAACCCCACAGACCCATTGAGGAACTTCTTCATGGCTCACTTTTTATGATAATTGTGTTTGTTAAGATGGTTTGGAGGAAGCCCTAGATCTCACTAGGGAGCACGACCATCAATATCTCCCCTGCCCAGCTGACCACGCTCCTGCTTTGATGTTGATTCCTAAAAATTGCCCACGCATTCCGTGTTGGACAAATGAGGTTTAGGAAAATAGTTACAAATTCTCAGGACATGCAACTTTGTGGGACTTTATGGACTTCATTTTCATCCAGGGACCCTCCATCAGACTGTCTCTCCTCCTTTTCCCCGACCATCCCCAGTCACTCTGAGGTCACCCTGTCCAAGTCCCTCACGGTAGCCTGCAAGTGCTTGGGGATCCTCGCCCACTTCACCCCAGGGTTCATGACCTTGGGGCAGCTGCCACCTAGCAGCTCAGCGGGGCTAGCTGTTCCGGGGAACCTGGACCTCAGCAGCCCTGGGGAGCACTCACCCAGCTTTTCCATCACAAAAAAAGCTCAGAAAAACTTGCTAGAGGTTATCCCCCGAGTGCATGGAGACGAGATTGGAACACAGCTCTGCCTGGCTCTGGAAGCTGTTTCTGTCCTAGTCCTGGAGTTCTCCCCTGCCCTGGACCCACAACAACCTGGGCAGAAGATCAAATTTCGTTGGCAAAATGAAACGAGAGGCACCAGCCTCATGTGGCCGCTGGGCACCTGCAAAGTGTGGTGACCACCTCTGGGCAGCGCCACACAGAGCAACACGCAGGCCCTCAGCACTGCTGTGCTGAAAAGAGCTGTTACAAACCCAAACGTGCTGTGATTATTTTGACTATACCCCAAGTTTAGTGTTTCAAAAGAGCCCGTTTTAAGTGGGGGGCAGGGGGGGTGGACTTTCTAAGCTGCATATATGCTCGAAGGGAAGAGCTCGCTGTCTTCCCACACGGTCTGGGAAACTGCACAGCGTGAACTTCCCAACACGACTATTTGTTTCTTCTTTAATCCAAGAAACACAAACAAGGATTATGGCATTTATTCAAACCAGAACGTTTTTGCCCTACAAGCATCATAGGAAATAGGGTTTTCTTCATAGGGGATTCGGCACCCCTGGGAGGGTCCCCGGCAATGCTGGATATGTGGCAAGGACCACGGGAGTCCACCCTCGAGGCTGGACACAGGCGGTCCGGTCTAGGCTGAAGTGTGAGGTCAGCCCCCACCTCTGCACAGAAGGGAGAACCTTCAGCTCTTCATTTAGAAAGAAAACCATCAGCTCTGACCACAAGAGGGCAGCGCGAGGCGCGGTACTGACCACCTGGCGCCGGGTCAGGCAGGATTCCCTGAACTGAAAGTGAGAATTCCTGTCGCAGCCACAGACGCACACAGAAAAGACTGAATCTCAAGAAAAACCAGGCTTCTAGCGCTTGGACTCAGACGCTCTGCCCAGCCTGGACAGCGCACGACTCAGTGTTTTCTTCCATTCTCCTGATTTGACTCGGAAAATCAGAACGCGCACCCGAGCCCACCAGGGAAAGGGCGTGGGGGAAGTGTGCAGAGCCAAGGGGGCAGAACACTCTGGCTGGACCCCTCTGAGCTTCTGCACTACACTGTCCAGGCCATCCCCTTCCCCCAATGCTGAGCCCCCAAGGGCAGGGGCCCTGGACGACCCCAGCCCCAAGGCCTGACGCCACTGCAGCCCAGAGAGCCAGATGGGGCAGACGGGGCAGGGTGCACACGCCCAGCCTGGCCCCCTGCGGCGCCGGCCACCCCCACGGGGCTCACCGCTGGAAAGCTCAGCTTCTGGGTGATCTCCCGGTAGTCCTCGTTGCGCTCCTTCACCTGGGACTGCCCGGCCGTCAGGTGGCTGCAGATGAAGCAGAAGCTGGTGCTGTGCAGCTGAAAGCGGATGCCCACGGCGCCCTTGTTGCCAGCCTTTCCACCCATGCCCGTCTTCACCGTGTCCACAGCCACGTCCCTGCAACAGAGGACGCACAGGCGTCATCTTCGTGGCGAGAAGGAAAAGCGGAAAGCTGTTCTGAGGCAGAGCAAGGCGGGGGCAGCAGGGGGCTGTGGCTCTGAGGACCCTGAAAGCCTCGGCTCAGGGCTGGTCACTCACATCTCCCCCACGGGCAGGCTGGCAAGTCCCCGCCAGACCCCCTTACTCTGTGGGCCTTGCCTGCTGGGAGGTCTGGGGGGAGCTGCATGGCTACAGCTCTCCGGGGCTCTGGTGTGGCATCTCAGAGTCCACCCCTGGGCTCCGTTCCATGTCCTCACACCAGCAGCTTGGACCCCACCTGCCCACCCCCTACCCACTTTCCTGCCACACAGGAGGCACCTTCAGGGAATTAGCACATTCTAGAAACAGAAGCATTGGTCCTGTGTGCTATGCCTGCCATGGACGGCACCTGTGCCTGGCCAGGGGGTCCCATCAGCAGACAGGGTGGGGGCTAAGCCAGCTGAGGGCCAGAGGGGAGGTCAAGGACACGGATATCCACCCGGGACGGTGAGCGGCTCTTTTTCTCACGGTTCATCTGTACCTTTCCCCTCAGCTGACCCTCGTCCTAACCCTCCCTTCATTCTAACCCCTCGCTCTGGGCACAGCCAAAGTGCCAGCACAACACAACCCGGGGAGATGGATGTGACTGTTCCCCCGGAATCCTAGAAGAGAGTCATGAGCACAGAGCATTCTTGCCCTCCAAGTATGCCGGGGGCCGCTGTGGTCCCCTGAAGACTTGGGGGTGCTCGCTCAGGTATGACTACCTAAGCTTGGGAGGCCCATCTGGACAGTGCGGAATGAGGACAAAGAGGGAATTCTAGTGAATGAGTGTAAGCTGGGGGCAACAGGCGCCTGTGTTGGAGGGGAGGGCAGCGCCGCCCAAGCTTAAAACACCACATCACACGCACAGGACACTCATGTTGCACACACACACACATACATTCATGCGCACACACAATGCATTCATGCTGCACACACACTCACACACATACATTCATGCACACACACAATGCATTCATGCTGCACACACACAAACACACACATGCTCTCATACACACACCCATGCACACACAATGCACTCATGTACACACGTTACACTCTGCATTCAAATTGTGCACACACACACATAAACATATACACACAGACCCTTTCCTAAAAGGATATGACTCTCTAAGTTTTTCCCTTTCCGATATTCACAAAGCTGCCACTGAGGAGACATAATTATGGGGTGACAGGATAGAGGCTTTCTGCCCACAAATCTTTGAGTTCTTTAAAAAAAAGACAAAAGAGTTGGCATTTCCTGGTGAATTACTCAGCTCTTGGTCAGAGGTTTCCTGTCTAAAATTTCAATCCCTTTCCTTGAGCAAAGCTGAGCATGGGTGAGAACAATCACGAAACACTCCTTCCCAAAGCATTCAGCTTCCTGAGCTAGAAGGTTCTGTTGTGGCCCTTGAATTGCTAGACAATATTCTATTCAGCCTCCTTTCTCCCTGATACACTGGAACATCGCCCTTGGAAAATGACAGCTCGTGATTCCTGCTGCAAGGAGGGGTGGGGAGGAATTCAGAACAAAGGCCCTGGAGGAGGCACCCGGAGTCCCCCCAAATGTCCAGAGACTGCGTGGCCTTACCTGATGAAGGGGACGTGGTAGGGACGCACAAAGATATAGAGACAGACGCCCACCAGCTGTGCAGAGGTCAAGAGGATATACCTATGAGAGCGTGAGATGGCTTTCTGCAGCTGCTCACCCCACATCTTCCTGTTGGTGGTGCTGGGAATGAGAAGAAAGAGGATGGCATGTGTGGGGAGCTGGGGCTCTACGAAGCCCTGAGCCTGTTTCCTCTTGTCACAGAACCACGTCACCCTGCCTGCCCTCCCCTCCTCGTGTCCCGTCTTCACTCCTGCCCTGGGCTCCCCATCTGGTTCTGTCTGGGTGACACACGTCACAGGTCAGCCCCCAGCCCTCCAGGGCCTGGCTCCTGGCAACGCCATCGCATCCATCTGGCGAGGTGTGAACCTGCACCCCTGAATCATACATGGCGCTGTAAACCAACATCACCTCCATAAAAATCCAATTAGAAACTTCTCGCTGGTCTGCAAATCTTTTAAAAAAACACCTACAGAATCGGTTTTACCCATTGGTATGAAAACCCCCGCCCTGCCTGGCACCAGCTGCGCCCTTCTGCTTTTCTGTTCAAAATTCCTTGAATGAAAAACAAGTTGAGGAAAGAAAAATTCCGTTACTTTAACCAAAGGTTACCGCGGGCTTCCTTCCTCTGCACTTGGTGGACAGCAGCTCCTCCTCCCGGTACTCGCGCTCTCTCGCCCGCCCAGGAAAGTGGCTCAGCCTCCCGCCCGGCGCCCGGTGCCGCCCCCCAGGCTCACACCCAGCATCCAGCTCCAGGCAGGCAGCCGTGAGAATGTAGTGAGGGCCGCCCCGCCTGCCAGGGCCTTCCTCAGCAGAGAAAGGAAGAGCCAGAAGGTTAGATTCAGAGGGAGCTCAGGACAGCTTGGGGGGTCCGAGGGCACCACGCTGCACCCCCACTCCCTGGCACTTACCTGGCATTGACTATATTCCCTGCGCTCAGCTCCACCATCTCTTCAAACCCCACAGCAAATATGTCAGCTGGGCTGCTGTCATCTGGGGAGCAAGGCAGGAGTGAGGCACCCCTGAGTGCTGACTGGCAGGGACCCAGGCCCACAGCCCCACCCTTCCGTGGGGGTTGGGGAGCATCAATCAGATGATACTTATCAAGTCCCTGCCCTGCCTGGAAATACCTTGTGTGCCTCGCTTTTCTGGTAACTTCCATGGGGCAGTGCCCTCTCCTCCAAGGACTGTACTTCCCCTCTCCCCTACTAATGCGGGACTAAGGTCCCACCCCAGGGGACTGGAGGACAGGGCAGGGAAAGTGGCCCTGCCTGGGGTCCACTCTGATGAAATTGGCCAAGCAAACGCCCAGCTGGCAGGGAGCAGGCAGCTCAAAGGGGAGGCCCGCCCCCCCTTGTCCCTCTCCAGGGAATCAGAGCTCGCTCATCTCTCAGTCCTGTCCCAACCCCCCACCCAGCGTGGCCCCAGGGGCTGCAGAAAGTGACTCCTCCTCCCTGGAGGAAACCTTAGGCCTTTCCAAGGTTCTTTTTTCTTTTTCTAAAGAAAAAACACCTGCTTCTTGGGTTGACCTACTTGACAACAGTAACACAGGGCTTCCTTCCTGGAATCTGGAGTTTCAGATTTGATGTACACACAGGTGAGCCGGCACCCACTAAGACCCCTGCAATCAGCCCCCCTGCAGACATAGCCAGGCTACCCCCCATCCTGCAAGCAGAGGAGCTCAAGTTTCTCCAGTCAAGTTGACCTGATGTTCTCAGGGCTCCCAGGGTCTGTTCTGGTGCTAGAAGGGTCAGCATGGACATGGAGAAACTGGGGACCCCAACTGGATTTAATTAGCCTGAGGCAGGAAGGGGGTGCACACACCACCCCCCTGATAGCAAGGGGCTATGACAGTGCACAGGGCACAGCAGGGCAGGCCTGGGGTACAAGCACAGACCCCTGCACATCAGCAGACCAAGAAGAGGTTCACAGTCTCTTCAAGAACAAAACGAATGAGCCTCTGAAAAAATGTTGACTGGATGTACATCACCCTTCAATCCCTGGGTTCTGGGGCCATTAAGTATTACGTCATATGATATAAGCCCTGTAAGGTGCTTAACTTACTCTTGGAATGAATTTACTCTTCAAATGTACACAGGTTCTCAGGGCCGCTGAAAGTGAGTGGAGGTAGCTGGACAGGGGCAGGCGAGGCCAGTGCATCAGCTCCTGGCGGGAACAGGGCTCTGGGGCGCACCTTCCTCCTGACAAAAGGCTCTCAGGCCAGGCCCTACACCTGCCAGATGGAGGCGCCCTGCCTTGCGAACCCTTCCACAGGCACCGGACACCATCCCGCCAGGCTCGCTTCGTCGCAACACCCCGTCATGCCTTGCATGGAGGCGTCAGGAACCCAGCCCGCCACCCCTCCGAGCAGTGCGAGGTGCCGGGAGTTTGCTGGGAAGTCAGGACAGTGCTTCCCAACATGCCAGGTGTGAACACCCTGCCACCCAGCCACCTAGCCCCCGGCGCCGCTCACCAGGGGACTCCACCACCCCCGACAGCCGGGGCGAATCCAGCAGCCAGTCTGTCAGCTCCGCCGTGCCCAGGAGGTTGCTCCGGAACTGCTTCCCCCCATTCACGTTCCAGGTGCCCGTGGCGACGCGGACCTGCCGGAGGTTCGTGAACTCCTCCTGGCGCTCCAGCATGGCTCTCAGGATCTGGGGGTTCACTGGGGGGAGATGGGAGGCACTCATCTGGTTGGGCTCCAATACCCCAGGCCCCCAGCACGGGCCGCCTGTTAGGGCCAGGGGGCCCTGACCCCAGAGCTAGGGAGCAAGGCAAACGCCTCAGGAAGACAAGAAGGGCTAACACCCCGGGACTGTCACATCCCCTGGACTGTGTAAAAATGTAGGACCTGACCAGAGCTGTCAAGGCTGTGAGGCCACAGGGAGCCCTCAAGTCAAGGAGGGGACACTACCTGCAATTTCCCAACTTCAGAATATATACGTGATACATATATGATACAAACACGACACACACACGGTACCTAACTCTGACACATGTGGATGTGTTTAGACAAGTGCATCTAAACTGTCAATGCCTGCTGGGATATTGAGATTTGTATGAAATACAGTTTGGCCTTCCACTTCTGACACACAGTCCCTAAAACCCCTGGAACTTTCCCAACGATGAGAACCATGAAGGTGACTCTGAACACCTTCCACCCTGAGCATGGCGGGTCTTGTTACCAGTAACCAGTGAGCTCATCCATCCTGCCTCTGCTGTGGGGCCACCATAAAGCCCAAAGAATGGTGTCTGGAGAGCATCTGGGTTGCTGGACATGTGGAGGTGCAGGGAGAGCAGCCCCCCTGTGGGGCAGGGAAGCTTCACACCCCAAGTCACAGGCCTTGCCCTATGACTACTTCCACCTGTCCGCTTCTGACTTAATCCTTTAATTGGAGTTGGTGATGCAGTAAGAAAATATCTCCCCGAGCTGGGTGAGTTGCTAGAGCAAATTAATCACACCGAGGAGGGGGTGGTGGGAAGTGGGCACGTATAGTCTTATGGCCACCGGGACTGGTGTCTGAAGGGGGCAGGGAAGTCTGGCAGGACTGAGGCTACGTCTGGGGGGGCAGTGTCAGAATGGCGGGGAATTGTAGGGCAACCAGCTGGTGTTGGAGTGTTGCTGGGTGGTGGGGAAGGCCCCCACCCTGGAAATGAGCACGGACCTGCCCATCTCTGCATTTTCCACTGTCCATTTTCAACCATGTCCACTGTCTAGATATCCAAAATCCATGCTCCTGTCTGAATAGTGACTTCACCCAACTCTCCTGCCTTCACTAAGACTCACTAGTCCTCAGCTGCTTTCAGCTTTGACCAAGTGGTCTCAGTTCCAGGATGGACAAAAAAAGCACCTATTACTAGAGGTTGAACAGAAGTTCCCAGATGATGCCAGAAAGGGCTATGCCACCACAGAAAAGGGCCATGGGCAATGAATTTTTCAAAAATGCCAAAAATTTCTGGAACAAATTTCTTACAACATTCTTGTAAGAAAATGCTAGACTTCCCTTTCTTGTCCATGAGCTTTGTAATGTCAACACTCTTCAGGTTCTTAAAACAAACAAACAAACAAACAAACCCAGTCCCCTCTCCAGCAAAGCACACTTCAAACTCACAGATGCAGACAAGGGATGGGGGTTGCCAGAGGCAACTGTGACTCCCAGCTGTGGGTGAGCCCTGGGGGCAGGAGTGTGGCATGCTGGAAAACTGCTGAGAAGATAGATCTGAGAAGTTCTGGTGACAAGTACAGAGCAGCGAGGAAGCTCTGTGAGGGGACGGATGGCAACTAGCTGCCAGGATCGCATCACCACAGGTACTAAGAGTGACTCATTAGGGTCTAAACCCGAAAGGAAGATGATGTTATGTGTCAATCACATCTCAGTGGAAAACCACCCTGTCCCTATGATGGAGCGAGCAATGGAGGGAGCGGACAGGTCCTGCCCCTAGAGGAGGGTCTTCATCCCAGAGACCCCAGTGCCCTTGAAATGCAAACAGGCCATCGGAGCCACTGACCTCCACCTGGCCACTCACCTGGCGGCCTGATCCTTCCACCTAATCATCAGGGCTAGATGCCAACCACCCCCAAAGCATCTGGCCAGTCCTAAACTGCTAACCCGCCAGTAACCCCAGGAAGAGCTTCCCTGCCTCCTGACCGCCAGCCTTTGCCACTCAGCCCTACTGCCTCCCGCCTGCAGGACCTGTGAGCACCATAGACTGTTCTCTGCCTCCTCTCGTGGCCGCCCTTGACAGCGCAGCTCACAAGATGCAAGCACAGCTGCAAGCTGCTTAGGTCAGCTGGTCAGCCCAAGAGACTGCCCATGCAGAGGTCAGGGGCAAGTCCAGGGCACCCGCTTGCCCCTTGCTGTTTAGGGGTGTGTGTGCCCTGCCATCCTGGGTCCCCAAGAGGAGATGTCGCAACCCCTTACCCAACAGAGCCGTGTTGTCCAACAGCATCCTGCCCTTGTCGGCGGCCTCGTCACTGTGCACGTCCCCAACCAGCAGTAGCTTGATGGCCTCCTGCTTCACGCCATCGAAGAAGTTGGACTGGATAGTGCGGGACACGGACCGGGCCCCGTCCTTGAGCTTCCCCACCTGCCGAGCCAGAACGCAGGCTGTGAGGAAGAGCCAAGGAGGCCGCCCACCACCAGGCCCCCCCGACCCCTGCGGCCGGCCCCCACCTTGGCCTTCCCTTCCAGGGCCCGGCTGCCCGTGAACATCTTGCTCAGGCTGTGCCCGTTCAGAGACCACATGGCTTTGAAGAACTCCACGCAGCGGTCAGCAATGGACTTCGAATGCAGCCCCAGGCTCTTGAGCTGCAGGTGAAGGACCTGGTGATGGAAGGGACAGCCGTCACTGACTTCTCACCAGAAGCTGCGGCCCCCAACCCCAGCTGCCTGGGGTGACCGCAACCCCTGCCAGTGAGCTCCTTCTCACGGCTGCAGGTCACCCTGTGTCCTCCAGAGAACGGCAGCCCTTGTAGCACAGAACGGGGCTCCTACAGAGTGGACCCCAACTATAGCTCACTTTGCCCTTCACATGGCCTCCTCTGACCCCATCCCTGAGTCTCTCCCACTCCCAGTTAACGTGGGAGGCCAACCAGGCAGCGGTCAGTCAGGCAGTGGCCACTTAGGCACTCGGGTCTCCCCTGGGCCTCAAATCCAGCCTCACCCTGCTTTTGCCCAACGCATGTTCACAATAACCATTACACAGAACTGCTGTTTCTCATGCCGATGCCTGTCACTCTGGGGCCCCATGCCTGGGACGAGCCCCAAAGAGTGTGAGAAAAAGTGTGCCTATGACAGGTTGGAGGCAAACGGTGGCATGTGCAAGCCGGTCGCCAGGGAAACCATGTGGGCCCCCACCCCCAACTCAGACAGTGCCTGGGTGCTGCCCACCCCTGCAGTCAAAGGAGCCCAGTTGGCCCGCTGGAGCCCAGACGGGGCGCAGTGGCCCGGGGGTGGGCAGGACAGACCTCGAGGGCAATGAAGCTCTGCACTGTGTTGGTTCGATCCAGGCAGTCCAGACAGTTCATCCGCAGAGTGCCTTTCTGGAAGCTTCAGAAAACAATTGCAGAGGACAGTTAGCAGATCGACACTCCTGGGAATGCCGGGTCACGTTCCGGGAGCCCGTTGTGCATTCCCACCAGCTAATCAACGTGCAACTCGCCGCATGCGTGCTTGGTTAGCGACACCCCATTTGACATTACCCTCGCTCACTGACACCCACCTCACGGCCAGCGTGCTCTTCTCCATAGGCGCGTGGCCACAGCCTCTGAGCTTGTGCATGGAGGCATCTTTACCCGCCCAACCTCGAATAGTTTGCACACACGTGAGAACTGGGGGGCATGAAAGGGCGGGTGACGAGGACACTAGTCATGGGAGGAGCTGGGACAGGGCCGTCTCCTGGGCCCCCTCAGCGGGACACACCTGTTGGCCCGCTCGGGTCATTCCATTCTGAGATCACTTGGGAATGACAGCCAAGGCCCCACCAGCACTGGCTCGAGGGGCACACATATGTTTTAGCAAGTGGGCAGATTAGTCCAGACTCAACCTGCGAATAATGAAGACTGAGGGTATTTAACCCAAAGGAGCTGCCCTTCCTTCTCAGCTGAGTGGGGTGGCCACATCCCCATTCTCTTGGACTATGGGGTGCAGGCCAGCTGTCCCCCTTCACTCTCAGGGGGTTATCCGTTTGGATGAAAAGCTATACAGTCACCCGACTCCACAGTTACTTGGTCTCTTGAGCAGATTCATTTTGCCAGAAAACCACACTTTCCCATCTATAACACAAAATTCAAATACACAAGTGGCTGTGGGATGGTCCCAGGAAGCCCAGCACCTGAGCCTGGGCCTGGGAACCAGCAGGCAGCAGGTGGGGAGGGAGGGGGCGTGCCCGGGGGGCTGGGACTTGGACCCGGCGGAGGGAGGTGGGGACACGCTGACTCACCGTGGACTCACATTCTCGCCCTTCGCAAAGATGTCGAAGTCATCCCAGTGCAGCTGCAACTGGGGCCTCAGCAGGTTCTCTAATTTCTCTAGCTTCCCGCCTTTGGCAAACTGATGGAAGTCAAAGTTTATCATAGGCGTGTCGCTGGCGTGGCAAGAAGCCCAGAGCAGCTTCTAGAAGGAAGACAAGGAGGAAGGCAGGGTCGTGAACCTCATATGTCTTGAGTCCAAGGGGTTAACCGTGGTGCCTGTTGGAGCACACGGTCTAGAGTCAAGGTTTGGGGGGTCCTAGCAGCTTATCAGACCTCATCCTGGAAGGGAAGCCTCAGGGACAAAACCACAAGAGCATCTTGCCTGCAGAGGGCAGAAGGCCTAGCTCACGCACAGGACAAGCCAGAGCAGGTGAGGCTCCCTGGGCAGCCCACAGCCCAGGATGGACATCACCTTCTACAGCGCTCTTGGAGGCAGCGATGGGGAGGGCCCACTCTGTTCTTTAGGCACCCAAGTGCCGCCAGCCTGCCAGGATAGAGCGGGGCAGCCAGCTGTGGAGCTCATAATCCAGCCACCGTTGCCCTGGTAACCATGCCACCCTGCCCAGCCTGCCTCTGGTGGCAGTGCTCTGTGCTGCCCTGTTCCAGCCCAGGTCCTCTGGCCTGTGCCTCAGTAGGGGTGCAGGACACTCAGCCACCCTTCCTGGGAGGGGGGACCCCCGTGGCCAGGACATGTGAAGAGGTGGGCACTGGGCAGTGGGATGCAACTCACAGGGACCTCCTCCCACAGGAGGAACTGAGGCCAACAACTCACGCTCCCCAGAGAGCGCTGTGGGAAGGGTGGACGGCAGCCTCGGGGGCCCGGCCTCAGGCCTCACCCATCTGCACTGCCCCAGGCCAGACTGGTCCAGAGAATACTGACTAAAAAGAAGGGCCAGAAAGACATTGGTGTGTGGATGATGCTGGCGCCAGAAAGCAAATCACCCAGAAAGTCTTGCTACGAGAAAGAAATCGTCTGAAGGGAACAGAGTGTGGTTTGGCGGCTTCCTCTGGGGCCACGCCTGGTCCAGCCACGGCCTGATGACTCCGCTGCTGGCCATGGGCCCGAGGGTGGCAGAGCCACGGGCAGAGGGAGCTGCTGTTCCATGTGACACCCCATCAGGGCTTCTTTGGGTAGAGGGTCCTCCTTTTACCCGCTTCCTGCGCCGGCCACCCTCCCCGCCCCCACAGGGCCCCGCCAGCCCACAGGGGGGCTGAGGGCATCCTTTCCGCATAACTCAAGGAATAAGAGGAAAAAGATTCTTGGATTTTCTTCTTCTGCTTCCTCAAAATAAGCTGCTGGCATTTTTGCCAATGTGGGTGGGAGGGAGATACTTCCCCAGCTTGTTGCTAGTAGCAACAAACCAAACAGGAAAAGCAGGTCTGGCCAAATGAAACTGGCAACCAGACAGTGCCTGCTCTGGCATGTGGCTCTTCTAAACAGTGAGAAGAGCATCAGCTGCAGTCAACAGCTGGCCAAGGGCCAGGGGTCTGGGGTGGCTCTCCCTGCAGCGGTCAAGTCTGACTTTGCTGCCTCTCTGTAATTGCTTCCTTGAGCCTCCAACAACCAGAGGACTTTCCTCTAGAAGGGACAGAGGCAAAAGGAAGAGGAATGGGAGGTGCCCACAGCTCATTCTGGAGCTTCCTCCCTAGCAGACTGAGTGGTGCACGGAATACTAGGAACAGGAGGGACCCCAGAGGAGACTCCAAGCAGGTGCTGCTTCTGTTGGTGGCTTCCCCCCTGTCTAGGGTTTCTCCTCCTTACCTCCCCTCTATGCGCCCTGGGGAGCTTGGTGCAGCAGGTACAGGGAGCAGCTTCAGGGGGAAGCCCAAGCGAGCATAGAAGAATTGAAGGCTCCAAGTAGGCAGGAGGAAATCATGTACGACTCCTGGCTTTAACACCCTACCCGCCTCCAAGCATAACAGCCCTGCGTGTGCTGGGAGGTTGCTGGCCAAGGTGAGTCAGAGCAAGGAAGGAAGGGGGAGCTCGGGCTTCCTGAGCAGGGCAGAGATGCAAAGGGAGAAGCGCAAACATACGTGTGGTCGTGCGTCTCTGTTTCCACCCAAGACAGAGGGGAGGGTGGGGCTGTCCTGGGTCCCCAAACACCTCAGGAGATGAGAGATGCTTTGTCTGGATGAGTTCATAAGGATTAGTCTTCATGCCTCAGGAGTCCAGCCATGTGAGCTGGAGCACTGATGGGGGAGCTCCCAAAGGAAGGGGAGCAGATACCGCTTGAGTGTGTCCTAACCCCACCCCCGCCCGCCCCGCAGCAGGGCCCCCTGCCCCTCCCAGGCGTGAAGAAGACAGCGCGGGATCCTTTACCTTGAAGGCTCTGTTGAGCACCTCCTCTCCGCCTCTGCTCCCCAGCAGGTTCACAACCACTTGCTTGCCATACTGCTCCTTCAGAAGAACCATATGCCTGCAATGGGGCAGGACAGCGCATGACACCAGGCTCTGGGGCCCGGGGAGGGTGCAGTAGGGGCAGGGACCAGGAGCACCCTGAGGGCCCAGATACCAGGAAACAGGGAAGGTACAGAAGGGACCTTCAAGGGCTGGATGAACAGCTCCCCAAAACCCAAAATGTGGGAAAATTAGCACTGGGGAGGGAGAAAACCAATCCGGTAGCCACCACACTGCTCACCACGCCGAGGCCGGGGAAACAGGCCAGCCCTGTCTGTAAGGCGCCTTCTCGCCAGCCTGACACCTGAGGCACTGTGCGTGCACCCGAAAGAGCCAGTGTGACCCCCCACCAACAGGGACTTGCAGCTGCCCCAGGTCCCCGCGGTAATGAAGGGCTGATGTCACTTGGTACCGTCCTCCTCAAGACTAGAAAGACCAGGAGGAGCTCTAGCCATCTCAGGGTCCGGTTTATCACCAACATCATTACACGTAAACCAGACAAGGAGGTGCAGCAAAAAAAATTTCAGGCTTTAGGAAAATACTCGTCTATCAAACTAGTTTTAAAATATGTACATTGAAATATTAGAAGAGACTCTTGTATCCTTTATCCTTGGCTCTTGAAAAGTAATTTTACAATTTTAATGTTAGAAATATTTAAACGTAATTTTAAAAAATTGGAAAAGGTAGGGCCTCCCTGGTGGCGCAAGGGGTTAAGACGTGGCCGATGAAGCAATCTGCAGCCACGGAAGCACGAGTTTGATCCCCGGCCTGCCAGGAGCAACCCACATGGCGCGGCAGGACAGCTGGTGACACCAGGCGCTTGCCCACTGCTCCCCTCAGCAGTGTGTTTCAGTCAGTCTGCCTGTTCTGTTTCCCGCTCTGTCTCTGGTGAATCCTCTTACCCCCTGCACCTCTGGCCTGTACCCCAGTTCTTGTATGCATAAATTTTTTTAAAAATTGGAAGGCAATACAAAAAATTGGCATAAAGTTGGCATTTAAATGTGATCTTTATGTCTATAGAAAAAAGGCTAGAAGATAATACACCACAATATTAAAAGTGGTGTTTTATGTGACTGAAAATTCTTTTCTCTTTTGAATACTTTTGTATTTTCTAAATTTCTACAATGACATTTCTTTAGTAGACATACTGTAAAATTTTCTGAGACACCCTCCACCTCCTCTAGCAGGTGAGAGAGGAGAGCCATCCTCATGGCCTCCATCCTGTATACAGGAATCAGCTACCTGAAGGCAAAGTCACTCTTTTCACACTCACTGGTACCCAAGGAGCCAGGTAAAGATTTAACAACAGGTGCTCAGCCTGTGCATCTCTGCAGGGCATGCTTTAGAAAGGAGGAAGATTAAGTCCTGCAGTGCTCCTGCAACGCCCTCCTCCAGCATCAGCACACCTCTAGGTCAGGACAACTCAGAACCGGAAGCCTCTCCTGTCAAGAATTCTGTTATTCATGTCTCTGAATGATTCACTGTTCTTACCTATATAAACTAAATTCGAACTTGTGTTTATTGGAACAGCTCTCACAGAGTAAAATCTGTTAGACTGTTAGCTGGGTTTGAAACCTCACTTTGACTATCTAATAACTCTGCCTAATGATTGTGGACATTTTATTTTTAGTGAACAATTCTACAAAATTTTATCAAAAACAGTGGGTTGAGCGCAGCGCTGTGAAGCTGTCCACAGCCTCTGTAGTATGGATTCGATTCCCAGCTGGCCAGGGAGATTCCCACATGGTGCAGCAGACCTCTCCTGTCGCTGCTCCCCTCAGCAGTGTATTTCACTCAAGCTGCCTGTTCTGTTCCCCGCTCTGTTTCTGGTGAATCCTCTCACCCTCCTGCGCCTCTGGCCTGTACCTCAGCTCTTGTATTAAAATAAATAAATCTTTTAAAAAAAATTTAAGAGAGTATTCCCCACCCCCACCCCTAGTAGGTTCCTCTGTGCTTTGTCCCTAGACCCTGTCTCTGCGTGGAAGAATTCTGCTGGAGCAATGCACCTTCCCCCTGGCCCCTCCTCCAGGGAAGAGTTGGGTGAAATCAGGGTCACTGAGATGTCCCCAGAGCTAGGCAGAGGCAGCTGTGGGCAAGGGTCCAGGACCATCGACCAATGCGTAGCTCAGCCTGTCTGGGCAGCTCTGGATCTGCCTGTCCTGAGAAGGAGTCCTGATCTGGGATGTGAAATGTTGGTTACAGATGTGAAAGGCTCTGCTCCAGGGGGGAGTCTGTCATGGAGTGAGTACCTCTGACTCGGGGGTGAAGTGTGGGGAGCCCATTATGGCCACACAAGCAAGCCACACTCCACAACACAGTTTATCAGAAATGAGGCTGATATCTGAACTCCTGTGTCTGACGCTTGCACTCGCATCTCAACAGGCTCCAGATTCCAAAGAGGGGAGGGGAGCGATATGACTCACTGGTCACGTCACAGCCCTAAACACCCTTGATGGAACTATTCACCGCTGTTGAGCTAGTTCCTTCACCTGCACCGTGTGGCTCATCCTCCTGCAAATAGCCAAGAGGACTGAAAGACGAGAGCAGGGGCACGCCCAGCACTTGCACATGGGAGCTGGATTTTCTTTCCATTTAAAAATAAGATATTATACTTATTATTGGTAGATTAAGAGGTTCATTTCATGGGCTCTGAGGGAGTCAGGACATCCACCACAAGGTTAGTAAGAGGAATGTCAGAGAAACAGTGAGGAGCAAACTGTGAGCCAGCGAAAGACATCTTGAACAGATTCCATGCAGATGCAATCTCAGCGCCTTGGACTGCAACTCCCAGCATAAGGGAGGCAGGTGCTGGGAACTAGGGGCGGAGCTGAGCAGCCAGACGGACCTTTAAAACAAAGATGAGTCTGGCTCTCTTGCTTTTTCTGCTCCTATTCACATCCTGGTGCTGCAAGAAACACAGACAGCATCGAGCCATGTTCTGGTCAATTAACCTCTATATATTCTCCCTCTTCTACTCCTCTTGCAAATAAACCTTTTTAAAATTTCTCTCTATATATCTGCTTTTGGGTCTTGTCCCATGTTCTTAAGTACGTTAGTGAGGAATCACAAACTGGGGTACCCCCTTTTATTTCTGGGGTTGCCCTCTAACAGGGAGATTCATCCTGCCTTGGTGGTCTGTACTTTGAGGGACTTTTTACTCTCTGCCCATCTGTTACTGTCACACAGAGTGCCTAAGAAAACTGGGGCAGGGGCAGTATGGAGCAGTCACACCTCCACCTGGCCCACTCCTTCTCATCTGTGGTGCATCCTGGGAGGCCAGCAATGAAACACACCCTGATGTCCACATTAGGATCTGACACAGCACTTTTACAAGATGACAGAGGGTGACTGGAGGGCTTCGTTGTGCCACAAAGAGAGACCAGAAACCACCCCATCAAACCACTTCTCAGCCAGGCAAGATGCCCATCATCAGCCACAGCCAAAGGTCTGCTCCAAAGCTGCCTCCTGCAGACACTGGACAGATAGTCAAAGAGCAACAGCACTAACCTGTCCAATGCTGACACTGGAAAACAAGGCTTCCTTCTATGGGTAATAAAACTATCTGTGTAAAGGGGGTAGGGTAGGGAAAGAGGAATCTACTCTGGCCCAAACCTGTTAAAGAACTGGAAAACTCCTGAGTTCCATGGTGGTCCAGAGATGGGGGGCACCTGGGAGGTGATGTCACCCCTGCTCCTCTGGTGGCCGTGAGCATCCCTCCTGTTCTACTAGACAAGCTGTTATCTCACTTCTGCATACTTATCTTGAATGAAAGCATCAGGTCAGCCATGCACACGAAAATGGGCAGTTCACACGAGAATACACCCCTCTCATGAAACTTCAGGTTAGGAAGCATGAGAAAAGAAACTGTCGGCCACAGCAAGCAGCAGCTGCCCGTAAAAGGACTTACGGGCTCAGGAAGTTGTTGGGTGGTTTGCAGGAGAGATCTAACTGGAAGGGGTGCATGTGAGAAGAGAGAGGGCTCATTTGTTTGGGCACAGACACACGCGTCCAGGTACAGGCACACACACACCTACTCTCTCTCTCAACAGGGTTTTAAAAAAACTTTAAGTCTTTGTAAATGCGCTCAGGACTTTAAAAAGCAAATAAACTCGTCCACATAGGAAAGTTTTAAACAAGCCCAGCATGCCCCTTCTCTTTTGCTTCTGGTCAGTTCAAGGAAAAATTTCATATTCAGTTAAATTTACCATTTCCTAAGAAATGGAGATCAATGTCAACTAAAATAACTCCACATGTACACTGCAGAGAACACATGAAGAGTCTTCTGGAAAAGAGGCAGTAACAGTGCATGTAGTTTATACCTCTCTTTACAGTAGACGCCACCATTTGTGCTGCGTAAGTGAGGGGCCCGGGGCTAGGGTCACCGAATATAAACAAAAGGTCCAAGTGAATTCAAAGTCCAAGTCAAACTTGGGGTAGACTGATTAAACCACTTAAAAAATTACTCTTGAGAATCTTTATAACAGTCACTAAGATCACTGAAAACATCTAGATTTAAAAAGCAAACATTTCAAAAACTATTTACTATTTCAAGTACATGTAGTTCAGCTTAGCTACGGCTTTTTTTAAAGCCAGTTGCAAAACTGTGTTATGATCCAATTTGTTTTAAAAAATGAACCATATGTATGCCAATTTTTTTCCCCAGAATGATATAAAGAAACAATATGGCTTGATAAATAATAAAACCTGTAGTAGTGGGAATTGGGGGTTAGGGCACTTTTACTTTTCACTTTATACCCTTCTACATTGTGACTTTTTAAATTCTGGGAATATATTCTTTTTAAAACAAAACATACAGCTATGAGTACTTTATAATTTAGTCACCCCCCTAGTGACCAGGATTAATGCATAAAGTGCCCTTGAAGCAGGAATGGCAAGATGGAATACTTGACCATTTAGAGAAGTTTATTTAAGCTAAAACAAGATAAAAGCATTAAGTGGGCATTTATTAATGAACCTTCAGGGAAACCCAAGGGCAGGTCAAAACCCCATCTTGTAAACTCCCTTCTTGCAGAAAGGCCCAAAGTCAAAGGCAGGTTTAGGTGTGGGGTCAGTGGCTTAGGGGCACATCAGAGTTCCTACCTGTCGAAAGCAGGGGCGTTAGCTTCCAGGCCTCTGTTGAGTCTCAGATGGTGGGAACCCACCTACAGCCGAGAGGAGAAACACATGTAACCGTTTTGCTCTGCCAAGCCTGGCTTCCCCACCTGTCACTGGCAGCCAGGTGGGCATGGCAGCCCCCCAGCCCCCTTCCACGGCGCAGACAGCTCTGCAAGGCCAAGCTCTGAGCTTGGTCCTGAGGCTGGACTCTGGCTCTGCTGCTGCCCAGTCCTAACTGCAGCATGGACCATGCTGAGTGGAATCTTCCACCACTAGCAGAGACGCTTCAGGGTGAGACCATGAGCCTGAGTCAGATCCTCAAACCCTTTGAAGGTGCAAAGAAGCAGCTAAGCCAGTGGGGGAGAGAGAGAAGGCTCCCCAGCCTCCCCGTCTCTTCAGGCATCTTCACCACTCCTAAAATTGGAGTTGCTGTAAATACTGGCAAACTAATTTGCTTTATTATTTACAATTACCTATTTAACACTGCAAGTTTAAAAACAAACTTCAAACTGCACATTGTTCTTGGGGTCAGCTTAAAGGGTTCTCTCTGGACAAAGTGGGGATGATTTGAGCATGGGTCTCTGGAAAGGAGGTAATGGATTCTAATCCAGTGAATAAAATAGGAATCCATGACTCCATCAAGATGATGGCTGGCTGGGGGACAGATGGCCAGAGGGGGGTGGGGAATGGGGACGGGTAGAGAGGTAGGTGGCTGGGTGGGTGGGGGGTAGACCCTCCTCGTAGTAGGAAATCAACTGAGGACATGGAGGCAGCCCTGGAGGGACACCACCAGTCTGCAGCCCTTGTAGTAAAGTCTATTCTGCAAAATTCGTCCGCTCATCACACATCCGAGGGGCAAGCTGGATGAGAAACGGCTTTGGACGTGGTCTCAGTGTCTCCAGTGGGTGACTCCACTCAAAATGAGCCACACCCCTGAGGGAGATGAGCACAGTGGAACCAGAGGGGGGCACCTCAAAACAATGGGGTCACTTGAGTCACGTCATGCTTGGAGATCTGGAGCCTGAATCCTATCACAAGGAAACACCAGGATACCCCCAAATGAGGAATGTGCAGCTGAGAGATGAAGAAGGCCGCCTTGTCCAGTGTCGGTATCGTGAGAGACAGGACGGCGCGGGACTGATCCAGAACAGGTACACAGCCAGGAGGTGACCCTGGTGTGAAGTGGGGAGGCTGAGAGGTCACCGCTGAGACATTACCGGGCGGCGTGGGCTGCAGGCCAGTGTGTGAGCCAGACCTGTGCCTCGTACTGCAGAGGAAAGACCAGCTCTGGAGACAAAAACCTTAACCCTAGCCTCGAGGGACAGGACACCCTGTTACAGCAGAACGCATGGAGGCAGGCTCGGAGCAGCGGCTCAGACCGAGGGTTCTCCCCACCGTCCTACAGCCTTCCAGGAGGTCTGAAGTGACTTCCAGTTTCTTGGAAGGTAGGACTTAGTTTTGCTCATTATGGAGTGTCTTTAAAGTGGTATCTTTGGGGCCTCCCCTGGTGGCGCAGCAGTTGAGCACTGGCCTGTGAAGCTGCCCGCAGCCTCTGCAGCACCGATTCGATCCCCAACTTCAGGCGAGGGTCCCACATGGCATGACAGACCTCTCCTGCCGCACCCGCTGCTCCCCTCAGCAGTGTATTTCATCGGTCTGCCTGTTCTGTTCCCCTCTCTGGCTCTGGTGAATTCTCTCACCCCCTCGCACTTCTGACTGTACCCAGTGCTTGTATAAATAAATAAATAAATAAAATCTTAAAAAAAAAACTTAAAAAAAAAATAAAGTGGTATCTTTGGATTTGTCCCTATTCACAGACGGAGGTTTTTTTTTTTTTTTTAAAAATATCGATTATTTTAATTTGTCCGGCTGATTTTTTTTACTATGTTCTTTCTCCTGGAGAGGACGCTGGCTTACAATCCTGGGCATGGTTTCCAGGTCTGGGCTCCCACCTCCAGATGTGGGTGTCACAGAAGATGCGTCATGTGCTATTTTGTGAGTCTTTTTGCCACAGGGAATACATCTGTCCCTTTCACACGCAACAGAAGTGCCCATCTAGAAAAATGACAGTTTCTCAGCAACAGATTCAGAAGTTACTGGGGATAGATTTGTCCATATAAGTGATTCGACCAGAGAATTTCAAATCCCCTCTGGTCCCAAGAAGCTGTGGGTGTTCCTGAGATCGTCTCAACCAGGACGCCTTCCTTTTGCTGCTGGTTTCCTCTGCCCTCCTTCCTCGTGGCCTCAATACCTGACTGAAGAGACATCAGACACTCAATTCCAGACTTGTACATCCCCTAAGTTCGGAGAAGGCTGCCTGGTAGACAGCCAAGGCCAGTCAGCAACTGTCTGTCCTCTGAACTTGCAAGGAGGGTTTCTGGTTCCCAAGAAGGGGGTCTGTGTCCCTCTCAGCCACCCCCCAAGAGCGTCCCAAGGCTGAGACCCAAGATCAGGGCTCCTGGTGTGGTAGGGTCAGTCTAGCCAGGGGCCTGTCCCAGCTTCAGGGATAAGCTGCAGCTGTTCTGAGACTTGTTCCCATGGGAACATAGTAAGAAGAGACTAGAAGGGGACCTCCCTGGCAGCCTAGGGGTTAGACTTAGCCTAGGGGCTAAGTCTCAGAGCTATCACCACTATGGCTGTGTTGATCTGGGCCAGGGAGCTGACCCTCAGGGCACAGCAGACCTCTCCTTATCTCCACACTGCTCCACCCCCTGCTCCCCTCAGCAGTATATTTCAGTAGCTCCCTGTTCTGCTCTCCACTCTGTCTCTGGTGGTGCCTCTTGCCGCCCCACCTCTGGCCTATACCCTAGTTCTTCTACACAAAAATAAAAAATTTAAAAAAAAAGAAGAGACTAGAAGACAAGGGTTGCTGGTGGATTATGGGTGACTTGGTGGTGGGGGTGCCACAGTGGCAATGCCTGATGAGGGATCCTAATATTACCTCAATTAAAAACAAATAAATTAATTTTGAAATATGGAGGGAAAAAAAAAAAGTCCAGGGCTCAGAAGGCTGGTGTCCAGCTGTGACTAGTCTCTCACGACACGCAACTCTCTGAGCGTGACCCGCAGCTACTCCTGAGCAGGTAGAAACTAGACTCAGGTGACTAGACTCAGGAGTGCCCAGACTCTGCCTCAGACCTAAGTCGCCCTACAAATGGCACCTCTGACGGATCAGTGAGCACACCCAGACGCCCCTCGACACAGCACCCAATTCTATGGAAAAGTGACAAAGGGGGGGGGGGCCTGGCATTCGGCCCTGCACGATTCCTGCCCAAATGGATCACTGCGGAAACACCTAGAAACACACTTGGATGTTTCTGACAGGCCTGCAAGACAAGTGCACGCTGACAGATGGAGAAGTGCCCACACACACCGATGTGCTGAGCGCGGGCTCGAGAGGGTGGGAGGCAGAGGCTTCACCACGTCGGTGGGGCTCGGGGTGGGGATAGGTGGGAGCAGCAGGCAGGCATAACCCAGACCCGCCAGAACCCAGACCGGCTCAGAGCTCCTGGTCTCCCTCTCCGATTTCCACAACCACTGTATGTGGGGGGGCAGGGCAGGACACAGCATGAGCCCACTGTCACTGCTGACCGCAACGTCCTGGGGACGCTCAGAGCCAAGGGCACCAACTGCCATGAATGACCAGGGCAGCACATGGGTGCCAAGGAGCCCCAAGTCCAGGGGTTCTCAAAGCAAGGTCCCCACCCCCAGGGGAGCGTGTCAGACAAGCAAATTCTTGGGCCCTACCCCAGGCGAAACAAATGAAAATTGCTAGGGACCCTGAACTCATCTTCAGGGTCCCTGTGAGGCTGGGACCCTGAACTCATCTTCCCCTGCTCCCTTTGCTCAGGTTGAGATGCCTGTGAGGGGCAGGCAGCAGGCAGAGCGGCTCTGCAGGCCTGAGTCCATACCTGGTCAACCGAGCAGCATGCCAGGGCTAGGCCCAGGCCGCCCAGGCTGCTTTGTCCGTCACAGCCTCCGCTGCATACCCCTCTCCTTCCTCTAGCATCGGGGCATCCCTTTGGTCAGCAGCCTTAGGCCTCACCTCCTGCGGCCCCTGCCTCCTCTTTGGATCTGGACACAATTCTCTTGCCTTGGGTCACTTAGTCCTGAGGCCACTGAGCATCAGAAGCCTCAACTAGGAGCCTTGGTGGGGCTGGAAGGAGCACAGCGAGACACCTTGGGTCTCCCTCCTCCTCCTCCGCCAGTGCAGGGGGCCCTTGGCCAACCGCTCTGTCCATTCTGAGTCATCAGTTCGAGCCCACTGACGGCCGACTGAGCCGGGGAGAAGGCCTGGCTGTGCCGGGCAGAGTAGTCACCTGCACCTGAGAGCTCATGGCCACCGAGGAAACCCCAACCTCCCACTGCCCCCACCCAGAGAAGGCCCCCAGCACCTTCCAGGTGGGTCATCACCGGGGGTGCTGCCTTCCGTACTTTCCCTCCCACAATCAAAGCTGCCACCTGCATGTGTCAGGGCGTCAGCCACCCTGAGGCCCTTGGGTGACGTGGCACGCGGCATGTGCTGAGCTGCAAGCCGATGCCTGACTCGCTCCCCAGCACCAAGGGCAGGGGCGTCACCCGGCTACTTGAAATTGGCCAGGAATGGTCAGTGCTACGAACCCTCCCGGCCCCGGCACACCTGAGGTCCCGGGCTTTGCTGCACTTTGGAGTGACCTGGGGGCCTCAAAGCCCTGCTGCCTGGCTCAGCCCCAGATGTGGTGTTAGGGGGAAGGCATGCCACCTGGTCTTGGGGCTCTAAGCTGCCAGGTGAGTCTAAGGTATGGCCACATGTGGGCGCTGCTCCCTCAGGAGCTTGGGGTAACAAGGCACATCTTGATCTGGCCCTCCCCGGCCTCGCCTCTCGCCAGGACCCCCAAGCCTACCACGGGTGATCTCAGGGGTGGCCGCCTCGGCCTCAGGTGAAACATACTCTGTAATTAACCTCCTTGCTTGGGGAAGGGGCCGCTCCACTCCCTCCCAGCCTCGGGGAGGAGCCCCCTCGCCAGCTCTTGGCTTTCCTCTCGCACAGCCCGACCACCCAACCCAGCCACGTCCCTGCCGCTTCCTCCAAGCAGGAGAGGCTAAGCTGACCACAGGAGCCTGGGGGTGGCCGAGGTGCTCAAGGAGGTCTGTGGGACCAACACAGCCCGATCTGGGGGCAGGGACTACTGCAGGCCCAGGACTGGGGGACGGGCTGGCCTAGGACACTGGGGGGAGCACAGCTGTCAGATAGACACGCTTGTCCTGGTGCAGCCTGCGCGCGTGTCCCACAGCAGCCTCTTGTCACGTTATCACTCCTAACAGCTGCCATTTTCCAGCACTTTTTAGTCCCTAGCTCCTATGCCAGCTCCTCGTAGAGATGATATTTAATCCTCCCTGTATTCCTGTGAGGTTGGCAGTGCTAGCCCCTTTCACAGAAAAGGAAACTAAGGCTTAGCAAAATAAGGACCTTTTTTTTTTTTTTTTTTTTGAGATAAAGAACTTCTCAAAAGCATCTGGTTCCTGAGCGGGGGTGGGGTGGAGGGGCTATTTCATGATCTGGAACCCGGAGGGGTGATGTCAAAGCTTATGCTCCGGGCCACAGGAGGAGCTGCCACCACTGGGTTTCTTTCTGTGAGGGCTGCAGGGAGAAAACGTGATGCTCCTTCCCCGCAAGCCCCCAAAGACCCGGGTGCCCGGCGGGTGCCGCTGAACCCTGGCTGCGGCAACCTTGTCATTATTCTTGAAATGGCTGCACCAGAAGCCGCTTCCCATCCTTTGTGGAAAGGACCTGCAGCCACCAAAACGAGCAGAGGCTGTAGCCAAGAGCTCAGGGAACAGCCTTTGACACGGGGGCGGTGAATTCGGGCAAAGCGGGCGGGCCTGGCGCTGTCTGCTCAGCGTCCTCCCCTAGCTGGTTAGTCACAGGAAGCTTCAAAACACACGGAACTCACCTCTACAAGACGTGAATGCATATTAGGGGGGGAGCAAAATCTCCAGCAGACTCACAGGGCGTAAAAAACAGATGCTGGAGCTCACAGGATAGCAAGAAAGGGAGGGTAAGGTTTCAGCGTGGCCGCCTGCAGGGGAAGACGGACCCGTCACAGGGCCGTGCTTGTCGGCAATGAAGGTACCATCCCTGAGCAAACCTGTAGACGCACCATCACCCCACTGTCCTCTCTGCCCGCCTCAGCGCCCCAGCCCCACCCTGGAAGGCTCGTGGGTTCCCCGGGGCAGCCCCAAGAGGAGGCAGCGTCACAACTTACAATGCAAGCTCTTTACCCAAAGACCTGTCCTTTGCATCCAACTAAACTGGAGAAGGAAAAAGGTTCCAAATGAGAAAGTCAATGTGTCGGGCTTGCTACTGGCAGCTCTGGCAGGGAGACTGCAGACTACCCCCTCGCCCCCTCTGCAGAGGACAGTGTTCAGAGATAAACAAGGGTGTCAGGCCCAGAGGCTAGTTAGTCCACAATAAGGTTAACCAGTGCTAATGCCTTTTGGAACGTAATTCTGATGGAGGCAGCAGAGATGCTCACGTGCTGGGCATCTAAACGGTGCTACCGAGGTACCCATGTCCCACGGACACAGCCCCTGTCAAACAGAGAGATGGCTGCTCCCAGGCAGGTTCAGGCCACGTCTGGAGTGGTAAGGCAGTCAGGCTGGAGCCAAAATTAAGGAGGCGAAGGACAATGGCTTTTTTTGGAGAGACCAGAACAGGGAAAGTTCTAGAAATATGATAGAAGATGGGTAGGGGCTGGAAGTTCCTAAAGAAGACAAAATAAAGGGAGAACCATGAGTGTCCTCCCCAAAGACCTGCAGAACTAGGCTCAGGCTGGCGCATCCTGGGTCACTGCGTGGACAACAGAGGTGGGGACTCCCTGACAGAGCTTTCCCAGGTCAGGGCCTCGAGGGCGATGTCTGGAGGCCAGCCTCGCAGGTATCCTGGAAGAAGGACCCCTGAAGGGGTGTGGGGAACGACTTTAAAGGGTCCTTCCCAAGCTCTACGACCTCCGTGATCACACTTTGACGTTCTGACACGCTTCTATGTGACGCACCGTTAGGCTGGCTCCTTTGTACCCTCTGCACTTCATCTTTGCTCCTTATTCCTCAATACAGCACTTCGGAATGAACACTCCAAGCTAATGAAAACCAAGTTTCAAACCCCCTTGGGAATGTCCAGAAGAGAAACAGAAACAGAGCAGCTGGCAGGCTTCGGGGGAGCTGGGAGGAAATGGAGTTTGGCAGAGGGGCTTTCTGTTGGTGAAGAAAATGTTCTAAAATTAGACTCTGCCAATGGTTACACAACTCTGTAAGTGCACGAAAAATCACTGATTTGCACACTTAAAGGGGTGATGTTTACAGCATGTAAATTACATCAATAGAATTCTTTAAAAAACAGTCTGGGCTGCACGCCAGAGGAATCATCCAGGTGACAATCGCCCGAGGAGGGCGTCTCCACCTGCGGCCGCAGCCTCACACGCCTCCGATGGCTCTTCCCCGGGAAGGCTGAATGCCAGTGAGGCTTTCTCCTCCCAGAGAACTCGAGCCCAGTGAGACTCTCCTCCGCTCATCCCTCCCGGGCCAACCACAGTCAAGTGAAGCAAGAAGACACCTATGAGGACAAAGCGTTTACAGCGAACACCGGGGCAGGTCAAGGGCAGGTGAGACCCAGCCTGAGCCTCTCCATCACTGCTGTGGACCCAGGTGCCAAGACACAGAGGCCTCAGAGAGGAGTGAAGAGACAAGGCCCAGCAGACCCAGAAGCAGATCCGGGACCGAGGAGCCGCCAAGCCCACTCGGCCATGACCCCCCTGGGAGGAGCTCCTCGAGTGAAGCATCACGCCCTCCCACTGACGACAAATGTGTCCTTGGACCGGGCCCTGCACCCTAAACTCTTCCCAGGAGACAGGATGCCAAATGCCGCTGGCACTGCCCAGAGCTCAGTTTTGGACAGCCAGGTGTATTTTTAGAAATCATGGGAAAGCGCCGAGCTATTCTCACGGGGCCCCTCCAAACACCAGTCCTGCTGCATGGCCACAAGAGCCCCCAAAACTTCCCAAAACCTCCTCTCCCTTCGGGAGAGGGCTCTGAAATTCCCAAAAATCTTTGCCCTTGGCCACATTTTCAACTCCCTGCGCTTGGGGTCTGGCTTGAGAGGTCCCACTCCACTGCGGGTCTCCCATATCAGCAGACCCACCCCATTGTTTACCTGCGTCAACAGTGAGCTCATCATGAGAGAACTGCGCCCACTATACGTGTTTCCTATATATAAGCACACACATGCAGGCGTGTGCACACATGCACACACACAAGCATGCACTTTGACAGCTTAGCTCCACACAATCAGACGGGGGCGGGGGGGAAACCCAGAAAGTGTGCCACAAAAGAGAAGAGGTTAAAGCCACAAACCACATTGTTTAGAAGAGAAACAACACACGGACATATGTTTTTCTTGTTATTACCTACCTGAAGCCCCGGCTGCTCCCAAAAGAGTGGAACGGAGCCTCTGATCTGGACAAAAGACGACACGCAGTCATCCAGGTAAATGGTCTGCACCACAAGGAGACATAAAGAGAAGGGTATTCTTCAATGAGACTGAATGTCCTGGGGCTGGTAACGGGATCCAGCTGCCTGAGACCCGATACCATCAGAACGCAGGCGGCCCGCGGCCCTCAGCGCCCTCTGTTCCTCTCCCCAGCCTGGCCTTGCCGCTCCCTGACCCACAGCTGGCCCAGTGCACAGGCCTGCTGGCTGCCGACCAGCCTGGCGGGTGACGGCTGCAGCCACGGGGCCTCCCAGGCCTGAGATCCTTGGGTCTGCTGCAGCTGGCTGGAGATTGGCACCAGCTTACCCAGCTCCCTTAAAGGCTTGTAATGCTTCCTAACCCCATTTCAGGAATAGAAGCAAGTGTGCTTGGGCATTTCATGAAGACCCCTAGGAGGCATCTATCTTCACTTTGTGAACTAGCTGGGCAGCAGTTACCAGGAAAGGATGGCATGGACAAAGTGAACGGGTTGGAGCCAAAAGACCTGCTTGGCTGCACTGATTAGGCCTGAACTTGACTGTGTAAAACAAGATGTGACTTGAACTTGAACTTGGTCCTGACCCCATGCCTGTGTTCTTAAACATGCCACTGAGTTAACACCCACAACAGTGTCCCTGAGCTTCCAGTGTGGTGGATGGGGCACCTGCACAGACCAGGTGCTACTTACACTTTAAACATGCGTCCCGTCCCTTGGTCCCCCATTATCTCAGATATATCACATCCCTGTCTGTAGGCCCCTAGGGATACTATAGAGCAAGGGAGTTTTAAAAGGACAAAAAGTACAGTCCTGAGCATCACGAGGGGAGGACTGAGGCAAGGATCAGATGTTCTGCCCTTTATCTGAGTAACTCTACCCTGGCCTGGCAGGGCTGGCCTAGGCGATGCTGCGGGTCCTTTCCATTTCTTACCAGCCTGCTCCCTCCAGGGTAGCTTTCCACAGCGGCCAGATCACACTCAGATCTCACATGCATTAGTAATTCTGCAGTGGAGGACCTGAACATTAGACCCGCAGGTTGCCTGGACCAGAGGAATGACACGATCCTGGTATCGGTACTGGTGAGCTGAAATTTTATCCTTGAATCTCCAAAGGAAAAAACACTAGGTTTGAAACTTGCTGTCTGTTTCCAGATATCGACCACCAGCACATCTGTTTACCCTCCGTTCTCCTATTAAGCCTGCAGGACAAAGCAGTTGGTTGTTTAACCTCTTGCGGGTATCGCCGGCAACAGGGAGATTAAATGCACTGCCCTGAGCTGCCTGCTCGGGTCCAGATGGCTGAGAAATAACCCACTTGGCCACCATGTCTACATAAAGACAGAGCCCAGGATCTGATTTCAGCTACACAACTATTAACCCTCTGCCCTAGGGGATAGCAGCTCCCAGTGCCTTTCCAGCATCAGACCACATTCCTCGAGCTGAATTCACACAGAATCAACATCTGAAATGGACACAGCCCTTGCTCAGACTTCACCGGGCGACAGAGGAAACGTGCCTTCAAACTCCTGAGCTCCTCCTTCCCACATGAAAACACCGTCCCATCCTAGAAACAGGACTACCTTCCTTGTCACCAAGTTGATAGGACATAATCTGATCCTCAAACACCAGCAGTGGATAATGGTGCTTTCCTTTCAGGGAGGAAAAACCCGACTTTTAACCCCAGCAGGGGATGCAATGCGTCACCTCTGGATGTACTTTTAACAGGAGGCTTTGGGGTTCCCAGGGGAGAGGGTGCAGTTGATGTGTGGGCACTAGGGCAAGGCAGCCTGGGCCTGATTCCATTAACCAGCAGGGTGACCCTGGCACCTCCCATAACACCCTCGGCCTCAGTGTCCCCTCCTCGATGGAATTAATGCCACCTGGACACAGAGAGGTGAAGACCTGAAGACCTCAGCTCAGGCTCACGGGTCAGTGCTGCCCCACGATGTGGCCTGGGCACTAAAGAGGAAGAGACACTGGGGGGGGAGTGGTCATACAGGGCAGGAGGGGCTGATGGCAGGACAGGCGGAGGCAAAAGGTGGGGTGCAGCAGCCTGGAGTCCCCCTGGACTTGCCACCTCTGAGCCCCTTTCACAGGGCAGTGGCTGCAGAAACCCCAACACCATGAAAGGGCTTGGTAGGGGTCCTCGAGGCTGGAGGGCACTTTCATTTCCGGTGTTTGTGGAACTTCACTCTGGATGAGGGATTCACAGGCCGATTCCTTCCAAGCCTGCTTTCTGGGGCGGACGCCCGTTCTCCAGTCTCCCTCGGTTAACCTGTGGCCTTACCTTCAACAGCCAAATATCTATCTTGTGTCCTTTTTGCTTTCGGTGGACTGAGGGGACTTTTGGGGTGGGTTTTTCTGCACACAGTGAGGCTCACGGCTGGGAGCTAGTCCAACAGATGTGACTCACTCCAGGGGCGGAAGGTTCGAGGCTCCTTCTCCAGGGACCTGCCGTCCACACCGGCACACACAGGCACAGACAAAACACATGAGCATACGCCACATATACACACGTGTACACACAAAGGTACACAACACACCATGCTGTAGTGGGGCGGCCAGGTACGGGGGCGGGGGCGCCGGGAGGCTGACAGCAACCAAGCCTCCCAGCCCCACCATGAATCTTCAATACTTTCTTTCCTCTGGTATGCTCTCGTGGTCTCACCTCTGTCATAGTCACTTGTCCTCTCAGAGCTGTCTCCCCCTCGCAGCCATCCCGACTGATGCTGTCCTTATATACCTGACTCTAGGCTCCAGTGTGCACACCACACACCAAGTGTCCACAAACAGGTACACGTGCCCACGCCCAAGCACCTGCTGCATTAGCATAATCACGGCTGCAGGTGATAGCCACGGAGGCAAAAAAAGCCTGATTAATTCAACACACACACCCACCCCACCCCCCTCAGAGGGGTGTTCATTCCTCTGTGGGAAGATGTTCCAGGGAGGCAGAAAGGAGCTGGTGCTGAGAGGGCCTCCCTCTCCTGGCTCCCTACCCCTCTTTAGGAGAGGCGCTGCCACCCGAGGTCCAGACAGGCCAGCGCTGTCTAACGCCACCATGTGTGCATGAAGGACGTGCTGCCTACAAGGCTTGGGAAGAAGAACCTCTGTTCCTTGCGGGGGTCCAGGCCCAGAGGGGCAGGCTGCACCATGAGGCCTCCTCCCCTGGGGCTCAGCACCTGCTCCCAGCACCCTGAGACCAGCTCCAAAGGCCGCCGTGCCTTCAGACGTCAGGAAGCCAGCACGGCCATTAGCCCCTCTCCTAGTGGCTCATGCTGATCAAAGGTCTCAGCAGGCTGACACAATCTGCTGTTTCACCCCAGGGTGCCCTCCATCCCACAGCATGACCCCTGTGTCTCTGAAAACTCACAGGCGTCAGACACCCTGGGCACCCGCCGCCGCCCCCCCAAGCTCCCGTCCTCAGCGCAGGTGAAGCCAGCACGCGGACGTGGTCCAGCACGCATGGGCGCTCACACAGCACGTCCACCCTCCTGCCTGCTCCCGGGCTCGAAAACACCTGTAGGCGGATCCTTGCCAGGCCTTACCCCTCCTCCCCATGTAAAGCAGGGGTGAGGGCGTGGGCACAGCCGCTGGGCAGAAGCACCTGGTGCACATATACCACAAAGGGGAGAATTTTGTGTTTACAAAACACCCTAGATGGGCCTCCCTGGTGGAACAAGGGGTTAAGAAGCAGCCTATGAGGCAATCAGCACCACTGCAGCACGAGTTCGATTTCCAGCCAGGGAGAAACCCACATGGTGCAGCAGACCTCTCCTGTCTCACCCACTGCTCCCCACAGCAGTGTACTTCAGTCAGTCTGCCTGTTCTGCTCCCCACTCTGTCTCTGGTGAATCCTCTCACCCTCCCACACCTTTGGCCTGTACCCCAACTCTTGTATGCATAAAAATAAATAAATCTTAAAAAAAAAACACCTTAGGTGAACCTCAGCACCCCTATAATATAGAGTCCTAAACAAAATGGTCATGACTGCAGAGACAGCAGGGCTGCGCACGTAACCCCACGGGAGAGAGGAGGGCGCCCGGCTCTGGGAGCAGCCGCTGCGCTCTGCCGCCTCTGCTCTTCCTGCCTCCCCAAACAATTTAGGGAAAGGGGTGATGCAGCTAGGGTGGAGGTGAGGTGGCAACCAGTCCAGGGCTGGGGGAAATGAGGCTGGAAGCCCATCCCTCACCCCTGTGTCCCCGGGAAGCCCACCCCTCCCCTTGGCACTCCTGGGAAGCCCGAGCAAGCAGCTGCTCACGCCAGGGCAGGTGCTGATCTAAAGGGGCCGCCGTCCACGTGGGACACCACTCATGGCTGGGGCAGGCGGACCTCCCACCAGGCACACACAGGTCACGTGAAGCCTGCAGCACAGCAAGGTCGCACCTGTGCTCATGGGGCTCTCCAGCCTCACGATTTATAATACCTGTGAGTTGACACAGGGGCAGGATTCCACAGATTGCAAGTTGGGAGAAAAACAGTTGTAAAACAGCATTTCTGGGGATGAGACAGAATTTAGAAAAAGAATCAACGAGAATTCAGCAGATGGCTGTATTCCACAGGCGCTGGAGGCACCGAGGCCCAAGATTTCACACGTCCCAGGTGCAAGACGGGCTTCTAGGAAGAGCCTCGGCGGGTTCAGAATGAACAGTAATTGCCTCCTCTCTCACTCTCCATTACCGATCCACGTGCTTAGGTCTTAAAAATATTCAGGTTGGGCCTCCCTGGTGGAGCAAGGGGTTAAGCACCGCACTGTGAAGCTGTCCGTAGCTTCTGTAGCATGAGTTCTATCCCTGGCCAGCCAGGGAGCTACCCACATGGCGAAGCAGACCTCTCCTGTCTCGCCCGCTGCTCCCCTCAGCAGTGTGTTTCAGTCAGTCTGCCTGTTCTGTTCCCTACCCTGTCTCTGGTGGATCCTCTCACCCCCTGTATCTCTGGCCTGTACCCCAGCTCTTGTATGCATAAATAAATCTTACAAAAAAAAAATATTCTCAGGGCCTCCCTGGTGGCACAAGGGATTAAGACGCAACCTATGAAGCTCTCCACAGCCTCTGCAGCACAAGTTCGATCTCCGGCCAGGGAGGTGACCCACATGGCGCAGCAGACCTCTCCTGACTCGTCTGCTGCTCCCCTCAACAGTGTATTTCAGTCAATCTGCCTGTTCTGCTCCCCACTCTGTCTCTAGCGAATCCTCTCACCACCTGCATCTCTGGCCTGTACCCCGGTTCTTGAATGCATAAACAATAAACAAATCTTTTAAAAAATGTATTTTCAGGCCCTGTTGGTTCACCCACCAGCTGCTCTCTGAGCTGCTGTCACAGTTCTTGACCACAGCAAAAATTCCTGCTCACTTAGACCCAAACAAGCACCAGGGAGGCAGCGCCTCCCAGGCAGGAGTGAATCAGAGGAGCCGCACCTGCAACCCAGAGCTGCACTTGCAACCAGAGGCCCAGTGGCCCCTTCGCTTGCACCTGGCGTCAGAAGCTGGGACCCAGAAGGTGCCGGAAGGGAAACGCCATGGCCTGGGCACTGACCTGCTCTGTCTCCACAAAGTTGGACACGTGGCCATCGTCGTTGACGCCGCGGGTATGGAAGCGAGCCCCGGCGCGCTCGCAGCTGATGCGGGAGATGAGGCAGGCCTTGGCCTGCTTGTGCGAGGCGTAGAGAGTGCGGATGGCCACCACCCCGCAGATGACCTTCAGCAGCCAGTCACCGCAGCTCACCTGGTGCTGCCGCAGGGGCACATGCAGCAGCTGGTTCCTGCAAGACAGAACCCCAGAGCGACTCCCATGGCGTCCCATCCTCCAAGGAGATCAGTGTCCGGAGGCGGGGCGGGGCCAAGGCACCCGCAGGGCCAGCTGCCTGCTTAGGACGAGGGGAGCTCCCTGCTGGGCTCCCTGCAAACTCTGCACTCAGGACATGGGGCAGCCTGGGCTCTGGAGAGGACCCGGACAGCAGGGCTGCCAGGGAAGAGTCCTTCCCCAGCGCTACTTCCGGGCATCAATACCAGGGAATAGAAACCAGGTGTAGCCAGGGAGTCACAGCTGTCAGGGAATCTCAGGGAACCTCCGTTTAGACCCACAGCCTCACGGTTTTTGATGGTAAATCCCATCAGTAAAAAACAATCCTGCTTCGTGACTAAATCATAACAACAAGTAATAAAGTGACAAATGATAACGATCCCATTAATATATGCGTGCTTATTTAAACTAACTACACGATCCTTAAGGTGAATATAATTAGAGCATCACAAAGCAATCCCAAATAAGTTAAAAGGATGACAGGAAAATAGAAGCAAGTTGTAGTATTTCCTCCCCATATCAGGGGGTGGTTCTGGCCTCTGGAGACCCCTGGTGTCCATGCGACAATGACAGGGGCGGGGCTGATACCCATCCCCACATCATGCTAAGTGCCTTGGGATGGACTGACTCACTTCATCTCCAAGTGGTTCTATGAAAAAGGTATTCTCATTTGCCCCATTTTACAGATAAAGAAACCAAGAACAGAAACACAAAGAATGTGGCCAAGGTCACAGAGCAGTGTGGCGCTCAGCATCTGAGCTCTCCACCCAGCCCTAGCCCGTCCTGGTGAGGCCCTGCCTGTGCAAGGCGCACCTGCCCCTCTTCGGGTTCCCTGACGCCCACTCGGGTCTGTTGAGCTGGGTGAGTGGCCACTCTGAGGAGCGAGGAGGGCTCAGAGGGGGTGCGTGGGCATCCGGACACTGCAAGCTACAGTGCACCCAGGGGACCTGAGTAATGCCAGAGTCAGGCCTCTAACCAGTGCCCAGGGAGGGGGCCTTCGGGGGCAGGGCACCAAGTGAGTTTAGACCACAAAGTGCCCCTATTTGTTTACAAAAGGCAGCAACATCCCTGCCCCCGCTGGCCTCTGGGAGGCCAGCTCCCCTCACGGCTGGAGCAAGCTATGACTGTCGACTGTCGGCTCCTGCAGGCCACGGCGACGGTCTGCCGGAGCACATGGTCACGCAGCTTTACCCGGACACACGTCCCTCTCCTGCACCACCCTCTAAACATAAAATAAAGCAGCTGCAATAACAGTCAACTAAACCTTCACGTGATGTCCTGGCAAAGCCGCCAAACGTGCCTGTCTTCTAGCCACTGTGACGGCCCTCATCACCGGGGTCAGGAGGACAACGTGGAAAAAGTTCTGTTTACAGTTACACCGCCCTGACCCTCTGGGGAGAGAGCCCCTGTCGGGAGAGGCGACCTGGGTCCGGACAGGAAGGCAGCCTCGTCTCCCCCCGGATGTGATGGCCGCGAGCCACCATGGCGGAGCGACAGCAGCCCTGCGTGCTCGCTCTCCAGCCCGTTCAGCACTGACCTCTCTGGCTGCAGACGTGGCCCAGACTGTGAATGGTCACCAAGCCCATGACCACTAGGCCCAGCTGACTCAACTCTGGTCAGTTCCAGGGGCCCGCCCTGAGCCCAAACACCACACCCTGGAGTGAAGCCGGCCAGCAGCCTGGCGCCGCCAGAACTGCCTCCTCCCCTCAACCTCAGGCCGGAGTCCCCTGGCGGCCTCCTCCTCAGACGCCTTGAGTCCTCTGCTTCATCTTACTGTTTCCCATCTGCCTCGAATCGCCCCCACAGAGCTGGGGGAGGCTGAAAAGGGGTGTCACATCAGTGTGGGGCCAATCAAGCTCCCAGGCACCCTGATGCTCAGATGGTGCTCAGGGGTTCCCCCAAAATGTCCCAGCCTGAGCCCTCGCCTCCGCGTCCGGGGTCAGGGCTGGCAGTGGTGGCCGGCCGTCGCAGAGGCCCCGCCTAGTGCTCAGCCACGATCCCAAGCTCGGCTGCCTCCAGGGCACATGGGCCAGCTGGTCCCTGCAGAGTGGAGCCAGTGCCTCACAGAAACACCACCCGGGCCTGGCCCTGAGTGTGGGCCTCACGCCCACAGCCTCGGCAACACCACGGCACCTGCCAGACATGCAGGTTCTTGGGCCCTGAGCTGCACTTGTGGAATCAGAATCAGCACTGGGATTGGCAGGGGGCCACGTGCATTAGGCCACATCAGAGAAACAAGGAGCATCTGGCGGCAGGAGGTGGGGGGACAGGTGGGGTGTATGCTGCTCCCCTTTCTCCAACTGGAGGTCAGGCACTCCCCATGGATGGGGCTCTGGGATATGAGCGCAGGAGCTGGAGCCAGAATGTCATGGGGGACTCAGTCTCCTTATCTGTCCAGAACCGGCCCCACCCCCACTACCATGAAGTTACGTGAAGAGCTCAGAGCAGCGCCCGCACTATGGGTGCTTTATAAACGCCAGGGGCGAGTATCTGTCCACAGGAGGATGCCCGAGGCTGCGGGGAGCACCCAGAGGGCCAATCCCCCTGCCCGGGGTAAGGCCAGGTGCGCAGGAGACAGGGGGTGATTTCCTTTCCTAATTCTACATCAGATGACTCTGAACACAGCCTTGACCCTGGGGAGGGGACGTGGGGACCCCTGGCCCTGGAGGAGGAGGACCCGGGGGCCCTGACCCTGGGGGAGGGGCACAGGGTGTCACTGGGGTCGGTTTTCTCCTCACTGTGCTGAGCCGGCACCTTGGCTCCCAGGGGTACCCCAGGGTCCCGGGCTCAGATCCCCATCATTGCCCATGCCCGTGGGCCTGGGGGCCTCACCAAAAGAAGGAGTCCCCCCACTCATGGCTGTCGTCGTCCTGCTTCTGCGCCCGGACGGTGAGGTCGAAGCGGGAGCCGTCGCAGGGCCAGGAGAAGTAGAAGACCCCCGAGTTCAGGATCTTCCTCAAGGCGGCCAGGCGGTCCTCCTCTCTGGCCTCTTCCTGAAGGGGGTAGAAATCGGTGGCGGTGATTTGGTAGATTTCAGCCTCTGGAATTCTGCCCACGGAGACGCAGCCTGTCACCAAAACCAGGAAGCTCAGGGAGGCGCCACCTGGAAGGGAAGCCAGACTGGTGATCATGCGGCAGGGCGGGGCGGCTCTGACCCGCCGTGCACCGGGCACCTGGAAACCGGGCCAGTTGATGTAAGCAAGAGTTACTTTCCGCAGGCATTTTTCAGGTCACCAAACTTCTAAATAAAAACCCCATTCTAATGTGAAACAATGATTTGTCTTCATTCGTTCATTCATTCATTTTCCCACCTGCTTATTCTGGTCAGGAGCTCTCGGGAGATGGGGGGCCAGAACCTCTCCCGGCAGCTCAGGGTCAAGGGAGGCCCCACCCTGGACGGCCCCTCCCATGGCGGAGAGCATCACACCCCACACTCACTCCCACTGGCATGACGGCGATAGGCCAATCAACCCCAGGTGCACATCCCTGGGACGTGGGAGGAGCCCACGTGTGAGGACCAGCCCCTCACATGCAGTGGCCCCCAGCTAGAACCAACTTCTTTCCTCATCAACAGTATAAGGATAGGACATGGAATGAAATGACGTGACTCAAGGACCTGCTGTAACGCAGGGGCGTAGACAGCCCCATTTCACTTTTCAGGCCCTCACACCCAGTGGCAGCCCCACCCCCGATTGACCTGCACCTGAACCTAGAGCCAGGCCCAGGATCTCAGAGCTCCTGCCCTGCAGCATCAGCACCACCTGGGAGGTCAGAAATGCAAATGCCCAGCCCAGCCAGCCCTCTGCACACAGGGCTCTACTGCTGCTAGCTGAGTCTGGGATTGCCTGGAGCCTTCCCAGCCTCTCCCCCACCCCCCAGGTTTCTATCACAAAAGCTTCTCAGATCTGCCCTCCCCAAGAACCCTCAGCTGCTGTCTGGCTCAGAGCCCCAACCCTCCAAGGGGCAGTCGCCAAGGGCTCACTGAGTGACCTTCTAGATCTGCGTGACGGCAGTGCGCTCTCCTCTGCTTAAATCCTCCCTCAGCTCCACTCCCCAGGGTCTCCCGCCCAGCCCTGCCCACAACCTGTACCCACATACGACACCACGGTCCAGCAGCTCACAGGCTGTGTTCCGCAGCTCAAGTGCTTTGAGCCCTCATGTAGAGTAAGGAAAAATGTCAGGCTTTTCTGCCCTCCCGCCATCAGGACAGATGATGGATCCTTGCGGTCCTGAATGCATGCCTGATGGCGGGTACCTGGAGGAGGGTGTGGGCATAGGTAGATGGGATCCACCTGGGCTGAGACTGGGCTTTTAAGGGCGGCGTCACGGGGACGCCAGCAGCAGCCGAAAGAGAAGCCGAAGAAAAGTCAAGAGAAGCAAGAGAAGCAGAAGCCAAGAGAAGGCCGGGGAGCCCAGAGTGAAGACCTGCTGGGGGCTGGGAGGCCTGCCAGTCTCCCAGCCCCGCAGTCTGCCGTGTACCTGGTAATCCCAATAAAAACCTGCAAAACCACTGAGGACTTCTGACTCCTCCTTTACCTGGTCTGCTGGATCTTAGAAAACCTGCTCAGTGCCCCTTCCTGCCACTATACCTCACCACCCTGGGCCTGGCCCAAGATGCTGGGGAAACCCCAACATCCATGCCAGCAAGCCCCTACGACCTTTCCCTCACTAACCCTCCCAGCCTCTACCTGCTAGAACCCAGCCTTCCCATGTGCCAGAGGGTTGGGGGAGGGGGGTGGATCCAGGAGAACACCTCTCCACCTTCTAGGGTGCACAGGGCAGTGCCTCCACCAAGGAGCCGCCCTGCTCTCCCTGGACACGTAAGGTGCCCCTTCTACGAGCAAACAGCATCCCTGTTAGCCCTCGTCATATGCAAAAGCCTCCCTCCCCATCTGCGTCTGTGTCCCGGAGGACTGGACTCCCTGGGGCCGGGGCTCTCTAGCCAGCAATGCACCCGGCAAGGGCTTCATGAGCGCTTCCGAAATAAGCCAATGAAAGCGGCTCAGGAAAGCAGGGTGCCTGTTGCCAGAGAATGAGACACTCCCTCCAGGTCCCCCACCCCATGCTGTCCAGGACTGTTTTCTATTCTTTATTTCCCACTGCACAGAGGCCCTCAGCACAAAAGGCCCCAAATACACTAAGTCAGGGGTGCATGGCGACACTCTGCTTGGGGACACGCATCCCCCACTGTGCTCTACTTCAGGAGGGCCCAGGAAAGAAGCTAGGTGCCAGTGAGTGGCCCTCTGGGGCTGGCATGGCTCCAGTCCAGGGACACTCCTCTGGCCCCGCTGAGGTTCAGAGGCCCTGCCTGTTCCAGCAAGATCTACTACAAGTAACCCATGGTCCTTACCTGGAGCCTTGGGGGCCTACGTTCTCAGCTGTGTGGACACTGACAAAAGCCCCTAAGATCTCCAGCTCCACCACCCACCAGCTCGTGCCTGCGCCCTGCACAGAACGGGCTGTGGTCAGGTGCCCTCCGGCACCACTCTCATCAGGCCTGCTGGAGGGGCAGGGAGGGGGCTGGGCAGGGCGACCACATCGGCTCATGTCTCACCCCCCCGTCTGACCAGGGGACTATTTTAAAACAACATAATACAGGCAGGTATGCTGTGGAAGGGACAAGTGTGAGGGCTCGGGTTTCTCAAGGACAGACGTCATTTCTGGAAGACAGGAGGTGCCACTGCCTCCAGTGACAGCTCAGCGATGCAGCGTCCCCACGGCCTGTGCCAGCACTGAGGCCCGGAGCCACCTGCCCCTTGTGATGGACTCAGCGCAGGGAAAGCAGACTCGGGACAGTCCGGGGACAGCCTGGAGGTCAAGGCAGGGGCCCAACGTCAGACTCTGTCGGGAACAGGCTCAAGGCGCGGCATGAAATGTCACTTTGCATCCTCCATCTGAACCGCGAAGCAGATTTCCAGTGCCACTTCCTCAACAGCCCCTGCGTGGGGGGACCCGAGTCCCTGGCAGGAGTCCCAGGGTGCTTTGAAGGGAGGAGGCATTTCCTGTGCGGGGCTGCGGCCGGGGGAGGCTCCGGCTGGGCGTGCTGTGGCAGGTGTGAAAAACTCAAAATAAATGTGAATCCAGGCTCTCTGAGTCCTGGGATGGAGGCCTCAGGAGAGGGTGGTGAGCCCGTGGGAGTTAGGCAGAGCTCAGCTGGGCCTCAGGGCAGGGGCAGCGCCCACCAGGCACCATCCTCTCAGGCTCCCAGAGGCACCAGTGCTGGCCCCATTTTACAAGGAGGGGGATAGGCAGAGGCAGCACAGTGGGGAAGCTGGGGCCAGTCTGCTTCCTGGCTGCACCACTGGCGAGTGTTTCCAGGGCTGCGGCGCTTCACGACTGCCCAGCAGACAGCATCACCAGCTGGCCTGATCACACTGCGGCTGACACTCAAGAGACTGTCCCCCAGGGGAGCTGGCTTGCTGGCTCGAGCACAGGGCTAGCCTGGTTTGGACCCAAGATGCAAACGGAGGTCCCGTGCGGCCCAGGTCGGCCAAGCCCAAGGCCCAGTCATCCATCACTGTGGTTAACTGTCACCCTGACAGCACTCCCTTGCTCATCTAACCACTGTCACCAAAAATAAATACACAGTGGAATATTACTCAGCAATCAAAAAGATAAACGCATGCCATTTGCAGAAACATGGATGGGGCTGGAAGGGATCATGCTCAGTGAAATAAGCCAGAAAGAAAAAGGAAAATGCTGGTTGGTCTCACTCACAGGAGGAATGTAGCAGATCCAAATAAGGGATCAGGGGGAAAAAGTAATGACAATAAAGTAAAAAATCAAAATCAACAGGCAACTATAAACCATTGACATTCTGCAATGGGGGGAGGAGCGAGTTGGATCAGAACAGGGCTGGGAAGAGCACAAGGGACTATGGTGATGGTTCACGGGTGAATTGGTGGTGGGAATTCTACCAGGACTATATCCAAGATGAGAAAGCAGACATTGTATAAAAATGAAGAATGATGTAAAGAAGATCTAAAATAATAATAATAATAATAAAAAGGAAACAAAACTGGCACTGAAAGTCTTCATTGTTACTTTAAATGGCTGTGAATGGTATACACTCCAGCCAGTGTGGACCAAGGGCTTGTAAACATCAAACAGCTGGAGGCCTGCTCGCTGGGGTCCAGGCACCCCCACCCAGCAGCACAGGAAGGCGCGGGCACATTCTTCTTTAACAGATGGGGTTTCACTCAATTTCCATTCCACTTTCCCCACAGAACTGCATCCTGATGTGACGTATTTTGTGCTTTCAAGTCTTGTATTGATGAGCCTGTGTAATGATTGACCCAAAAGCTCACAGTGCTTCAAGAGTCTGTTCTGGTTTGACTTATCATTAGTATGACTTTTAGTACACAATTGATTGAATAATTTAAATGAAACATTTTGCTAAGTTACCATTTAGCATGAGAAAGTAAAGATTTCTTGGAAAAGCATCTATCTCTTCCTGAGAGGGATGCGATTTCCAGTTCCAGTTCCTATAAAAGTGTATTACTTATTAATGGAATAAAACTAGATTCTATACCAACTCTGGTTCTATTTTTCACTTTTATTGATGTAAACACTAAAAAACCTTTTTTACATTAATAGATGAGAATAAAAGTGTTTCATTCTAGAAATATCAATTCTTCAAAGTCCTGAGTTGTGTGCTTAAAGAGAAAAGCAAAATGACCCATCAACAAAATTATTGCTAATGCTATGACACGGTTCCTTCAATTTTGTGGAAAGCCAGGCGTGGCTGTCACCTGACTGGTGAAAAGGTTTGTTCCTTAATCGTTCAGGTGATGCTTCTTCCAGCTGATGAGTACGGTGGAGTGTCTCTTTGGGGGCAACGCACCCTGATGGGGTTTTGAAAGCACCAGGATAGAAGAGCAGTTTGGGCTGGGACAGAAGAGGAGAAACCGGCCCCTCGTCCTGGGCACATTCTAGCAAATCAAGTCTAGGAGTGAGGGTCTAGACGTTGTTTCCTTAGGACGGCCCTGCCTGTGCACATGGACCGTCTCTGGGCTGTCCTGAAGGATGGCCCTGGGCCATGGCTTCTCCAGGAGGGGGTTGCCCGGCCCTATTCAATCCAGAGGGGCCTCCTGTTCCTCCAGTTTTGGGGCTATTCTGTCCACCTAGTCTGGGTGAAGAGCTCTTGGGTGCTCTTAGGAGCTACAGGTTCTGGGGTCAGGGTCCTGACTCCATTCTAACATCAAATTGTTGGGGGGTCACTGCCTCCCCGTCCACCTGTCAGTGTGATGTTGGTCTGTGATGCCCACAGAGATCTCTCTTAGGGGACAGAGGCCTGGTTGGTGGGACTCACCTGCCCCAGGTGTGTGAGGAGTCCCCTATGATCTCACCTTAAGCACACGTGCTAGGCTTTGATTTCAGAAAGACAGGATCTGTTTCCTCGCAACCAAGAGGTAAAGTGGGCCTGAGGCATGTCTCAGAAGTCATTAGTGGAGGTTGAATCCAGGGGTTTGAAACCAGTAAGGATCTTGTAGTGAGGGAAAAAAAACCTCAACCTTGCCCTGGCCTCAGAAGCCTGGGCTCCGGGCTCTGCGCGCTGCTGTGGCTGTGGGACTCCAGGCAAGGCTCCCGCCTTTTCTGGAACTCAGAGGAGGATGCACCGGATGGTCTCTGTGTCCCTTCCAGATCCAACACTCTGGGTTTGGGGCTCTGGCCAAAGCAAGACCATCTGAGGGTCAGAGGTAGCCAGCCAGTCAGGTGAGGTGATGGGAAGGGCAAGCAATGGATCATGGGTCAAAAGCACCAGAACCAGAAAGGGGCATGCATACATATATACTCATGCACACAAGTACACAATGTACATACAGGTACACAGCCACATACATGGCCACATACCCTCATGACACACTCCTTTGAACATGCACAGCACACACATGTATGCACTTACGCACGTGTGTGCACACACATGCCCCTTCCAAAAGGCAGGAGGCTCAGTCCAGATACCTCTGCTTGCAGCCTGAACAAGCGGGCTGGAGGCACAGACCTACATTGGTCAACAGTTTGGGAGAAAGTTCTGGAGGCAGAAGGCAGTGATGGTTGCACAATTAGATGAACTCCCTTAATGTCACTGACATAAAAACAGTTAAAATAATAAATTTTACCGTATGTATATCTTACCACAAGAACAAAACCAGAACTCCAAAACCACCATGTCAACTTAGAAATTCTCTCCCTCAAGAGGGCAGCCTTCAAAACCCAGCTCCAAGTCACAGGCGCCCAGCCCCCCTCGCCGACCCTGCAGCTAGCCGGGCCCTGTCTGATCTGGCTGAAGCCGTTTGTCAGCTGGAGGGGAAGGACTGGCTGGGGTCAGATGAGTCAGGCAGGCACAATGCCTTCATTCAGGGGCCACGCTGGGCATGCTCCCGCTGGGCCACCTGCTGCCCCTGTGTTGGCATTTCTTGGTGATTGCTCAGCCTGGGCGTTCTCTCCCCAGCCAGGTTCATACCAATCTCAACCCTGGGGTGCTACAGGCCATCTCACCTGTCCTGCTGCTCACATGGATTCTCTCGTCATAAACCCATAAACAAAGGACTTAGGAGCTCTGGTGTTTTCCAGTGTGAAGTGAGGGCCTTGTGCTGTATGATCTCCAACCCTTCCCCGACCATACTATGCTCAGGATGCAAATACCTTTGTCCACAGGCACAGTCTCAAGTTCATGGTTCACCTGCCCTTCGTAGAACGTGACAGTGGTCCAGGAGCAGGGTACTGGAGCCAGCTCCTGCCAGCCAGCCTGCCCATTCTACCCAACCCCCTTGGCAGGGCAGCTGACAGCCAGGTCAGGGTCTCTCTGCCATGGAAACTGGCAAACACAACATTTCAGAGTCTTTCCCCCCAGGAGCTAGATGTCAAATATTTACCAGCACACCACTGGGTACAGATCATGAAATGAGTTTTTCTAATATTGATTATTATAAGTTACAAGTTATTCTGATACTGACAAAGGCCATCTCATTTTAAAACTTGCCAGAACATTGTCCACATGAACTAAAGACTGTCAACCTCCCCTTCTGAAGTGACACCTCTGGATGCCAGCACTGGGCCTGGCTGGTGAATTACCCACCTGCAGTCAGCGCCTGTGACACCACCCAGAGTTCGAGAGGGACCACAGTGCAGGCCAGCACCCTCCCACTCCGCACCTACGTATTCAATACCAAGTTTGTTTCTGCATGAAAATCTCTTAAGAGCTATGTCAGGCAGAGATGAGGCAGTTTACAGCCTGCTGGTTTGCAGGTGAGAAAACAGCCCTTGAGAAATGAAATAAACTTAGGATGTTGGTCCTGTTGGGAAGTTGGAATCGAATCGAGGTTAGCTGTCTGGTGGAAAGTTCACAGGGCTGACATGTACAGCTTCACAGGCTGTGCACTGCACAACGCAAGGAGACACAATTCCTGATAGGCTTCAGTCTGAATAGGATTCCTCAAGATTATGAAACAGAGAGACCTTGAGAGCTTAGGTTAAAAGGGAGTTAAATCCCTATAATCATCAGGATAAATCCTTTCAACTGATAGACCCTGACTTCCATGCCTTAGATGGTGCAGGCATCAGGAAACCAGATGCCCTCACTAACTGTGGAGCTCCACCCCCTTCCTGCTGGCACTTCTGGAAGGGGTGAGAAAACCCAGGGGCCTGGGACAAATCTTTGATGGTTAGTGGGCACGTTTCTTCATTTAAAAAAAAAGATTTATTTTATTTAAGCATACAAGAAGTGGCCAGAGGTGTGGGGGGTGAGAGGATTCATCAGAGGCAGAGTGGAGAGCAGAACAGGTGGGTCTACTGAAATACACTGCTGAGGGGAGCAGTGGGCGAGACAGGGTCTGCTGAGCCATGTGGGTTGCTCCCTGGCCAGGGATCGAACTCAGACTGTCAAGGTGATAGTGCTGAGAGGAAGTCTCTTTCTTTGTACAGATTCCCTCAGCCTACAAAAGTCAAAAGGGAGGTCTACCCATCTCAGGTTGCTCATCTTGGTGGCAACTGAAAGTTGGCGCTTCACCCAGGTGACCTGACACCCTCAACAGGTGAGAACACGGTGGTGGTTCTGGGACGGGGGCTTGCGGTGGGAACATGAAGCCAAATCACAACCAAGAACCCCTCCGCACTACCACAGGGGACTTGAAAAAGTCAGTTCTAAGGCCCAACCGTCTGTCCCTCAGATACCCCAGGATATCTTTGGCCACTGACTGAGAAAGCTCAAAGCATTGTGACATCCCAAAGTCAGAAGCGCCCTCAGCATGCCCAGAGACCCCTGCAGCCCACGCTGCAGACCCCAGGGTCACACCGTAAGGCTGTGTCCAGACTTCTGTGGGGTGAGCAGGGGGTGGGTGCAGGAGGGAGAGCGCCCGCCCCAGGCATCTCTGGGAGCTTGGTCTCCCCTGCACATGATCCTGGAGGCCCCTGCTGAAGCCGGCCCGTCCCCGGGGGCTGCAGACACCCCAGCTTGCTCTGCCAATATTCCTCTGGCAGCAGCTTACTTCCTGCAGCCGGAGGAGCCAGCCTCCTGCCTCTTTCAGGACAGCACCCAGGTGGCAGAGAACCGCCGCTAGGGCCAGGCAGGAGAGGAGCTCCAAACCCAGGAGGCGGCCACTCGAGCTGCCCGTGTAGTTCATTTATGTACCAGAAACACGCTGCCAAGTCTGACTGTAAGATGCAACAACTGTCACCATCCTGAGCGCCACAAGGTAAAAGTGCCGGAGAAATGAAGAGAGCAGGGAGTGGCCCGTGCTTCTCCTGCATCTGGAAAGGGGGACAGAACAGCACCCACTTCCTGGGTTGGGAGCACTGAACACAGCCGCTGCAGCGGGGGACCTGGGGGAGGGTGCCAGGGGGAGGCTCACTGCCACCTTCACATCAGCCCCACCGAGGCAGGGCCACGGGAATTTTTTGTAACCCCCAAAAGACCAGATCCTGGGCAGCCTGTACATTTTCTTGGAAAAAGCTAGTGCTTAGAAGCAGCTAGAAGTGGCTTGAATCCTAGCAAAGCTTCTTATTCTAGGCAAGTTACTTTAGCCCCGGGAGTCTGTTTCCCTCTCTGCAGAAAGCGAAAACAAGCAGGGAGCCCTCAGAGCAGACACTAGGAACGGCGCGGCGGCCAGGGGGCACCATGTGGTTCCTGGATGCTGTTTGGAAATGATCTGTGCTATTGCCGCAGTTCAGGAAAAATGGTTCTGCTAAAGAAAGGACCCAGAAAAGCCGGAGAAAACAGCCGCGCAGATCTGTCAGCCTTCAAAGCCCAAGTCCATGACCAGCTGCCGAGGGAGACGAGGGCGACCCGCCTGGCTGGGGAACTTGGTCACCTCCCTGCCCTCCCCGCTGGCCGAGAGGGACGCAGAACAGGGGATGCCCCAGGCTTTGCCCTCGGCCCCCCACCCCCTCCACGCCCCAGTCCCTGGGGACGCAGGGCACCAACACGAGGCTGAGCGCGGAGGGCAGAGACGGCGCTGCCTGCGCACCAGGGCACCAGGGCTCCCACGGGGTCCAGGACCGGGTGGGGACATGGTGGCCCCCAGGAGGCAGCAGCCCTCAGCTCCCCAAGTCTCCCACTGACCCAGGCTGCCCACCTGTTCCTGCAAGTTCTCTGGTCCCTTCAGGCCTGACTTCACAGCCTAGGTTTTGAGTCACTTTCCACACACCCGCCTCCAGCCGCCCACCCTCTGGCCCAGTCTGTGTGACTCTCCTACAGACACACCCCACAAGTCCAGGGGTCTGGGGGCCTCTGGCACCTACCCCACTCCGCAGCCTTCATTGCCCACCTCGGGACACCTTCTAGGGTGCACACAGCCCCCTGGGTGGGCCCCCTGCTCCAGGCTTAGGGAAAACTTCAGTCCTCATGGGCAAATGAGGAAGGCAGGCTCCCCTGGCACAGACAGGTGAGAACCGGCTGCCCTCACCTTGACTCCACGGCACTGAGGAGCCGGCTCAGGGCAATGAGGAAGCAGTTAAAAGCTCACATAACGGTTAAAATAAAACGCCTAGATCCTGCAGTCTTTTCAGCAGAACTGAGAAGGGCCCAGCGCCTGAGGCGTCCAGCACAGGCACCCGACAGCCGACAGCCGCTGTGTGGTCGCGAAGGATACTCACCGGATTTTAATCTGAGCTCCCCCAGGCAGCCATAGGCGTCGGTCACCTTCCCGTACTGGCCCTTAATGACCTCCTTTTCTTCGGGAGCTGGAGGAGAAAGACATCAGAGGAAGCATCAGCCGCGCGCCTGTTGGAGTTCATTCACTGCAGCCTGGCAATCCGGCTCCCAGCCGGCTCCCCACCCACTCGGCAAAGAAAACGCAGAGACAATAGCTCGGCCCCAAGGAATCTGTGGAGGTTTTATGAGTAGCGAATCACCAAGCTGCAGTGATTTGGACCTTCCCATGACAAGCTTGTGCTCTGGAAGTGTCAACAGCTTCCTGGGGACTGGAGAGAGAGAGAGAGAGAGAGCCCCTGGCTGGCCCCACGCTGGGGTCCAGAGGGAGCAGGAGCCTCGGTGCGCCCTCTGCCCACAGTCCACATGCCCAGAACCGGAGTGAGTCACCCTCACCCGTGGGGGGACCTCCTCCTAAGGACTGTTGCTGGAGGCTCTGTCTTGTGGGTGCCCATCTGCCTCCAGGGACCTACAAACACTCCACTCGGGGGAGGCTGAGCAGACGGTGGGAGCCCCAGCTGACCCCGGTCCAACCAACCCCAAGGCAAGAGGCAGGAACAGCCAGATCGGCAGCAGTTACTGACAACACCCAAGGCAAGAGCCGGCCTGGTGTCAAAGCACAGGAAGAAATGAAAGCTGACAGAGGAGAGCCCATGAGGAGCAGGGCATCTTTTACCTCCACGGGAAGCCACAGACCCCTCTGGCTACTGCAGGCCCTGGGACCACTCATCAGAGCAATGCTTCCGACTGCATAGAGCAAAATACAAGCCTGCATCAATCCTGAAAACAGTATGCTATGTGGAAGAAGCCAGTCACAAAAGACCTCATAAATATTCCATTTATAGAGAACACCCGGCATAGGCAAATTTATAGAGACACAATGTAGATTAGTGGTTGCCAGGGCTGAGGGTGGGGAAGGCGAGTGGGGAGTTACTGCCAGTAGGTTAGAGTGTTGCTTTCAGTGAGGATGAAAATGGTCCAAAATTAGTTTGTGGTGAGGCTTGCACAACTCTCTGAAGATACTAAAAATTAACAATGAATCTTACACTTTAACTGGATAAATGGTAAGGTATGTGAATTATATCTCAGTAAAGCTGCTACAGAAAAGTCAACAAAACCCAAGATGAGTAGGATTACCCAGGATATTGAAATCTGGCTATCAGCATTTTTAGACTTTTTAAAGAAATCTAATACTATTTAAAAATTTTGGTAATAGATGTGCCTTCCTAGCACCTTAAATTACAAAATCTAGGGGGCACCTTAATTTCAAATGAGTGATGAGGAAAAACGGTATTTCCAGATCTCTGCGACACTCTGGGAAGGTGTGAAAATATCTGTAACTTCTATTGGAGACAAAGTCACAGATATGGTGAATACACTGTTTTGTGCCGCCTTCCCACCCCAAGGAAATGCTGCTTTCCAGTTAGCGCTGATGAAGGTGAACATGTATTGTCTTTCCCAGAGAACCTGTCCTCACATTCCGGCCATGGAGGCCTGGAGTCTGGGTCCCGGGACAAGGAACCCCTTTTCCACCAGCATGGGCGTGAAAAGAAGGCTGATTCCTTTTGCGCCTGGTCCTCCTGATTTCTCAGGCTGCCCCATCTCCCCGAGTTCCGGAATTTAAAGTACGAATTAAGAGCCTGAAGGGAATTGTTAAAAGGCGCAGAGGGCAGGACCCCAAGGAGCTCACGCCCATGCTCAGGCTTCCTGGGGCCTCTGCAGGTGTCAGACAGGCAGGAAGGCCAGCGTGGAGAGCCTGGGCATGCGCCAGGGACATGAGTCTAGCTGTAGCCAATACCCTTCCCGAGGCCCCAACGCCAAAGAGCCACGGCCCACATCTCCCAGCACAGCTTGATCTCCGGGGTCGCCATCGGCCCCTCAAACTCAGACCCATCGGGTCACATATCCAACTGGGCCAGGAAAAATACCACTGTGAGTGGCCCATCCTCCGCTCCTTAAGTGCTTCCCAACACTCAGCCCGGGGGGGCCCTGGCTGCTCCTCACTCAGGAGGCCAGCCTAGTCCTGCTGACACGAGATGGAGGGGGCACCTGGGTCTCAGCAGGACCTGCCACCGAACCCACCAGTCAGGCGGGCGAGTGCTGGGGATGCACGGCTGGCAGGGCAACACGGTGACAGACTAGTGGCCAGAGGTCCCTGCCTCCACTTCTCCTGACAGGGCTGGAGGGGATGGTGTGGCTAGAAAAGAGAGGTCAGTTACCCGGAAAGCCTGCCAGCCTGAAACACATGGGACAAGAAGCTGGCAGGTCCCCAGGACTCACTTGCTGGGGAGCAGGCTCATGTCACCAAATGGATTACTTAAGATGGGGACCCTTGATTGGAGGGTCTAGGAAGACACCAGCAACACAGGCTTGCTTGGGGGGTGGGGGCAGAAATCTGTGTAATCTCTAAACTTATATGCAATTTTTGTGGATGTATATTTTCATGGGGTTAGGATCCAGTTTTCATCAGTACCCCAAAGAAGTTGGTGACACCATGAAAGACGAACCAGTTTAATAAATTACTTTTTACCCTGGTATTCCCAAGAATTTTTCTTAGTGGTTATTTTTTGGGGGCCGAGGAAGCAGAGTAACCTGAAGATAGTTACGAAGAGAGGTTTATGATAAGACTATAAGCTGCAGCAGAGAACAATGCGATGTGGCGACCAGAACAGCCAGAAGCCCGAGTCCTAAGGGCTAAGCAGAGATTGCATGTGGCGGGGGGAGGTCTGTCACCTCTGAGGACCAGGGCACCTTTAAACTAGTGTCTCAGGGTTTCTAGGGAAAGGACTAGACAGCCACAGTCCCACCCACTCCATCTGCTTCCCCAGAGAACCTGGGCCAGCAGCGGGAGGGGTGCAAAGATTTCTCAACCTCCTCCTGCTGTTGCTGCAAAGGACCGCACGCCGGAAAAATAGGCCTAGGCCCCTGCACGCCCGCGGGTCAGACGGCTCTGCAAGGGTCACTGGGTCAAAATGAAGGTGTCTGCAGGGCTGTGGAGGGAGACCGTGTCCCCTGCCCCAGCTTCTAGTGGCTGGGCTGTCCGCATTCCGCCCCTTCCTGCCTCTGCAGACCACACCCCTCTGGTCTCCGCTGGCACCTTCACAGCTATTCTGTCTCCCTCTCCTCCCCCTCCACCATTCAAGCACCTCTTGAGTACCAGGAGTGCACCCAGAGAGCCTAGGACACTCTCCCCCGCCTTGCGATTCAAGATGCTTAAGGTAACGTTTGCAGGAGCTGAAGATTAGGACACGGACATCTTAGGGGCCCGTGGACTCTTGACTGGGGCGCCGGGAGAAGGCCTAGGTCAGCGCTGGTCAGTGCTCGGTCATGGGGACAGCACTTCTTTGGGGCCACATGTCTGTCCCTGCCCTGATGAGGGGTGAGTGGGCAAGGGGTCCCCTCAGGGCCCTGTGTGTGCTCCAGCTGAGATGAGGAGCATCACCCTCCGTCCACAGGGAAGGGCTGGGACGCGAGAGTGCCCGGAGCCTCCCAGAGGGGCGCCCGCTCCTGCCCCAGGACAGGTCATCCGGAATCCCACCCCACTGCAGCAGCGAGCGTCCCTCCTGCAGGCCACGCACGTCCTCCAGCCCCTGGGTCCTGGGCAGAAGCAGGCAGAGGGGACTCTCGCCCTCCCCTCAGGAGGTGAGGCGACCTCCCCTCAGGAGGTGTGGGGGGATCCCTGGCACACCGAGCGACTGCCCACCTCGCACCCGCTGACCATCAAACGAGGAGGTCTCTGTGTGTTTGCTCCCCTCTGCAAATGCTCCTGACCCAGGGGAAACCCGAAGCAGAGCAGCTGGTGATCACACCTCGCTGCTAGGAAGGGGAGCAGGAAGAGAGGCTTTGGGGACAGCCCTGAGGCTCACAGGTGACACCATTCCCCACCCCGTCACCGGGAAAATGAAACACAAAGCCCCAAAGACTGCATCCTCATGGCTGAGGCCCGAGCAAGCACAGCGTCACTGGGCCACCTGGTCCCCCCCAGGAGCCCTGGCAGTGATGGACCCCCACAGAAACACCTTCTTCCCGGCCTCCCCGTGATACCCCGCAGCAGGTCGGCACGTGGGACTGGGGCCATCTGGGGAGAAAGGGCTGTTTTCCCAGCACAGACTGGAAACCCCTGACCTTAAAACAGCACCAAGTGGCATCTCCCAGCTCTGGGGGCCGCACACCTGAGAGCCAGGTGGGGCCAGGGCAGCACACTCTGTAGGTTCTGGGAGGGTCCTCTGGCTCCCCGGCTCCCGGCGGTGGGCTCAGGCCTGGCATCCCTGTCACTAGCCTGTCTTCTCCCCGAGTCTCTGTCAGGAGATCTGGGGCTCCCGGACTCCTGCGTGGCCTCATCTCAACTAGTCACATCTGTACCGACCTAATTCCAAACAAGGCCATATTCCGAGGTGCTGGGAATTAGGGCTTCAACAATCTTTTGGGGGACACATTTATACCACTAAGCTTTTCTTTTGGTGAGCCCAGATCCCCTGCAAACCATCTCCCCAATCTGCCCATTTTTCCCCAAGGTGCCTGCTGACCCTTTAGTGAGGGTCACCCCTGTGATGCAGGGGGCCCTGGCTGCCCCTCCGCCCGGCCCCGGCCTCCCAGACACCTGGTCTCCCAGCAGCCTGTTCCAAAACCACCACAGCCCTGCAATAACTGTATGTCGTCACCAAGTGAAAGGAAGAGAAATCCATCCTGCTCTCCACCCGGGAGCTCACAAATGTCTACCTGCACCAGGCAGGTGAGAAGGAAGCTGCAGAATGGCCCGGGGGAGGGGGGGGCGGGGAGCACACCCACTCCCGGGGCGCCCTTGGTCCTCCTAGCCCACCACCCCGGCGGCCCTGCCACCCAGGCCACTCCGCCAGCCCAGTGCTGGCAAATTTCCAGCCTTTCCTGAGAACTAGGCACTCCTGATTGTTCGGTGCTGGCAACCAATCCACATTTATTTTAAGCACCGTGTGGGCTGAGCACACACCTCTGCAGGCTCTATTTGGTCTGCCCATTTGCGACTGTCCTTCCTTACTTAATGCCTCCAAAATAG